GATAAGTATGTGCGCAGTGGTCGAAGCAATTAACATTACATTCTAAATTGTTGAATTGCAATAGTCTTGCAATTAAGAGAAGCAAATAACATTTTACCACTGCACGTGGCGATGAACTGAGCAGTACAAGCCCCCCCCCCCCCCCCCCCCCATACATGGACCTACTGAGACCCGGGGGCGCTGCAGCAATCCCTAATATTGAACTCTAATTTGCGTTCGTGAAAAAGTCAAAGATCACTCAAAACCTGTACAAAATGTATACATGTGGCCAAGAAGCTTGAGGTTGAGTCGTTCACAAAAACAAATTAGTATGCCTAGGATGCCCATACTTAAAGTTACTCACAAAAATGCTGTTTGTAGACGGATTTATTTCAATGTTGTGTCAAAATAGTTTATTTCATAAATTTGTTCCTTATAATGCGAGAGTGAGACACAGATTATTGTCAGTTTCCTGTAGCTGTTTTGTTATTTTACAACAACAGAAACCTGAATATCTCATCTTCACTCCTCGTACACTCTTTATCTAAACAAAATTGGCAGATAATGATATCGCTTATTAATTTTGTATGTTTTGTAACATTCAGTAAATACCATTTGCTTTGGATGCTGTGATACCACATAGTTAAGACTGGCTTCAATTGAACTTTATGATGTTCTCGATCAGGGACGTAGCCTGACCCAGTCAGTTAGCCTATAAGGGGGGGGGGGGTATTGGTCTTACTAAGTGGATGAAATATAAATGAACAAAGTCATCCATGGGGGGGGGGGGCGAGGGAAAGGTTATACTTGTTAAGCCCCTCACTCTACCTTCCCCCTCTCTTTCTCCTTTCCTTTCCCTTTCTCATTATCATGGTTCTTTTTTGTTGAGGGGGAGGGGGGTACCGGGGTAGCATGGTGTTCCACTCGTAATTCTTCCTTTCAATCCCGTTTTTTTTTCGACACCACTCCATTATCAAATTAAAATTCAGATTTACAGCCTATCATATAGAGCCATTCAGCCATGATCTAGTTCAAAACATTTAGACAGGCTGTAAATTAATCCCACGAGATACGCATTTACTCTTCATTAACTTTGATGAAAGCGGTTTATTGTTTATGTTACACACGGGCTTGTGTGTGAAGTGAAAAAAACGTGCATAAACTAAAACCAGACTACAGTTCTGTTGTTAAGGTGTTACTTCTTTACGCAGTGGTGGACATATTGGACAAGTTATGTAGTTCAAAGATAACAAAAAATGATAATAACATTTTCCAAACTGAGATTTGTTTGGAAGTATTGAGAGATGTGAGATGTGAGATATGAGCGGGTTGTGAAGATATCAGGATTGGTTATTCCACAGTTTGGGAGAAGCAGTACTGTTGTGAATGCTCTATCAACAGTGATGGAAGCATCTTGACAGAAAATGAATTTGCACCTTCCTTTCCTCTTCATTATGGGTACATTATCTTGTGTGTCAGTGTATTTACTTTTACATTTTGCAGTATGTTTTTTATATGGTGTGTTTTTAAAGTTTCTTATCCTGAAATTCACGATGTTTTACGAATTATATATTTCAAGTAAAAAATATTATTTCATACTGATTTACTTCTAAAAGAGTGCTCTATCTGATAGAATAAAATGTCATAGGCCTATAGCACAATTGTTTACCATTTCGTTTCTTTTCTTTTCTTCAGACATGTTTTTACTAAATAGGAATTAATTATCTTTTTTTTTTCTCAAAATGAAAGGCTCAATCAAAAATCATTTTATTGTAAAAATTTAATTTTGACTAGGCCTTTATTAAGCAGTTTCGAAAATTGTATAACAAATATTGTGATTGGAAAGGCAATCCATAATTATGTCTGTCAGTGAAGTTTAGAAAGTAAACGGGTTTCCTTGCATAATTTCATAGATAGGACCATGGACCTATTATGAATGGACATTCATCGTTTTCGTAACGAATTAATTGTGATTGTCTCCGTCAATGTCGTCTCAATAACATTCCGTACATGTTTCTTCCCTTTGATCTCATGATGGTCACCGCCAAAAAGCCGGGACAGAATCAAGATAGTGATTTTAAACATGTTAATCTACATGCGCAGAAGATAATAAATCGCTTAAATCATGGGAAATCGATGTGCAGTTCTGGTTAATAATTGGAAATTGTTGTTCCGTGTACCGTGTTCTATTTTTGAAAAACAAGTTGATATTACCAGACAGGTTTTGTTTGGATTGTTTGTGATTTAAAATCCCGTTTTCCCCAATTTCCTCATAATATTCCAGAGATACAACACACTGGGCTTATAAAGATCATGGCCTTCTAATAATTTATAAGGTCATTTGTGCGTGGAAAAGTGTGCAAATCAGTAATAATAAATTTCAGATCACCAAAATCGTCTGCTTTTCAACTTTGCTGCTCCCCATTTGGGATGTTTTTATCGAAGACATACTCTTACAGAGCACACCATCCAAACAAAACCCAAGAGAGGGAAACTGCTCATTTGTCAATGCCCGAAAATGCTTACGCAGTCGTTATTGTTAAAACAGCTGAATGTTCTCATTAAGATGCACATAATCAGAAGGCGGTGACTATCATTGGATCAAAGAAAGAATCACGTTGAATGTCCATCCGTAATAGGTTCATGATGGGACATACATGACATATTCATAATTCCTGCGAAGTTCTACAGAATTTGATGGTGGCTGCAAATGGGGCATAGTACCTTTAAGAAGCATCTAACATTTGAGATAATTATATCAATCGTTACTGTTTTTATCATCATATTCTATACCCAGTGACCAGAACTATAGTTATTGTAATATTTTTAAAAAAATGCATACAAGGTTACAGGGAAATGTAGAAGACACTATAAGTAAGGACCAGCAAAGACCAACTTTTCCTTGTAAATATCATTTCCACCTCAAACCACTACGATGTAATTTTAAAATCGCATAGACATAGTGATATAAAATTCATATTGTAAGCGTTGTGTGGCATGAAAACACTATAATGATCCTCACATTAGGTGGCGCTATACCACCAACCATTACTGAAGGTTTTGATTCTCGAGAGAAATGCATATTCGTAGTTTCGTACCGCTACTATTTCTACTTCTTCTACGCAACGACAACGACGAATAGTACTATGACGACTATAACTACTACTACTACATGTACTACTGCTGCTGCTCCTGCTACTACTTCTACTACTCCTACTACTACTTCTACTACTCCTACTACTACTTCTACTACTAGTATACAACTACTACTTCTACTCCTACTTCTACTCCTACTACTACTGTTACTACAACTACCACCACTACCCTCAAAACCAATAGTTGTACCATGTTTGTTAATGCGTCTAATATTTTAATGTATGTATTTGATGTGATAAACTTTTATAGTTTAGGTCTGCAAAGACCAATTTATTTTGGTTGCTTTTGTGTGTTTTGAGGTCAATTTAGTAAATGTGTAGATGTTTCTATCTCTACAAAGCAAATTGTACAGGCTGTATATATCTATTTTGATACGCTTGAGTGCTTGAATTGAATCAATATTATTATGTAGATCATTTTTACTGCCTTTTGTATAAAAGCATCGCTGTGTAATTGAATGTCCCAATCACACGCCTACCTACATGTATATGTGGGATGTCCACCCATTTATCAAGTTGATTACAATAAGATCAGAAAATGGCGAAAACAGGTCGGAGACCATTTGAGGGAAGAAAACAAATTTAATAAGTATAATAAGGTCTCAAGACAGGTTTGGAGATCTAGACACCACCTGACAGCTACGATTTCTTTGAAAGCTACTTAATGTGTATGATCAGGCAAAATATTTCATGAATTTTTAATCTTCCCTCTCTCGGAAGTACATATTCATATTCAATGAGAGGATACTGGTACTCGAAAAGAATATCAAAATTGCTATTTTGGGAAGGGATCTCAAAACGTAAACAAATTATATATACATGTATATATTTCGTATCTCACATTTTCATGAACCTATTCCGACAGATAGCAGGGTGGACTTCTCCTTCATATAGCTTATATCTACTTCATTGGGTGTATTGTTCATGGCTTTATTTTATCACCTAAAAAGTGTTTGTCAAGTTCAATTTGTCAATAAAAGAATATATATTTGTCCCAAGACAATTTCTAGAATGCAGTTTCTTTAAAACTATGTCTTCTCATTGCCTCTCTCTCTCTGTACCTCCCCCCCCCCCTCTCTCTTTCTCTCTCTCTCCCTCCCCCACCCCCTCTCTCTCTCTCTCTCCAACTCACTCACTCCATCCCCCAATATAAATTCTCTCTCTCTCTCTAAAATACATTTAAAAAAGGATAACATAGACTATACATGTATTTCATTTATCATTGTTTTAATATAACTATAGCTGTTCATATACAGAGTTTATGGTGTGGTAAGTGACACATTACCCTAAATTTAGAATGTTGACCCAAAAATCAAAAATCTAAATCGAACAAAAAGTGAATGATTAAAAACGTATAGCGAATTTGAAGGGGAAAAAAAAATCATGTTGCATACAATTTAGAGTAACTCTATGCACAAAAGCAGAACTTAATCACAAATTGAAGATGATGCTCAAATTCCTGCTTTTCTACTATTGTCATATCGCAGCACAAAGACATAAAAATATCCATGTATGAAACTCTTCCCTCGTCTAACCCTATAAATGTTATCATTAATCACAAGAAAATAAACATGATTTTTACCTTTGTTCCGTTCATCAAGCATCTTAAGTACATACTTTGCACGATTTAAAGTGAACTTGAATAAAAGGGGGAAAATCCAATTAATCAGCAATCATACGTTTTCAAATTCAAACTTCCTTGATAAAAAGTGAGCTGATGTGTTATATTTGAATATTATAATTGAAGACTAATACAATTTTAAGGGGGTCAGATAAATGCACAGATTAGACTTCCTAGGAACTACACATAATTCTGATGGTGTGCAGTGAACAATTAAAAAAATAAATCTTTAAAAGTTCTCGTTACTGCAGTATCATATCATATTCTGTAAGCATCCTCTTATTTTTATAGTGCGCTTTCAATATTATCTGTGAATAATATTCGTCAAACCAACTTCGTCTAAAAAGTAAATGAATTAAGTAGAGTAAACATGGAATGACCAACAATATCAAACTGACAACTCCATTAAAAAATAATACACATATTAAATACAAGGGCAAGTGAAGTCATTAACTGCTTTTTCCCTCTTTAATATATCCACATCTGCTGTTTAAAATAAAATTGAAGGTTGAAGGGACTACCTTGTACAACGACTCAAGTCTATGCGACTTTATAATGCCTCTTTCCATACTTTGATCAAATACTGCTCTTGGTTAATAGATCAGGTACTTGCAACATCTAAAATAGAACATGAAGATTTCGGGTAGAATCATCTTAGTTCGTCTAGATTTCTGTCAATTGAAAGTGGAGCATAGATATATGGACCTGCAATCCTGCATCCCACCTTACATAGAAGTGTCATTAAAAATATATATTACTTTTAAAAGCTTGCAACGACGCAATTGAAACTCCAATGTTAATAATTAACAATTTGGAAGTAACAATATAACAGTGTTCTTTTTCAAAAAAATTCAAAACTATAATCATAAAATACACGACAATAACAATACAAAGATATTAGGCATTTAGAATATCAGATGCACACACTAATCATACATTTTGCAAAGTCTTTTTGTCTCAAAGTTTTCTGCATTTGCACAGTAGCAAGAATAGAAAGAAAGAAACATGAGAGATGGAAAGGGAAGAGAGAAAGAGAAATAAATAAGCAAAAGCTAAAATTAGTAACCAAAATAACATAGCTGCTTACTGAAAAATCAATTAAATTTTAGCCCAAAACATTGCCAGAAAGAGATAAAAGATCTCTACCTTCATAGCAACATATCCTTACAGTCAACTGCATGTAAGTAGCCTATAAATTCAAATGAAAATTAAGTTCTATTAAACACTTTCACCCTGTATTCCAATAAGAAGAATGAATCGGAAAACAAACTTTAAGAAAGTTTTAAATGATACTTCACACACAACAGCATAACTAAATAACATATATCAATAAATCTTTGTATGTCGCAAGCTGGAAAATTGACATAGATCTAATAATTACAAGAGTTCACAAAATCACCGCATAGCCCCAAAACTTGGCACATTGGAAGCCACTACAAGAGCATTCATTACTAAACCATTGATTTGATTTAATGATCAACGTAAATGTGTTCTTTGTCTACTGCAGATGAATTCACAAAACAAGTTTCGCTTTAATTGGCAACCTATAACCTTCTTGCTTGTCACCACATGACATGGCATGTTTACAACATATTATAATCACAGATGCCAACAAAAGGAATTTCTTGTTTTCCCACAATAACAAAGTGAATTTTGAGATAGTTGTCAAATAAATACACAAGTACTTCAAAAAGGTTCCTGACCGATATCTGAAATATGAACACTTCTGGACTCTCAGATGAGCTCAAATTGGTTTGTGATGAGAATGTTGTTTTTCCTTCTTTGTTATTCTTCTTGGAAACAGGCAAGGCATTTTTGAATGTGAACATTTAGTACCTAGGTCTACAATGTAAAATGGCACATTTCATGACAAGAATATTGACTGCTCCCAGAAGAATGTTGACTGCTCCCAGAAGAATATTGACTGCTCTCAGAAGAATGTTGAACTCTTGGTCTAGCTTTGTGTAGCATCTTCTCACCAGCAATGTATGGTAGGTATCGCAAAGAGGAGCGGCCTCTCGGTTAATATGTCATTGAAGACCATGAAATCCAAGACAATAGACTCTCTCTTGGAACAGTAGTGGCACCAGTAATTTCTCCCACTCAAATTGCACTGTCTTTCTTTTTTCTAAGTCCTTGCAACACCATTGGTGTGGCCGTTGGTGTGGCCGTTGGTGTGACCATTGGCAAGTCCGTTGCAAGTGGCTTTCGAGGACCCATTGGTCAGCTGGCTGGAGTGAACTGATTTCTGGGTGATTGTAGCACTCACTTTGACATTCCCCTCATGCCTATCTTGGAACTCCTTCATGAAGCAGGCCAGTTTTCTCGTCTCCTCAACGGTTGTAGCGTTGTACAATGAGGCACGCAGACCACCGACTGTCCTGTAGAGTTGGAAAAGGAAAAAGGTTTCCTGGTTTAATAATTTAATCACTATGAAAGAGAATAAAATATCCAAGGTGTGGAATTACATGCATGCCACTGATATTACAATAATATAAGGAAGGAAAGGGAAAATAGGTTGATGTGACATATTTATCTATCATCATGAGAGCCATACAAGTACATGATGCAAGCCTAGATGTTCATTATTGTTCAAAAGATTTCTTCCAGATTGTTCAAGGATCAAATAAAATAGAAAGAACAGCATGTCAAAGATTACTTGATATCTTATTCATGACTCATTTACGGGCATGAACAAAAAACATCACAGCAACCGATATACCCTGCAATTTTTTGTATCAACAAATTATATGGCTATGAAAACTGAGAATAGCCGGACATCATACAGTAGCTTGTCCTTTTTTTTTTATACGGGCTGAGATAAACTGATATAATGATTGGTCTGAATCTAAATAATACAAGAATGTCAATAAACAGTGGTCAGGAATAGTTGCAAAATATCTTTTTGAGTATTACCGCTTAATAATGCCTGTTCAGAGCCAGAAATGTGTTTCTGGTGAAGGGTAAAAGTTAATGCCCCTAGGGGTTCAAAAAGACTAGGCTGGTTTACTAACCTGTGTCCTTTGAGGGCAGCCATTCCACGTGACAATGCCTCGGCGACAAACTCCTTCTCAAGCTCCTCATTGCCTGCAGCTCCCCCTATCCTGAAGGGAATATTCATCCTGCTACGGGCATCCTTGTCAATGGGGCAGCTACATCAGAACAAGATACAACGGAATGGATTTTAGACAATGGATATACACAAGGGTGAAAATTGATGGGGAACTCAGCATATTAAAGTCAATGCCATCTTTTGAACAGTCTGCATAGAGCCACAAGGTTATGAATTGTATGTAGAATTACATGATTTACCACCCTTTGATTCTAAGCATTGAAGAAGCCTCAAATTGTTTTTATTTATCATTATGGGTTTTATTCAGGTTTTTTTTTTCAATCTGCCCCCCCCCCCTTCCCTTTTATCTCTCTGAATGAAAATGTGATGAGTCGAGTCTGGAATAAAGAAAACTAGCTCCTATCATCTCTAGTATCAAAACACACATCAATTTCATAACAATCATTTAAAAGAGATGCATCAAGAACTAAGACCTAACATGGTTTTGAGAAACTAGCCCAAGACTATCCAATCATGATTGTTTCTTACCTGAAGAAGTTATTGGAGTTGTCAATCATGTCAAAGATAAGATTAGACTTAGCTATACTCCATTCTTCCATCTGATCCACACCACCGTTCTCCTTGATCCAGTCAAATACGAGACCCATGATGTATATACTAGAGAGAAATTTAATATGATTTGATATGTTAAAATAGAAGCTAAAACAGTGTTAGAATGGGTAGCATGACCAGCAAATTATAGATATTAAAATTTCTTTTTTCATTTTCATAAATTTGCATTCATTCAACAAATCTACCTTTTTGGTTAAAGCAAGTTTTCATTGCTGGAAGAGAAAATAAAGAATATACGGTATTGCCTTTTTTAAGGACTAACATGCTCCGGTCATGCTCACTTTTCAGCCTTCTATGTTCATTAAATATCAAGATCCCTCCAAAGTTAATAGTAAATGAATCACTATTAGATTATATACTAATACAAGGGAATTATGTAGGTGACTGTACATAAATTTGACCCATGACCCCTTAATATAATTATCTAAATTCCCTGTATAAGGTCAAATGTTACATTGGCTGTGATCAAGTTTGAAGTTCATCACTAAAATAGTTTTGAAGATACCACAAGGACAAATTAAAACCTAGTACGAAAGACGGATGAATGAACTACATAAGCAGAAGGGGAAGAGATAAGAGAGAGAGAAGAAATAACTTGGGGGGAAAAAAAAACCTCAATATGTCTTTCTTTCATTTTACCTGTAACATGGTGGTGTGTTGTAGACAGAGTTGCTTGCAGCCTGCTGCTTGTAATCAAAGATGATGGGACACTCTGTTAAAGCATGACCGATCAGATCATCCCGAACAATCACAACCGTTACTCCAGCACAACCAATGTTCTTCTGAGCACCAGCAAAGATCAGGCCAAACTGTACCAGAATTGAACAAAATAGAAAATAAGCATATTTTGCATGAAAACTTATGATATATCCAGCAGCACCAATGTACATGGAGATCATTTAGAAAATTAACTGCTGTGAAAACTAATTCAGTTAATACCAAATACAAATGTATCTGAAGGACAGGCACGTTTCTTATTTTCTGAAATATTGATTCACCAGCACTTGCTCTTTAAGTACAGGTTTTGATGAGAAACTTTGATGAGAAATTTCAAGGAAAACAAAAAAGTGGTCTTTATAGACAGGTGGCATTTCTGAACAGATGGTCGCTAAAGAAGGTTTGACTGTATATACTTTCCAAGGATTGTATAAATGGAGACAGGCCTGCATGAAAAATATTGAAAATGGAACTATACAGGAAGAACATTGTCAACACTTACCTTGGAAACATCAACCGGCCTGGAGAGGAAATTCGAAGACATGTCACAAACCAGTGGGATGCCATTCGTCTCTGGTACGTACTGAAATTCAACACCTGTGAATTGAGAGAAGAAAAATAATGTTATGACACATACATAGGTTCAGATGTTCTAATTTGCTCACAATGAAACCTATAGAAAGACTACTCAACAGAGACAAGAAAAGAGGTCTCTTTCCACAGGTGCATCATCATTCAAGTGCCTTGACACACTAGCCGTGTTCACATGATGGCAAGTTTGGTCGGCGTAAAGTTCCTGTTTAGAGCTAGTCGGCGTAAAGGTCAGCGTTGTGATCCTCTGAACGATAGTCATGTTAGCTACGTCGACCTTTACGCCGACTGATTTACTCCTGGATTTTTCCAGGAGTGACACTCTGACACGAGAGGGTAGCATAAGCTAACCATGTGGATGCTCTCACATGGCACTCAGAGTATCTGTGACCTTTCACAAGGGTCGTTTGTTTACAATAGAAAAATGAAAATTAGATTTTGCTCAGTCTAGATACGAAAACTGGGTTGAGGTCAACTAGGGCATCTGCCACCATTTCCAAGTAAAACTGGGTAAAATTTAGTCCGAGTAGGAGCAAATGGACAACTAGAAGTGCAAGGCAAATATTTATGAAATATTAATTGCTGCAGGTATTAACTTACGCTTATGATTAACTCAGACTAGGGAGCCCCATCTGAACATGGCTAATGGTGTATGCAAACAACTTATTGAATTTACAAGTATAGATTCAATTATAAGAATGCCAAAAAGCAAAGAAAAGGTTGCCTTGAACTTTGGGCAGGTCAAAGCTGTTTTGTTTATTCGGTCATTTGTTAGTCTGACCTTGGTCTCATTTGTGTGCCTGGAGACTGCAAAGGCTAAATTGAAATCTCCCTACTAAAAATTGTATTAGTTTTTAAAACCAGCCCAGAAACTGTTTTTTGACTAGCATCATTCTGTATATATTTTTCACCCATCTTTTGTTTAAAATCCTGAGCCTAGAAAAAGGTTTTTGTCTATTTTTCATTTTTTCTCATAAGAAACTAGGAGCAAGGTAGTCTAGTTTTCTAGGAAATAGACACCATAAAAGTATAGATAAAATAGCACCCAAATACATTTTTTTCATGTGACAACTGGCCAGGGCCAACTGGTAACTCACCATTGATTGTCTCGTTAGCACAGTAGAAGACATATTCAGCCTCTGGGTCCATGGTCCATGTATCAGGATGGGGGATTGCTGTAAGAACAAGTGGAGAAAAAAATCCTTGAGAAATAGAAAGCAAGTATTCTCATATTGCCTCAGATTCAGAGGATTTTATTTGACTAGGTTTAAAAAAAAGCATGTACCGGTAACTCAAAAGAAAAGGAAAGGATCTTTATCAGCTTAATACAGGCATAATCACAATCTGAATTTTTGTTTTCTTCCTGGCATTAATTATGAGCTAATTATGGTCTTCAGGTTTGAGAGAACTGTATAACCAAAATATAATATGATGAATTACACTAATACTGAGAAATAGTAATTAAAAACCTGAAAAAAATACAATATTAATCATCCAGATATATTACACTGTACATTTGACATTGGTTATAAGTATAATGTCTGTGGGTAAATATTTTAACAAAATCTTAAAATCTAGCTTTTTGTATAAAAGTTGTTTTTGTAACAGTTTTTAGAAGAAAAGTTAAATGAATCAAAAATATGTATTTAAACATACAAAACTGAAAAATATCAGCCTAAAAAGGGGAAAAAAGCAACAACCCCCCCCCCCCCCCTCAAAAAAAAATTGACCGACCGACCCAGGTGCTGGCACTTAAAGGGCAATACACTTCCTGAAAGGTGCTGCAAGTACCGTAGTAGTGCCACACATACACTGTACAACATAAAGGCCCTATTTACAAGGTGTCTGAACTCATAGACTATCCTTTCCTATAGGTTACATCATCACTCAAACAAAGCTGTTACATCACACAGAGAACAGGAATTACTCAGTGTATAAAGAATATGTGGACCATTCATGGTCGCCCTATCCCTAATATGGAACAGCGCACACAGAACAATAGCCCCGCCCACAACACACCCATGTGCCATGTGACATATACATGCACATGTATTACCAGTACAGCTTGTCCATGCATGCCTGCTGATCAAATGTGTAAATTACTGTAAGGTTTTGCTCTAGTAGTAGTAGGCCTACATGTTTCATTGTGCAAATAAAACAGACATATTTTACAAGATATATGTGTATTGTATGCATATTGGCAAAGCCTTCCTTCTTTTTTCTTCCAATGACTTCCTTGTGTTTCAAAATATGTACTCATACTCCTCTTAATATAGTAATATAACCCAGCATTTGTAATAAATACAGGGTAACAATAAGATTGTAGGGCCTTGAGAGTACAGTATTACACGCTGACAAGAAGACAATATGACCATATATAGCTTTGTTCAGAGTTGCTAGTATTTTATGTAAACTAAATTTGTGCGTGGTATATCCTAATGGAATTTCACAAATGCAGGATCACTGAAGAAGGAATTTCCCACACTAAACTGCTGCCATTTCCCGCAAGACAGAATTTAAAGAAACGGACTAGTTGGACAGATGGAATTCCCTGCTATTTTCCCTGACTTGATTGATCAAAAGAAATAATAACAATCTGATTAATTCAGGGTTCCTTGACTAGAAATAAAAACCCTTCTTTTCCAGGCCTACCTGGAATTTTAGATAACTGGGAAAACTATACAAAACACACAAAGCAGCATAAAGTTGTAAGCAATGCATATTAGGCCCCTGTTTCATGAAACTCTTTTAGAAATAAGTTACAATACCTCTTCTAATCTACTGAAATCCTTGCATGTGATTGGCCCAGGGCAAATTTTACATAGAATTTTAGCATAAATAATCGGGCCAGTTTTACAAAACAGGCTTACAAAACAGGGCTCAGGATTAACAGTTCATAAAGGGCATGACTTAATAGGACAAAGAGGATTATAAATTACCTAACCTTCTCTAAATACAACAGCAGGCCTTTCATAATACCCAAGCTGACCTTTTACCTCATTATCTATTAAAACACTTAACCCTACTTAAAACCATCCCTTTGTCAAAAGTTTGCCCAATAGCTGGAACATGACAGCTGGAAGAGCCAAATTTGACAGCCAGACCAAGATAGCTTTAAAACATGACAGCTATACTGTGAGTGTGTCAGCTTTGAGACCCAATGGCTAGTATGGAGACATAGCTTTAATTTTGTATGTATAAAGTCAAACTTGTCTTAGTGTCCACCTCTCTTTAAAGGTCACCTGACTAGCTATAGTGGACATGTGTGGCCAGGCTTGAGGGATATGTTGTGTGCAGATCCTTTTTTTTTAACCCCCCCCCCCTATTTCTTTACAATGCAAAATAGTTTACCTTTCACCAAAAGTTTTTAAACGCCGTTTACTGCGTCACACGTAGACAAACTTTTTAAGTGCTTCTTCCCAGCAATGTGAACACGCACAAATAAAATGATCACACCATAAAGATGTTCAGGCAATGTGCAAACATCTTTATCATTAATTATCCTTACACAACCCAGGTTATGTAAGGACATTTGTTTGCCTGTCATAGATAACAAGACAATGACTGATAATAACTTACAGGTATATTTGCTTCCCTTGGTGAACACCTCCCTCGTTGTTCCGTATTTGAGCCCTTCCTTGGCCGCCTTGACAGACCACATCCCTGTTGGGATGTAATCGGCCTTCTTCCTCTTCAGAAGGTTCAGCGGTACGGCGCTAAATTGGCCGGTGCCGCCACCCTGCAGGAAAAGGATCTTGTAGTTGTCAGGAACTTTCCTGTTGGAAAGAATAACAAATAATTTTCAATTTTGGTTGTAAACAAGAAAAAGCGATACAAAACATGCATTTAAGCCAAAGCAACTTATGTGATGGTGTTGCAAATACGATATACAAAACTTGAGAAAAATTCCACCATTATTCTTGATTCTGAGTAACGTTATATCAAAAATACATTAACTACAAGAGAGGGAGAAATGTTATCACAGAATTGCAGACATAAGACTTTACTTTCATGCAGCCATTAAAAAAACAACTTAAGTCTAGATGTTTTCTGAAACATTCTTTTGGGTAATATGAAAAAGGTATTGTACTGAATACATCAAGAACATTGTGAATAAGGACATTTTACCTCATTAATTCATTAATTTAAAAGAAAATTTGATCAACTTACATGAGTTCCCTGAGATTTTGCTGTGCATTGGTCAAGATTGCTGTAAATTCAGGTGACCTGTGACTCATTTCTGGAAGGTCAAAGAAAACAAAACAGACATTTAACACATTAAGCTAAAAAAGAGACCTGGACAATGAATATTGAGCAATTAACACATGAGCTTTTAACATTTTAAACCCTTAAACATGGACAAAATGGTTTTCTGAAGTGTGAAGAGAGGATTTTTAAAAATGATACTGATTTCATCAGCTTGATAATCAGTTTCTGTCAAAGTGTTTAGTATAATTTTGTTTAAAAACACCTTTTCCTTCATAAGACTACATGAATTTGTGTAATAACCCCCACCTCCCCAACAAAAAAAAACAAAAATTTACGTGTATGTTACCATAAGTTACAAACTTATAATAAATATTATCTCAAAGTACTTTTGAATTGGTTAAAAATGTTCTGAAGCTATGCAAAGAAAATACAAGTACCGGTTCTTTGATTTTTATAGAATTATTTCCATTTTATAAGGCTGCTCTTTTGGTACAACATTTTCATACCATCGATAGGAATTTAAAATATCACAGCTAGGGTAATCCATCAAACTCTTTGTTGTCAAACTCACCCATGACTCCATATCCAAGACCTTGGTAGTTCATAAACTCCTTTTGTGCTTTCATTAAGATCTGTGATCATAAGACAAAATAAAGTGATATTCTTGTCATACTAGCATCACTGAATGTCTTTAATCATGTATCATTATGTCCACCGATACCTGTAAATTTTTGGTACTTATAAGCAGTCATAACTCGTAAGGCACCAACAATTCTAATTTGAAAAAACAAAATGTGCATAGAAAGAAGGAAAAAACTTAAAATACTGATATGGGGACTCATACAAATACATGTATGCATCTAAATGATCTAACAAGTAACAATCATGATAATATTACAATCAAGAATGTGTATGTTTAAAATCCTTTAACTTGGGCAACAATGACTTGTCATTTTAGACAACTAGCATCTAAGGTGAATGTCTGGGCATACAATGTTTGTCCTGATACAATAAAACATACTTACGGTATCTTATCTTTTGTTTGATGATTCCATTACAACAAAGATTGTTGGGGTTATGAACTCTAAAATATACATTGTAAATTAGATTGGGTTTATGAAGTCTAAAATATACAGTACATCATGAATTAGGTTGGGTTTATGAACTATTAAGCATACATGTGCATTGTAGTAATTTCTAAATTCAAACAAGTCATTCGATTGTGAATGAATTACCTTTACCCGAGATTCTGGAAGAATGCTGTGTTCTCAGCAATCGGGCTCCCAATTCAATTAAATTAACAAAGCATAAGAGAAGGTCGAGTCATGGGAAGACCAAAAAGATGACTGATCATTCTTCTTATAAATAGACTGATATGACAAGTTTACATGAGAACATTTTTTACCTTCATAAGACATTATTCCCATATATGAATATTATTTCTGAAATCTCACCAGCCCCTACCAGTCTCACTCAGGCTTGCCCAGTGAAATAGGGATAGCAACAAACATATTTTCACTAAGGAATATGATTTGATATAAGTACAAATTTGGATAAACCAATCTGAATTCCATGTTGGTTTTCTATAAAATTCAAAAAAATAAATAATAGTACTTCACTGAACCATTTCTTTACTAGTCTATAATTCATTCTAAAACAAAGTCTATTAAACCTGCTGATTTTTTTACAAATCAATCCAACCAAATAATAAATAGATCAGGGCAGATTAAGTAACAGCTGATAGCAGGGGAAGGGCAAGAGGAGCAAGGCCCCTAGGAAAGCTAACTGGTCTGGGCCCTGGTAAATTGTGGAGTAATATAACAGCCTTGAGTAGATTTCCACCTCCATTTGACTTTGAGAATGACAAGGGTAGTATGCATCAACAACCCACATGTGGTCAGATGTCTTCTCATACTAGTACTAGTAGTGTAGTCTAAATGCACATGTCTACCGAGGCTTTCAAATGGATATCTCAATTAAAATTCTCTCTATTTTACTGAAAAGAAGTGAACTTTGGCAAAGTATACCTGTTCTAAAATAAATTATATCAATAGACGATTAACTGAAAAAATATATTTCAGAATTCCATTCAGTCATGACCAAAGACAAACCTCGAGAAGGGTTGGGAAGAAATACTGTCTGAAAGCTAGACTAGTTTACAAAGTGTCTGGCCATCCCTTGGGCATGCGCTCTTCATAAAGTTAAGCCACACCCCTTCATAAGTAGTCTACATGCCCAGACTCTATTGTTAAACATCGGGAACAGCATGATGTACATTTTATGTACCTAAATACTATTTAAATGCTGACTTGAAAGTACATGATAAAGGTAAAAGCATTATTAAATCCTACATACTGTACATGTACATGTTGGCCTATATATATCGTCAAAGATTCATAAGAATTTAATTTCAATAAATCACATTCATATTAATGTTCAATCCACTCTGTACAAGAATTGGCATCACACAATTTTTACAACTGTTTTTTTTTTTAAAGTTGGTGAAAGGATTGGACCCCTGTAAGAAGTTTAATAGCTTCTTGGATTAACTAACTGCAAACACCAAGCTAAAGAATGATCTTACAAATACATTGTATAGAATAAATTGTGCAGTTCAATGATTTCAGACAAAGAATGGATTGTGAATATAAAAGAAAAGGATCCACATGGAATTTTCCATTGCTCTGAAATTAATGCCTGCATTGATTCAATGAAAAACACAATACAAGGTTTTGATCAATGTGTGCAGTAAAGCTTCAATGTCATTTCCTCCAAGGTAGTTTGTTTGTATCATTCCAATTGAGAATTCTTTACAATCCAACTCAAAGAGATAATTATGTTTGTGAAATTGATAAACCATCCTTTCACCTTCACGTCTTCAGAGTCTGTGTTTCAGACTACTAGCACTAAACAGCTGATTGGAGCAAATGCTCTTGACAAAAAAAGCTGGATGCATGCATGAGGGAAAAACCCATTCTGACGTCAATGATTACTGACTGCTGATTCTTACATCATACATGTGGAAAAAAGGGAGAGAGTTTTAAACAAAGGAGAAACTGATAGATGCATTTATCAAATTGTGGAACAAAATTTAAGAAATATGTCCAGGTTTCATGATTCATGATTTTTATCTGAACACCTAGCCCTTGCCCAAACTTTACAAAAGCTGTAACTCTTTGTAACAAAAGGTCATGCTATGGACAAATTGAATCACACCACTGGCACTAGTACCGGGGTATTTGCCAATTGTGAAAGTTCCCAATGGAAAATTTTCTCTGTGTATCAAACACTTCTTCAAATTAAAATATGACAAAAGTTTGAGGCTCTAATGTAGATAATATAAATAAAGCCATATCTAGTATAGAATAGGCTAATACTATACTACATTTTTTCTTGTACAGACTGATTCATTACCGGTAAACATTTATGTATAAAAAGTTTAAAAACAATTTAAACCCTTTCACCTTTGTGTCTTCAAAGAGTCTGTGTTTCAGACTACTAGTACTAGCACTAAACAGCTGATTGGAGCAAGGGCTCTTGACAAAAGCTGGATGCATGCATTTTCACTGAGGGAAAAAAAACAATCCCACGTCAATTATTGACTGCCGATTCTTTTGCAAGTGTCATACATGTGGAACTAGATGGAATTTTGACTGCGCGCAGTCGAAAATGATGCCTCCGCAATAGAGCAATTTAAACAAGTTTGGAGTTTAAATCTCCAGTGGTTCTTGAGATATCATGATAACAATCTCAATGTATGGAATTTCATAAGTTGACCTCTGTGACCCTTGACCTTTGACCTACGTGCTCCAAAATCTAATCAGATTGTCTTCCTATGGTGATACACACTATCATTAAGTTTGAAGTTTAAATCTCTAGTGGTTCTTGAGATATTATGATAACAATCTCAATGTATGGAATTTCATAAGTTGACCTCTGTGACCCTTGACCTTTGACCTACGTGCTCCAAAATCTAATCAGATTGTTTTCCTATAGTGATACACACTATCACTAAGTTTGAAGTTTAAATCTCCAGTGGTTCTTGAGATATCATGATAACAATCTCAATGTATGGAATTTCATAAGTTGACCTCTGTGACCCTTGACCTTTGACATACGTGCTCCAAAATCTAATCAGATTGTTTTCCTATAGTGATACACACTATCACTAAGTTTGAAGTTTAAATCTCCAGTGGTTCTTGAGATATCATGATAACAATCTCAATGTATGGAATTTCATAAGTTGACCTCTGTGACCCTTGACCTTTGACATACGTGCTCCAAACTCTAATCAGATCGTCTTCCTATGGTGATACATACTATCCTTAAGTTTGAAGTTTAAATCTCAAATGGTTCTTGAGATATCGCGCTAACAAACTCAATACAAGGAATTTCATAAGTTGACCTCTGTGACCTGTGACCTTTGACCTACGTACTCCAAAATCTACTCAGATCGTCTTCCTATGGTGATGAATACTATTCCTGAGTCTTAAGTTTAAATCTTAAATGGTTCTTGAGATATTGTGATAACGGTCAAACGGGACGGACGGACGGACGTACGGACGGACGGACGGACGTACGGACGTACGGACGTACGGACGGACAACCCGAAAACATGATGCCTCCGGCACCACCTTCGGTGGCGGAGGCATAAAAAGGGGAGCGAGTTTTGTAAAAAGGAGAAACTTGTAGGTGCATCTATCAAATTGTAGAACAAAATTCAAGAAATATGTCCAGAATTCATGTTACTTGTCAGGACTTTTTCTCTCCTCCAAAAAATGTTTCAACATCCCTGAACATTTGGCTCTACTACCCCTAGGCCTAAATTGAACAAAAGCTGTAAATCTTTGTAACATAGGGATTAAGGTCATGTTATGGAAAATTTGAATCATACCAATATTATATTCACTATGAATTAACACATCTTCAATTAGAATATCATGAAAGCTTGTGCATTAGAAAGTACATTACTGACTAGACCCTCTACTGTAGATATATACTCTAAGCTACATTTTTTTATTGAACAGACAGATTCATTACTGGTGAGCAGTTATGTATAAAAACAGATGAAACCCTAGTGTAGTAACAGTGGTACTGATAATCATCAGAAATGAAAGAAGGACTTGTTAATTGAATCATCAACTTTAGTGTCTATTAACGTTTCACGGGGCAGGCAGATTATGCCCTTGGAGACCTAGGAAGTAGAATGGACCTGAGAAGTAGAATACTTTACTTTTAAATCCACCAACTTTTAGCTTTAATACAAAATAATAGTTAGAGACAGATATTTCTCCTATCCCAAGCTTCCTCCGCTCTTCTTCTTCCATTTCTTTCTTTCTTTCTTCTTAAAAAAATTCTACTTCTTCTTCTCCTCCCCTTCTGCTTTTTCTTTGTTTTCTTCTTCATTGGGTTAGTCTACATCTGCCTCCTTCACTTCAAGTTTGAAGATTCTTGCAGATGGTGATTGCAGATGGATTTATGGCAACCTTTAAGTTTACTAATCTAAAAATGATGATCCGAACAACTGTTGTGTGGATGTAAATGTATGAAGTTATCTATGTTCATTCGGACCAGGGGACAACTCGGCCCAGCTGCAAAAACGGTCATTTTTTGTAATTTTACCCTAACTCTAACCCTAACCCTAACCCTAAACCTAACCCTTAACCTAAACATGCAAAAAATGACCGTTTTGGCATCTGGGCCGAGTTGTCCCCTCGTCCGAGTTAGCCCGATTCCGTTCATTCGGCTACAGTTTAAATCCTTTTTAAATAATAGGTCTAGACCAATGTTAAATATTAAATAATTCACGGTAGATTTTGATATGTGCCTTCAGTATTGAAGGAGGCAGATTATCTTGAAGAAGAAGACTTTGTATGAGTAGATCTATGACATTCTACTTTTTCCTACTCCTAGCTTCAACAACATTTCTTCTCTGTAAGAATGATCCTGAATCTTGTTCAATTTGTACAAATGTGAACTGGTGTAGATGTAGTGGTGGTGAATGGAATCATTTATCTACAGTTTAATAGATGCAATCTAATCATTGTTGACATAAAAATACACACATACAGAGGCTTGGCCAAGCCCAAGGTAGGCCTAGGGCATTCTCAATGAACTAATAATATGAACGACCAACAACATCATCATGAGCATGATTAACAAACGTCCTTCGTCCTTGGACTCATTCAGCTCAGGCTCAGCTCAGTCAAACACAACGAGACCAACATGATAAAGAAAACAGTTTTCTCACCTGATCGGGTAGTTTTGCTGGTCCAGCAGCGAAATTACAAACTCTGCTCATGATTGATGATTTCTGATTTACTTGATCACAAAGAATTAATTGTAAAGTGTTGGAATTGTGATGATCACACAGTCGTTCACTAGGTCTCCTTGCAGATGACTAGGTCTACTCGTCAAAAACACTGAATGCTAAATCAGCTGATGTCCGTTCATATATACCCGCGCTGAATGAATAAAGGCGCGCCAGCTGCCGTTGCAAGATTCGGTTCTTCCCCGCTCGCTCCCCAGTACTTTTCCTAGCAAATCGAGAGATTGTTCCATGCCGCCGCGGCCCTTCATTGGCCGAGCAACCGGCTGGATTCAATAACTCATCCATGCAAATCAGCATGTGCTTTCTGTACACGCACAAATCTCATGATAGTGGTAACATCGCAGACGTTGAGAAATATCTTTAGTCTTTAAATCCAGACCCAGAGTATTTCACGTTAAAATCTCGTGGATTTATCCATGAACCTAATACAATCATACAGAAAAATGTTTAGCTATAATATCCAGCGGTGATATTTTTGGGGTGCTTATTCATTGGTACCGGTAACGATTCTGAAGAAAATTATGAGATTTATATTTCTCTCTTTCTTTCTTCCAAATTTTTATTTTCAACTTTCGGACGCCCATCTGAAGCCGCCCCTATAAATTCACTTTATATAGAAAGTCAGTGATTGCGGCCCATGGAGCAAATCGCATATCATTACTTTGCTATCATTGTCATCCGATTATCATTATTATTATCTTCATTGTCATAATTAGGCATGTTATCATTACTGTTATACTATGTAAATGTGGTCATTTATTATCAATTTATGATACATTTTTCATAAGTGTATATGCCAGGCGCGGATCCAGGATTTCTTAGGGAGGGGGCCCAACTTTTTTTTTTTTTTGCTCCCGAAAATTTGAAGATCGCGCCGGCCGAAAAGTCGCTCAGTGGGGGGGGGGGGGGGGGGGGGGGGGGGGGGGGGGGGGGGGGGGGGGGGGGGGGGGTACAGAGCACAATTTTTTTTTTTTTTTTTTTTTTTTGCTCCCGAAAATTTGAAAAACGCGCCGGCCAAAAATTCGCTCAGGGGGGGGGGGGGGGGGGGGGGGGGGGGGGGGGGGGGGGTAGTGAGCACATTTTTTTTTTTTTTTTGATCCTCAAAAAAAATTTCAATTTGCACCCCCCCCCCCCCCCTTGAGCGCCAGGGGGGGGGGCCCAACCCCCAAAAAAGGTAAAAAATCACGTGATTTTACATGATTTTTTTCTCAAGGGGGGGGGGGCCCGGGCCGCCACTGGTATAGGCCTATATGCCTGCATGTCTATTCTCCCTAGATTTTTTTAGTGGTTTGTTCGATTGCTCCTGACTCAGTTGATGATGCCCCGCCCGCAAAACAGAGCCGGGTGAGAGGCTGGGAGGAACTTAGAGAGGGAGGAGGAGGACCAGAATGAGACCATGCACCCAAATCAATAACATTGTTAATTCACTCATCCGGGTGCTTACCCGCCCCCTTCCCTGCCCTCCCCAAATGTCTGGTGATAATAATCTCAATATGCCAGTGACTTAACCTGAAGGCTAACACTATGATGGGCAGGCGCGTACGCAGGGGGGGTGTTTAGGGGGTTAAACCCCCCCCCCTTGGTATTTTTATGTGTGTAAACCCCACTAAAAAATCCCTAAACCCCCCCCCCCCCCCCCCCCATTTGGATTTTTTTTTTTTGAAAAAAAAATCACCCCCATGGCTGACCTAAGAAAGGTGACCTTACCCCCTCCAAAGGAACAAAATGTCAAATTTTCAAATTTCGAGACCAAAAAAAAAAAAAAAAGTGTCCTCTTACCCCCCACTGAGCGACTTTTCGGCTGGCTGAGTCGTTGCGACTTTTTTTGAACTACCACAAAAAACAAAAAAGTGTCCGCTTACGAAGCCAGCGAGCAAAATAATTGACATATTATTTTAGGCTACTAAAATGCTATTTCTTCGTAATAAAAAAACACGGACCAGTCATGATCTTCGGGCGAATAATGTAAGTTGCTTACCAGTTTTGCTGGTAACATTGAAATCGTAATGATGTCAGTCATTGGCGTAGCCTATAGAGGGCACGTGCCCCACCTTCCCCTTTACAGTGGTATTGGTATACCCAAAAAAGCGAGAAAAGACAGAAATAGACAAGCAGGGAGAATGGGAAAATGTGCAAAAAAGAGGAAGATGGTTAACCCGGAAGTGCGTATAATTATATAGACTAAAATTCGCTCAATCGTTCTATAGTGCCCGTCAAAGTTATGATTGGGGCACTCACCCTCCGCCTCAAATGTTGGTCTTTTTATATCAAACTAAGATGATTTAAATTATTGATGACAAGTAAGTTTTTTTAATTGCATTTTTGCCGGACGACTTACTGTCCTCGGCAGTCGGCACTTTATTTTCTGCCAATTTCAAAGCTACAATATTGAGGTTATGACTTTTATATTGCTGTGTATTCTTTAGAACCAAAATTATCATCTGACAGATTTTAAAAACTAGATTAGGCCCGTTTATATACTAGCAAGCGAAGAGTAAGATGAGTACATTATATGAAGAATTTCATTAGCTATTTCAGTCATTTACGTGTAATTAGACATGTTTCGTCACAATGTATTGCATTCTCGGTTGGTTTGTTTAGAACCACATAATAATTTTCTCTTCCAAATCTACAGAAAGATTCCAAAATATATTTTTGGAGGTCAAAATATACTTAATTACATCGCAAATCATAAAAACCCAAGAACAAGCGAACAAACACCCCCCCCCCCCCAAAAAAAAAATGATAAACAACCATTGCTGACTCTATATACGTGGATAACCGGATAAGGCTATTTTAAGAGATACAGGCTTATAGTATATCAGAATTAAAAGGGGGAAAAACGAGAAGAATTTTGTTCCAGATGATTAGGTCAACTATATCTCACGAAGCACTCCTCTTGTTGGTTTGTTGTTTGGTAGCCCATGCAGGTCATGGCCTTTATTGATTGACGAATAATAACTGTTGGGGAATCACTTCCCTGGTACTCCAGGATTATAGTCAATAAGTTTACTGAGCTTCATGCACAGAATGATACCGCTTGATAATAGGCTTACACTGTGTCTAGAGACTAATATTCATAACCTATAGCTACAGGCTAACCGCATCGGAGCGGAGTTTTGAGTGCTTTGCCCCCCCCCCCCCCCCCCCCCCGAGATATGAAAGATTGTTTTGGAATAATTAGCATAAAGCTGATACTTGGGCAAACTCCCAATCATTAAGTGGCAGTGAGCTGGGGCCAGGAAGTCTATAGTACGTCTGTTTATCGAAATCAAATTTTCAATCATAAAAACTGTCGAAATTTTGCGAGTGGTACGCAGAGGCGGCGCTCTTGGGGGGCAGCTGGGCATATTGCCCCCATCCACCTTTTCAAGTACCCCAAAGTGCCCCCTTTTACATAGGAGAACTGCCCTTCAACTGTGTAAGAAGTTCCCCTTTTCACCTTTGATAAGAACCTCCTTTTATTTTGACACGTGCCCTTTTCCTTCGAAAAATTCGCACTTTTCTTTCAAATAAGTGCCCCTTTTCCTTTGTAAGAAGTACCCCTTCCCACTTTAATAACTACACCTTTTTAAGTTGAATTGAGCGCACCTTTTATTTTCACATGTGTCCCTTTTCCCTTTCTAATAAGGGCCCTTATTCCAGTATGATAAGTGCCCCCATTTAATCAAGAACCCAAATGCCCCTTTTCATCTCGGGTAAATGACCCTTTTCAAGTACGAGAACTACACCTTTTTAAGTCGGATTGAGCGCACCTTTTATTTTCACATGTGTCCCTTTTCCCTTTCTAATAAGGGCCCTTATTCCAGTATGATAATTGCCCCATTTAATCAAGAGCCCATTCCCCTTCCATAAATGCCCCTTTTCATCTCGGGTAAATGACCCTTTTCAAGTACGAGAAGTGACTCCTTTTCATTTCAAATACAATGTAAGTGCCCACTTTATCTCCGATAATTGCTCCTTTTCAAATCTGAGAGATACTCGTTTCACTTTGACAAGTGCCCTTCCCTCCTGATAAATGGACTTTTTATTTCTAATGAGTGCCCCTTTTCACCTCTTGTAACTAACCCTTTTATTTTGATACGTGCCCCTTTTCCATTTTAATGAATGCTCTTTTTCCTTCTTATAAGTGCCTCTTCCTTTTCTCATGACTACCCCTTTTCATTTCTGATACGTGCCCCGTTTATTTAGTTTAACATTTGCCTCTTTTTATTTTTAATGACAGCCACTTTCCCCTTCTCATAAAAGCCAACTTTCACCTCCGATAAATGATCCTATTGAAATATGATCGGTGTCCCTTTTCTTTCAACAAAATTAATGCTCATTTAAAGGTACCCCTTTTCATCCCGGAGTGCCTCTTTTCAGGTGTAAGAAGTGCCCCATTTTCACTTCTGATAATTACCCTTTGTACTTTGACACGTACTCCTTTTTTTCCTTCTAATAAGTGTATTATGCCTTTCGATAAGTGTCCATTTTCCTCTCATCACTAAGCAATTTCCCCCAATTCATAGATGATAACTATTATTATGTTACTGTTTAAAAAGTCTGTTCAGTCTTCCGTTATGAGATGTGCTTATACCCCCACCAGGATTGATCCCCCTCCCCCCCCCCCCTCCTCTTTATATGATGTAATTTTGCGCACTGCGACCTCACCAATCTTCCCTTGCTCGAAAATGAATATTCAGACCCTCACACCCAACTGTAAAGTATGATGCTTAAGCAATATCTTGTATGATGTATAAACAGAAACAAATATTGAAATCATCCCTGATAACATAATCACAATATAGGGTATTATACCAATATCTAAAAAATTGTTTATTTTCGCCTTGAGATTTCCCTTTGTAGTGTCCATTTTCCTCTAGAAAGTGCCCTTTTTGTTGGTGCCCCCCACTTTAGAAGTATCTCCAACGCTCCTGTGTTATACTCTCTCTTTGTCTATTTCTCCCCCTTCCAACGCACCCCCCCCCCCCTCTCTCTCTCTCTATCTATCTCTTAGTTTAATTAAGCCTAAACTTATGACTTCCATTACCTAACATATTTTGAAATCATCTATTCAGCTGCAGCTCGATTCATCCGTAAATGTTTTGATTGTATAAGCATGGTCCCTGTAGGCTAATCTCCGGACTATTGCAGTGTGGCGAACCTTTTTTTTTTATAGTGGAGGTAAGGGCAGCGCCACTTAGGGAACTTTTTGTAAATTTATTAGCACCTACAAGTAAACCTTTGCTTACGGGAACCTGGTAGTCTCTGTGTTAAAGTCTATAGGACCTATACAATTTAGTAGTCAACGGTTTAACTTGGTGAAAAGGACAAACTTTCTTGGACCAATATAGTGGTTAGTTATTAGTATGCGTCATTTTACAACAAAATAGGGGATCATGGGAATGAAACAAGGGAAACGCCCCCCCCCCCATCCCTCAAATGAAATCTTCTGAATAAAATCAGCATTTGAAGTGAATATTGACTAAGAATCATCAGAAGAATTATTTATTATTATTTGTACCAAGAACGGTAACTTTAATTGAATATGAACGAATAACAACAATTGAATTCATTAATAATTCTCATCATGATAAATTGTGAAAACATAATCCAAGTCTATGACTTAAAGTTCCATTTGACCTATACTTTGTGACCTGGAATGTGTGTCGTATGATTTGTGACACTCAGTAAACAAAATATTGGGGGAAAAATTGCCCAATTTTTACCCAACACTGTGTGTCCAACCAAATGTTGGGTAAAGATTTTGCATGATTTACCCAGTGTTGGATAAAAAAGAAAATCCAACTTTTAACCAACACAAATTTACCCAATCAGAAATTCACCCAATTCTCATCATAATGTGTAGCATAAGTTGGACACTATAGTTGGGCAAATAAGTTGGATAAAATATTATATGCAAAAGGAGATTAAGTAGTGCCGCGGCGGGAGCCGAACCGCGGACATCGTAATTCATAGTCATGACTGTGACATACCCAATAGACCACGACACCTCTAATAAATTAATATAACCCTATTGTTGTATAATAATATTGCCCGACTTACGTTTGCCCAGTTCCATCTGCCCAACTCATTTTGAACATAATTGGGGAAATCCAATGTAGTAAATGGTTGGGAAAAAATAACCCAATTATTGGACAGCATTTGCCCAACATCGATTTGCCAAGTAACACCTATACCCAACCTAATTTTTATCTTTAATTAGGTAACTTCATATAGTAAACGGTTGGGATAAAATAACCCAATAAATTATCGGACAAAATTTGCCCAACATCGATTTACCCATGCAGTCATAGGCGCCGGAAGTTGGGGGGGGGGGGGCAGGGGGCACTCCCCCTAAAAACAAAAAATGGAGGCAAAACGCATTTTTGCCCCCCAAAAACGCCCCCCACCCTTCCAAAAAAAAGGAAAGAAATGCAGTAAAAGGGTAAAGATGGTTTGTATTTTAAACCCAAAAGAACATAACAATAATAAAAACCGGAATTTAATCACATATAAAATTCCATTCAAAGAAAAGGAAAGTTAACAGGAATTCAATTTTCTAAAACATTTTCTGCCCCTGGACTCTCCGCCCATTAGTGACCTAACAGTGTCACAAATAAGGTATATAAATATGCTTATCTGACCATAATTTAATGCCTAAAAACGCTGAGCTTTCGAGGGCTCAGCCCCTTGACCCCCTGCCGAGGCTTCCAAACGTTTTTGCTCATTACGCCACTGCCCCTGGAAGGTGAGCCCCCTGGAACATTTGCCCCCCCCCCCAATCCCAAACTGCTTCCGGCGCGCCTGCATGCAGTAACATCTGCCCAACTTTTTTTTTACAGTGTATACAAGTTTCATGGAATTTGAACAAACACTTTTGAAATTATGCTAAAAATTCAAAATCTTGATGTTGATGCCACAACAAATTCTAAGTTTGCAGACCTGAAATGAAATTTGACTTGACTTTGTCGCCTAACAGACTAATCACATTATTGGCGAATGCGATACTTGCTAACCATTATGTTCAAGTTTCATGGAATAGGAATGTATGCTTTCAAAATGATATGATAATAATTCAAAATCTTACCCTTTGATTAAATTTTGATGTTGATGCTACAACATAGTCAAAGTTTGTTGCCCTGAGAAGAACTTTGGCCTTGACTTTGTGACCTACAATTCTACTCACATGATTGAGGATATTAAAGGGGAAGTTATTAAGTTATTAAATTAAGTTAGTTTTAATAGGAGTAGAAAAATGAGAGAAACAAGTCAGTGAAAGTTTGAGCAAATTCCGATTAAAAATAAGGAAGTTAGGATTTTTGAAGTTGTGAGCAATCAAACACAAATTGGCAACTCTATGACGTATCATGCGAGCTCAACTTCCATTTGCATGCTCAGTACTAAAAAAATCTAAAATTTTCATTTTCCCTCAAGAAAAATTTCAACCATACATGCACCCTAAATATAATAATTGCAAATATGTTTCTATACTCACCCTGCAAGGAACAAATATATATTCCGTCATCAATAACGAAGAAAACATGATTTTATGGAATATTATGCACAAAGCAAATGAAGGAGAGCTCGTATAATAAGTCACAGAGTTGCCAATTTGTATTTGATTGATCACAACTTCAATAATTCATAACTTTCTTATTTTCATTCAGAATTTGCTCAAACTTTCACTCACCTGATTTTCTTATTATTCTGCCTCTATCGAAACAAACTTATTTTGGGGTGGACTTTCCCTTAACTGTTTAGTCAAAGTTTCATTGAATGAGAACTTGTACTTTCAAAAATTATATTACAAATATATAGTGATCAATAACAAACATGGATGAGGATGTACATTTCCAAGTTCAACTTTCAGAGAGGCACTTTTTGGACACACATAAGGGGCATTTTCTTAATTTTTGTAAAATTGGTTGCCTTTAGGCGCACCGAAATAAATGAAAGTGAATGTATGAAAAAACAGACCTAAAAGCTTGTGATTCGATCTTAGGCTATTATTATGCACCGATATAATATCGTGTCCACTTCCGACAGATCCATATTATGCTCTTCCAGACTGTGTATGATCGAATCTCTTTGCGAGCGAAGATGTATAGCTCCATCTTGTGACAATAAGCTCTATAGTTTTTAAATGGCCGGATGCGGAGTCAGCTGGCCTAGGCCCTATAGCCTGTCATCGGTGTACGTGCATGTACTGTGCAGGGGGTTACGTGCAGTGCAGGTCGATGGTGCGAGTTTTGCATTCCCAGGGTCGCGCGCCCGGGTTATACATGCGTTGAATTCGTGCATGCAGAGCAAGCAGCTAGCAGATCTAAAGACTGAGACAGTGAGACCATCTGAACATCAACCTTTGTTATTGACTTGCTTTGCTGAAAGTTAGCGGTAAGTATTATAATCACGAAATCATGAAGTGTAAGGTGAAAATACATTTTACTGCTTTTATCCACATTAAACTTTGTCTGCATTGTAGTTAAATGTTGTTGGACAGAAGCCTATAGGCTATAGCCGGCCCGGTAGACGTAGACTGCCATAACTGCGGTAGGAGAAATTCAATTCACCCAATAATAAAACATTCCCAACACAATAGGCCTTGATCTAATGAACAAAAGATGGCCTGATGAATGGAACTAACAACTTACGGGAGCCCCATAATATCTCAAAATGACCCCAAATCTATATGTACATGAAATTCAATTCACATCCAGTTTTATTGTTACTCTTATGACATGTTATTACTGGTAATTGAAGGATCCATTTGTACCAAACTCGTAAACCTGCACAAGATAAACATGCATGATGAATGTGCAAAGTTGATAAATGTATGGACGTGTGACCAAAGTTCGCGCGTGACCTAAGTTCGCTAACTCGAAAAATCAGTAAGATTTTGAAAATCTGATATCACCAATGGAAAGAGGAACATAAAATTACCCGGAAATGAAATTTTCTTTGGAATTGGGTACGAAATTGTGAAAATATTGACAAAAGATCAGCAAATTTTGCAATCTTTTGCGTCCGTTCCGAAAAATTATCAACTTACCGATAAGGGTCTGAAAATCTTCAATTTGAGAGCAGATTTCCTCAAAATTGTAAGTAAAAAGTGGTACCAACTGATTGTCTTGTCTTGCAAATTATGATATTACCTTATTTTTGATGGATCGCTTTTTTTGATGAATCAACTGTAAACCCCATGCGTGAACTTAGGTCTCATTGTTTTCTAAAGTTTCGGGTGAATTGGAACGGAAGATGGCGCCTTTCTAGAAAATAACACACGAGCCTCTCTTTAGCAAAGTTTTGATCCAACAGGACTTTTGAAGGCCTTTTCAGCTCTGATTTTACTGCTCTTTGATTTAGTGTTTCCTAATGCCGGACAAGAGATTAAACTCCCCGTCCAAAAACGGTGGATCGATCGAGAAAAAGCAAAGAAAGTTGCCCGTTGATTGTCAGCGATCCAACGCCATGTCTCCGCCAGCCGGCCCCGGCAGCTCCCGGGTGAGTGACGCGGCCGCTGCAGCCCCTGTTTGGTTCATAGAATATGAAAGGCGTTTGGATTCAAAGTTTGATGACCTGCATAAGAGACTGGATTTTCATGAAGCTGCTTGTGAAGAAAAGTTCCAACATCTGGAAAAGGAATTGGCTGCAGCTTTTGATAAGATTGACGACCTTGAGAATAGATCTCGAAGAAACAATCTAATCTTTTTCAACTTCCCTGAAGGTGAGGAGCCTGATTCTGCCAGTGGATGCAGTGAGTTGATTTCATCTTTTTTGGCCTCTATTGACAAGAATCTTGAGCATGTTCAGATCGAGAGGGCTCACCGCACGCCGCCAGGTCCACCATTATCTCGTGGACATCCCCAGAATGGCAGCCAGTACAAGCCGAAGGATCGTCCAATTCATGTTTGCTTCAGTTCGTTTCAAGATCGAGTGAGGGTCCGGAAGGCATGTGTTGCTGCGTTCAAGGAGGGGTTCAAGTACAAAGAGAGATCAAAGTTGTTTGTTGCAGAGGATTTCAGTCATCGCGTTCAGGCTCGCCGTAAAGCTCTCCTGCCTGAGTTAAAGATGTTGCAGCAACAAGGAAAGCGAGCATTCTTTGTATACCCTGCGACAATTAAGTATGTCCAAGATCACCAGCTGAAGGTTCACAAGCCAGGTGTTTGAATTGCAACTGTAGTACACCATAAAAACTGTGATTATCATAGTGGCTGTCTCGTACAAACCGTCTGACTTTCACAGAAAACTTTTATATTTTACAAGATAACATGCCTTGAACTTAACGCGTTTTAACTTGCTGGACACCAGATTAGTTTAGTGATGTCGGTCTTTTTAAACATATTTTGTTCACTTAAACTTTTTTAGGAATTCTCGGGGTGCCCTGGAGGTGCCTTGTTTTTGGTTACCCACGATTCACCATTGGGGATAATAGTTTTTATTGTTCTTATCCTTGTTGATACTGGTTCATTATGATTAATTATGAGGCTCTAAGGTTTTCTCATTCTTGCCTCATACCGTTGGCTGCCTTTCCAGTTTGTTTTGTTTTTGGTGGGTGTTTGTGCGTATGCTTTTTTCACTGAGTGTGTGGTGTGTGCCCTTTTCCCAGGGGTCCTTTATCATGAATCAAATTGTGTACATTTTTAGGATATTACTTGTTTTGTCAACTCACTGTTGCTACTCTAGGTTTTTACTGTTATATGATGTTACAGATTAATACTTTTAACTGCAGAGGTCTGCATGACAATTTTAAAAGAAAGAAAGTTTTTAATTTTTTAAGAGAATTTGGGTATGATATAATCTTTCTTCAGGAAACCCACTCTAGGATAGATGATGAGAAGCTGTGGCGTACTCAGTGGGGAGGGGAGGCAGTTTTTGGCAGCTATTGTTCTAATAGCCGAGGTGTGGCTATTTTGTTTAAAGCTTCTTTGAAAATATCAGTCTTATCTTTTCACCTGGATCCTGAGGGAAGATATATTATCCTCCATGTTAATGTTAATGATGTACACTTTATTCTTGTCAACTTATATGGTCCTAACAAAGACTCACCAGATTTTTTTGTTAATGTTTTTGCTAAGTTAGATGAAATAGGTAACTCTCATGTTATTTTAGCAGGAGATTTGAATATTGCGGTAGGCCCTTTAGATTATGAGGGTTCTAATGCAACCCACTCTAATGCTCGTGCCAAAATTGCTTTTAATATGTATGTAGAAGAACTAAGTCTTGTAGATGTATGGAGAAGAGATCATACTCATGATAAGATTTTTACACGCCATCAGAAAATTCCATTTGTTTCCTCCAGGTTAGACTATATTTTTATTTCTAGTGATTTGTTGAATTGCGTAAAGAAATCTAAAATTGTGACTGGTATTTGTTCTGATCATTGTATGGTAACACTAGCACTGTCACTAAATGATTCACCTCGGGGCAAGGGATACTGGAAACTGAACACTGCACATTTGAAACATTCAGAATTTTGCAATTTCATTAAAGACAAAATTAAGGAATTTAAGGAATTTCATGCTGAATGTGATCTAAATCCACATATTATTTGGGATGCATTCAAATGCACAATGGCTGGTCATTGTATGGAGTATTGCAGTAGAAAGAAAAAAGAAAAGAATTTGACTAAGAATAATTTACTAAAGAGTATATCCTTACTTAAAGAAAAAATTGGTTCATTGAAAAAGGATAATAGTTCAAATGGAGAACTGCAAGAATTATATAGCAAATTAGAAGTTGAAGAAGCACAGTTGAATGAACTTCTGGATACTGAAACTGCTGGCTCTATAGTAAGGTCTAGATTAAAGTGGGCTGAACACGGAGAAAAAAGCTCTAAATACTTCTGCAATTTAGAAAAACGGTCCTATGAAAGAAAAACTATACGCCAACTGAAGGCGAACAATGAGCAAATCATCACTGATCCTAAAAGAGTACTTCAGGAAATTCATTCGTTTTATAAAGCTTTATATTCTTCAGAGGTATCTCTTGAGGATAGGGACACTATCAAGGACTTTATCGCCCCTTTGAATATACCTACCTTATCAGATGATTCAATTTCTGCTCTAAACAGACCTTTAACCAAAAATGAACTTTGGACTACTTTAAAGAATATGGGAACAAATAAGAGTCCAGGACTAGATGGCCTTCCTTGTGAATTTTATTTAACCTTTTTCAATGATATCATAGATTTATTACTCCACTCTTATAGTTATTCCTTTCAAGAAGGAATTTTATCACAATCTCAAAGAAGTGGAATAATCACGCTTCTTCCAAAAAAGGGTAAGGATCCATTGTTAGTGAAGAATTATCGCCCTATCTCTCTACTGAATGTTGACTATAAATTATTAGCCAAAGTTATGAGCTCCCGTTTGAAGTCTTGTATAAATTCTTTGATACATACAGATCAACAAGGGTTTATGAAGGGACGCAACATTGGGGCCAATATTCGGGTTATAATTGATTTAATTGAATATACAGACTATATGAATGAGCCAGCTACAATTATTTTGTTAGATTTTGAGAAAGCGTTTGATAGAATAGAACATGATTATTTATTTTCAGTCTTGGACTATTTTAATTTTGGAGACAATTTTATAAGATGGATAAGGACTTTTTACAATGATAGAACTAGTTGTGTGTTAAACAATGGTTTTATGTCCAATCCGGTTGCAATTAAAAGAGGAATATTCCAGGGGTGCCCAATATCCCCTCTTTTATTTATACTAGCTATTGAAATTCTGGCTATTTCAGTACGACACAATCCGGGGATAAAGGGAATTTCAGTTGGCAACTTTGAACAGAAGATAAGTCTTTTTGCAGATGACACAACTTGTTTTTTGAATGGGGAAACAGTTTCCTTTAAACATTTATTTGAAACGTTGACTCAGTTTGCAAAATTTTCAGGTTGTCGCATTAATTTAAGTAAGTCAGATGCAATTCATATAGGAAAGCTGAAAGGCAGTACAGTTATTCCACAAGATGCATTAGGGTTGAATTGGAAATCAAAAACGTTTAAGGCTTTAGGAGTGGTTTTCTCATTGAACACAAAAATGCTTTACGAACTGAATTTTGTTCCCAGACTTGTCATTATAGAACAGATTTTAAATTGTTGGCGGCATAGAAGCCTATCCTTGTTGGGCAAAATTGCTGTTGTAAAGTCGCTTTTACTCCCCCAAATGTTATTTTTGTTTTCAGTATTATGTATTGACCTGCCAAACTCTTTCTTTAAAAGATTAAATGGTTTGCTTTTTAAATTCATTTGGAGCAATGGCAATGACAGAGTTAAGAGAGATATATTATGCAATGATTATGAAGAAGGGGGTCTAAGGATGATTAATCCTTTAGTTTTTGCACAAGCGCAGAAAGTTTTGTGGATGGCTAAACTATTAGACGATAAATATGAAAGTTGTTGGAAAACAATAGAAATATATATTCTTTCTACCTTTTGTGATGACCATCTTGCCCTTTTTAAGGCAGATGCCCCTGATTCGGTTTTGGCAAAACTTAAAAATTGCCAGTTAACAGCGTCTATTAAGACATGGTATTTATATAGGCAAGAGATGAAAAGAGAACTAGGTTTATGTCAGTTTCATTTACAAGATTTTATTTGGTGGAATAGAAATGTAAGATTGCAATATAGAACACATTTTTTCTATCCAGTTTGGTATGAAAGGGGTATTCATTCCATTTTTCAATTACATAATGGTTTTGGTAATCCCAAAACATTTGAAGACCTCGTATATTAGAGACCAAAAAAATATGACTCCCTCATGAATGGCATATTTTTGGAGTGGTTTGATAATTCTCTTAATGTGGATGAGAATATATTTAATCAAATTTTTAAAGATCTATTAAGTCAAAAGAAAATGTCTAAGTATACATATAATATTTTGCTGAAGAAATATAGTTGTACTAATGCCAAAAGGGAGAGTAAATGGGAGGAACTATTTGGCCATCAACCCAAAGAGAAGGATTGGTCGATTATTCATACGAGTAACTTTTGTTGCACGATTGAGACTCAGTTAAGGAGTTTTTATTTCAAAATTTTCCATAATGCTATTGGTTTTAATGCATTTTTGTTCAAGATTGGGAGAAAGGAGTCTGCTAATTGTTATTTTTGTTCAGATTTTCCAGAAACTTTAGATCACTTGTTTTGTGACTGTAGGAGAGTTGTACCACTGTGGGAAAAATTGGTGGATAAGATTAACACTGGCACTGATCACAGTTATAATCTGACTTTGTCAAATTTAATTTTTTGTTTGGGATACAGTCAAGGGACAAATACGCCTCTTGTATAAATTTTCTCTGTTTATGTTTAAAATATTATATTTATTCATGTAGGTTTCAGGGAAAAGAACTTATTTTCGAAGCATTTGTTTCAATGGTAAAGTTCAAACAAAAAATAGAATATAAAATTGCCCAAAAGAAAAATAAGTTACAAGTCCATTTTAAGAAATGGTCTATCAAGTTTAACTGAAATTTAGGAGTAGTCTTGCAAAGCTCTGTTGTCATTAACATCTTCATTGACTTTTTGAAATGTAAACTTGCCCTCTGGGAAAGTATGTGTGTGTGTGTGTGTGTGTGTGTGTGTGTATGTTTATGGGTGCATGAGTGCGTGCCTATTTTGTAGTTTTAAGATGATATTATATTTTATATTGCTGCTTTTACTCTGTTAATTTTTCAAAAATAACAATAAAAACAGAAGAAAAAAAAAAAAAAAAAAAAAAAAAAAAAAACAACTTAGGTCTCATTGTTTTTATGACTTTTTTTGATGCTGTGCGGACGCACGATCGGACATTGAATTTTTAGATCGCGATATCTCCGACATCCTTCAACAATGAATTTCTATTTGACCAAATTTAGTAAAAAACTTTGCCGTCCATTTGGTCATAATTGAAATAAATAAATTTGTGTAGAATATGAGAAATCATAGATCGAATATCACATTTTGTAATATGTTCTAAAATGTCCGCGAACTTTGGTCACCCCTTCATACATGTAGACCTGGACTAATTGTTGTTTGAAGATGTGCAGTTCCAGTTGCATGTATTTCACTATTTGTTCATTTTTTTCCTCCCTGCAGAAGAGAAAGAATAAGATTATCGTGAGACCGTAATCAATTAAAATAAAAGTTATTTGATCTAAGATTTTCAGCAAAATTTATTTTTAATGTATGTTTTTCTGCAAAATTTATTTTGAAAACTTGCATTAAATCTACCGTTAAAAGCGATGTAATCCTTGAAAGAAAGTTATCTTTTAAATAATGTCTGGGTTCGCAGCATTGTAACTTTTTACACGGCAAGATGAATAAACCCCATCAGACACAGATATTCAAGTTCGTACACCAAATCTGACCTGGAGAACTCTGATTTTTGGACAAGAGGATTAACATTGAAGTAAAATTTGAAAACTTTGCTCGAACACAAGAATAAGACGAAGAGAGTTCTCTCAATGTGTGATCAACTTATGAAATTATTTTTCCACTAGATGAACTTATGAAACTATTTTTCCACTAGACATCATTGATAGCAGTAGGCCTAGCAAAAATACTGTATGTATTTTTATATGATGTGTACACTGTTACAGCCATCTTTCCCTCCCATCTCGGCTATTTTTTCTAAGACAGCAGAATTCTAAATATGTCTATCCAGTATCCATGCTGTTTTACCTCTGAAAAATAATTTACTTTTTCTTTGCACTATACATGTACATGTACTTATTGTAGCCTTTAAACATGGCAGAAAAGGTGTGCCAGTCATGTGAGTGAAAGGAAGTTTGAAGGATATGATTGTCCTTGAAAAATGCAATTTGCCAGTTCAAAAGTTGGAGTCTAATCGAGTTACATTGTTGACTTATTCTAAAGGTCATGTTGGTTGTCAAACTGTTTTTCCATAATTTAGAGGTACATGCAAACATTGCAAGTTCAAACTGCATCATAAATGATGGGCCGTTGACCAGGCAGCCTACTGTACCAGTACCTCCCAGCAGAATGAAGCAGATTTGTGTAGGCTATCATTACATATTGCAGTGAAACGTACAGTTTGTACAGGAATAGTGAGCGATCTACCTTTGTGAAAATGAAAGAGCTTTGGAAAACAACAACAACAAACTCTTGGTAGAAAAACAAAACAAAACAATACAAAGTAAAGAAACAGCATTCATCACAAGATTATTTTTTTTACTCTGGCCTGTAGATAGAGGACATCTTCACCCCACGGTCCCCATCCCCCATTTACAACACATATTTCTAAGGAGGATATCATGAATACCAATTGCACAAGTCTAACTTCTATGGAAGTAAATCTTTCTGATTATAGGAGAGGTTAAGAAAATTCAGATGCTATAGAGCTAATACATAGTTTATTCTTCTTGTCCTGTGATATTGAATTCTATTGTGTGGGTACATACTCTAATTCTATTGTTCGGGGGGGGGGGGGGGGGGGGGGGTTTGGGCACAGTATTGATACCCAGTGATATTACCCACCGTTCTCTTGTTATCTGCAAATGGCTCAAACTACCTTGAAGTCAAATTAAAAATAAAAGATTGGCCATGGAAATTGTTTACATACTTCTACATTAATGCTTAGCTGTCTGCCATAGCTGAAATTAAGCTATCAGACATTCATGTGACAGGTCAAAGGTTCATTGGACATACAGTTTACCACTGTATGTCCTTCCAGATGAGCTATTTACACACTGGTTTGATATGTTAGGTAGTTATGTTTGCTACAGCTACCCCTCTCATTCTCAGGTTTTCTTCTACTGGAAAGATAGTGATTTGATTGAAATTTGAAAGACATTTCATAAGCTTGCCTGGTTGTCTTTCTGAGGTACATGTATTTGAAGTGTGAAGATGTGCAGTGAGGAAATATATTTGAATATGCTGTGATGAATTGAGGTTTCTATTTATGAATTTGTGTCTGAGTGTAAGAGTTTTAATACAGTATTTCATTAGACATGTACAACTGTAGGTACAGTGGGGAAAATTCTCAGTTGACCTACTTGACTGTTATCTTGTCAGGAATACATGTACCTTCAGGGACTTATTATTTTGTGCTTAAAAAAACTTGCGATGGGAGTTTGACAGGAAGATTTGCATGATATCCAAAGGTCATTATAGGCTGCTCTGTAGTCTTTCTTCCTTTTTGTGTCCTCAAGTTGAATTATAAGAGATCCTCAACCGAAACCTTTGATTTTGTGTTTCTTGTTGCTTTTTTCCAGGTAGTCATCATCTCCGATCATCATGGCTTCCAAGCGCCCCCACGTAGCGGACGATGAGCATGACAGCGAGCATTACTTTCAATTGGCTCAGTACAAGGTCGCCACAGCCAACACATTCTTGGACCACTGCAGCAAGCTTCACATTGAATCCCGTCCAGGCAATGTGCGCAACTCTGGAATCGTCTGCACTATTGGTATGGTTCATGATGACAACTGTTGTTATTATTGTTGTACAAATTTCTTTATGATGGACGTAGACTTCGGTTTCAGATTTTTACCTCTGTATACCTGTATACAGTGTATGTGTCTTTTATGGCAGGAAGGTCATTCATTACCCAAAAGTGAGAGTTTAGAATATTTTTATATTTGTTTTTACGAAAGTTCCAGTGCCATAAAGTCGACTTCCACATGTGGTAATTTTATTAAAATTTACAAGTTTTTGTTGTTTCATTTTTGTAACATTTTTATGTACATTTTGTAAAACATGATTTGCAAACATTTTGTTATTTTGTTGTTGATTCAGTCAATCAATCATGGCATCTTGATAATTGTATTTTTGTGCAAATATGTAGACTTTTCTTGCAACCCTTATCTGTGGAAGAGCAGTCTTTGTTATTCAAGAATTGGAATTTTTAAATCTCACATTTCATTATCCCCAAACAATTTAATAATAAACTTACCTAATACGTAAATTGGATTTTAAATAAGGTTGCATTTCTTCTTTTCAGGACCTGTTTCTCGTAGCGTTGACACTCTGATGGATATGATCAAGAATGGCATGAACATCGCTCGTATGAACTTCTCACATGGATCACATGAGGTAAGAAAGAGTAGGTTCAATTTGTTGTTTTGATATATTGTTTTTAAATGCAGGTAAAACCAATATTACAATTGAGTTATATATGTAGCTGTGTAGGTATGATGTAGGCAGATCTCACCTACTTAGACATTTTTGCAGATACAAGTTGAGTGACTGGAAAATGATCATGTTACATCATTGGTATTGTATCAGTAAGGGTGATGTAATGCATTCCACAGCATATGCAGAAGTCACCATCTGTAAAGAATTGATATGCATGTACAGGTGTACTTGAATTAATTTTTGAAAGTTTAATATAGATACATTTACATGTAGATTAGGGGAGACCAACAACACTCCCTGCATGCTCCAAAAAAAAAACCAGGAGGGCATTTCACAAAGCCTTTTTTCAATGACAAATGACAGAAATCAGTGACAAATCTGCTGATAACCAATCAGAAGCAAGGATTTCAGTAGCTTATAACAAAAACTGTCATTTGTCACTGATGACAAGTTTTGTGAAACGCCCCCCTGGTCTCATCATGTAGCTGTCATATCCTTATCCTCTTTTTTTTGGTGTGATCCTGTAGTACCATGCAGAGACAATCAAGAATGTTCGTGAAGCTGAGAGGCGTCTGACCCAGGTGCGTACGTGCAGCATCGCTGTAGCTCTGGACACGAAGGGACCAGAGATCAGAACTGGACTCTTGGCAGGTGTAAGTATCATCTATCATTAATCCACTTTAAGAGATAATGTCAGGTAACATCCCTTTTGCAAGACATTAATCTACATATTTGCCATGTCCACCTGGATGATTTAAAAGGGTATCTGGTAGGTATTAATGTCTTGAAAGACTAGAGTGCCATAATGGCAGCCATGGGTTAATAGTTTTGGAGCGCCAGGAGGGTCATGTTTGACAGATACCAGCGCTTTACAAGAACTTGCTATTATTATCATTAATTGCAAGCTCTCGGCGCATATCTCTGCAAATCCATTGCAAATTGGGACCAGTCCATGCTGTGTGCATGTCATTTCTTCTTACCGGTACATTGTAATGTGACATAATTCACACAGGATAGTGATGACTGTAGTGCATACCGTACACAAAATGGTTATTTCTCTCAAAATGTCTAATTTTTTTTCTCCCTTTCCTGATTTGGGATAATCCTTATTCCTTGCATGCTTTAAATAAAATAAGTATGATAGTGTGAAATAAAATTGGAGCAATTCTAGGATTTGAGTTTTACATGAGGGAATGTCTTCCAGAGATTAAAAGAAATTATTTTCCCAAGTTGTTGATGTTTTTGTTTGGTTCACATAATAGTTGTGTATGTTTACATCTTTTGTATTCATTTTTATTGTAAGACAGTGCCAATCAAGGTGAGAATGCCTTTAATTTGCACAGTAAAAAAATATTTTTGTAGACTGAACACTGTTGGGTTTTGCTTCAATGTGTTCGTAAAGTGGAGGAAAACATCCAACTTGCACAATCCAATCTTGTGAAGCTGTAATATGTTAAAATTCCTTATGAACATAATTTGAAAGTGCAAACTTTCTGACTTTCATTGTCTAAAATTTGACTTGTGACAACCAAAGTTGAAAAGATGAATTGCTATTCTTGATTTGACCCAGGGAGGATCAGCAGAAGTCAAGCTAGAAACTGGAAAGATTATCCGTCTCAGTCTGAACAAGGCTGATGCTGAGTCAGGCACTGCAGAGAAGATCTACGTTGACTACGCAAACATGAGGAAGGTCCTGGATGTCGGTGGCACCGTCTTTGTCGATGATGGCTTGATTGCTCTTGCGGTAACTGCAATTGGTGAGTTTGAAAAAGCAGTAATTCCATGCTTAAGACCCTGTCACACATGGGTTTGATTGCTTTGTGAAACCTGGGTCACCCAGAGGCTAGCCTGGGAGCAACTGTACAAATTTCACCCGTTTACACAGTGATTCCAGACAGTAACCCAAAGCTGATGGCTCTCTACTATTGCATACCTGCCAACCACCCCGATTTAGGCGGAGTTTCTCCACATTTTTCATACCAACTCCGAATTCCGAGTGCATGCCTCAAAACTCCGATTTTTTTTAATTTAATTTTTTTTTTTTTTTTTTTTTTTAAATAATTTTTTTTAAATTAATATTTTGTGTGTGCGTCCGCCATTTTCAATGGCAAAATGTCCATTCTGTCCTGTAAAGTATCCTACAAGCATCTCACACCACCAATTTGGGGATGTTTATACCTGCATATAGCCCACGTGTATTTATATTACATGTGCAGTTGATACGCCGTGCATAAACACTGTATACATTGGCGTGTTTTCTTCAATGCTTGTGCGATGACTGCGATCGTGGAAGCTTGTTATTTACCGGACTTCCTCGGATTTATTTTGGATCACTACTACTATATACCTTTGCAAAATAGGGCTCCTAATTGAGGTGGGTAGTGAAACATGTAGTTTTGTGAGTGTTCACATTTCAAAAATTGTTTATGTGTGGGGCGAAAAGGTTGAAGGAAAAGGCCCATTTGCACCATTAAAATGGAGAGAAAAAAAAATAGACCCTAAAGTCCTGTGTACCCCCCCCCCCCCCCCCCCCCCCCCCCCCCCCCCCCCCCACCAATCTACGGGCTACTACCCCAATCCTTCGGTGGTTCGCGACCTCGTAGTCCATCCAGAAAAATTTACTCCTAATTTCTCTTGTCTCAGGTTGGCAGGTATGCTATTGTGTGTACGGAATAATATCTTTTAGAGCTGTACATATTGTCACCAGTTTGGCTAGGATATTTGATGTCATATTATGTATATAATATTTCATTCCATGAAACAATCATAATTATTGTACTAGTCTATGTAAAGGATGTAAAGGATGTCTTGCTATCGCTATTGCAAATTACAAATTCAGCTAGCCCGATCTCAATTGCTTTACATACAGCGGAATTCTTTCTTCTCTCCTCTTGCTTTTTTTTCTTGACTTTCACGAGGTTTCTCATACTCTCTCCAGGGACCTGCCCTCTCTATGACCTTCACATAGTCAGCCCTTTCTACTCTATGCTCTCCTCACTTTGACCTCAAATTCACTTTCAGAACTTTCACTCTGTCTCTTCTCACTTTGACTTGCCTTGACTTTCAGAGCTCTCCGTTCTTTCCGTTCGCTCTTGTTTGCCCTAAACTCTCATTTCAACCTTGTACTTTCATTCAGCCCCTTCTGCTTGCTTCTTCTCTTGACTTTCTCCTGTCCTTGTGTCCTCTCTCTCTCTTAATATGACTTTGAGCTCTCTGTTTTATGTGCTCAATGATGCCCTTCTCCCTATATACTCCGCAGCGCGACAAGTGTCTTTCTTGTTACCTTCATGACTGGTCTTTCTCTATCCCTCTCGAAGAGAGAAGCTTGTTCGGAAGGCAGACTTCATTCTTAACTTAAGCAGTTTGGAGTGAAGAATCTGTCAGTTAAGAGTGAAAACCTTGGCAGTTAAAGATACTATGTCCCATTTGCAGGCCCAAAAAATAAAAAGGTCAAATTCCTTTAAGAGTGAGACTTGTGAGCTGTCAAGAGTTAATTGTGTTAGTTATGTGACAAGCTTGTCACAACAGTGTTTAAAGAGAGAGTAATCAACGAAAGAGATAGAGAGCCAACCAGTTCAGAAATGGTCACCATTTATGTTAGTCTATCTTCTTAGTGAGTTATAATGCCTGCTCCACTATTTTGCCTCTCTGATTTGCAAGACATTCTCTCTTATCCATCCTTGTAAATGTGTTTGAGTTTGCAGTAATAAACTCCTCAACTGTAATTTCTGCCTCACATGTGTTTTCGCCCCGGCTCTCTGCCATCCCTGACAACTAAAATTTCAACATAGGATGGGGTTTTATTTGGGACTTTCACAGAATAAGGAATATATTCTGCTTATTGTTGAAAATTTTCTGCCCAATACAAGAGAAATCTGTAACTAAGCTGTTGATTGTCCTGTTAGCTTAAATGGAAGAACATCTGCTGGTAAAAAGTAAATTATACATCAGCAGCAATAATGAAAACGCATTTTCAATTATCAGTGCATTTAAATGAAGAATGACGACTAATGCAAGTGAAGTAGAAAGCCATATCCTATGACATGATAGATCTACCTAAAAACAAGGAATGATAAAATAAAAATGTATTTGTCTGAACAGGTGCTGACTACCTTGACTGCAAGATTATCAATGGAGGTATGCTAGGCAGCAGGAAGGGGGTGAATCTACCCAATGCTGAGGTAGACTTGCCTGCACTCTCAGAGAAAGACAAGGGAGATCTCAGATTTGGTCTAGAGCATGGGGTAAGTTTATTGTACTCTGAAGAGAAAATGCAGGTGGAAGTTCTTTTCTTAAAAATTACATTCTTCTGAAAGGAAAGCTCAAGATGTGGGAATGGGGGCTGTCCATCAAATTTTTCTTTTGACGATGGTGAAATTTTAGCTTAAAAATGCAAACTGTATCACAGTTTGCCTTCACTGGCATTTGTGGAATTCAGGGGCAGGCAGATAGTGTGGATTATCTTCAATATGTCTTGAACTTTTTACACAGCATTTAAAGACAGTCAATACTACTGGGCCAGAAGGGATTAGACCACACAGCAAGGTCACTGACAGGTGGCTATCTCATTAACTCAGCTCTCAACTAACATAAGAAAAAGAGGATCATGGGGGACCAACAGGCACCGATTGGGGATGTTTTCTATTTAGAGGGAGCAAGTAGCTACAAGTAGGACAGTGGGGCTTTAAGTCCTGGCAATGTAACAAACAGTGAGCTGCCACAGTGAGGCACAAGTTGATGGAAGGATTGCTTTGTGCAACACAATGGCTTTGCGAAATTACCCTTTTCCAGTCTTTATCAGCTCCATGACAACCACTTTAACACTGGTATAGATTAATCGTGCACTGGGAACAGTTAAATAGTCTTGAAATCTTTAGTATAGCTATCCCATGATAAATATAATGTAACACAGGGAGATTATTTGTGTGACATATAAAGAGTTAATGACTGTACCCTTGTTTTCCTGTGTCAGGTTGAGATGGTGTTTGCATCCTTCATACGTAAGGCTACCGATGTTCATCAGGTCAGAGAGGTGTTGGGTGAGCAAGGAGCTCACATCAAGATCATCAGTAAGATCGAGAACCAGGAAGGTGTAGCCAAGTAAGAAATCTAAATGCAAACTTGAAGTGAAGCCATGGTACTACTTTTCCACTTATGAAATGGTGGGAAAGAAAACCATTGCACACCTATTGACCTGAAAACAACTGGATACCCCCCCCCCCCCCATAACAACAGTAAAACAGACAAAAAACATTGAATTAGGATTAGAAATAGCATATTCAAATGTAATTCTTCCTGATTGAGTTTTGAGTTCTGAAATTATTGTACGAGTATTTTTTTTTCTTCAAAATTGCAGAAAAATGCTTGTTGCCTGACATACAATCTAGGTTTTTGACAATGCAAGGCTCAGATCAATTGTAGTTTTAATTATTACAAGTATAAGAGAGAGAGAGTGTGGAGGTACTGACTCTGCATTTCTGCCAATAGGAAAACATACCACTTGTTTTATATGTAAAAGAGATATTAGATGAAGTTTTAGGGTCAAATCCCATGTCACAAAAGCTACAAAAATTCATTTTGTTCCGTTTTGTATTATAAATCTTTGTAGTTTATGCTTACGTTGGGTATTGAAACGAATTTCAAAACTGATTTGGTACATAGCGGCCCCTAAAATCTAACTTGGTATCTTCACAGAGGGCCTTTAAGTATGCTGACCCCTAAAATCTCACTTCGGACTTGCTCTGAAAAAAACTTAGTGTTGAGCCCTGCTTATGAATGCCTTTCTTTGCCTCCATTCCTCTAGATTTGACGAGATCTTGGAAGCGAGTGATGGTATCATGGTTGCCCGTGGTGACCTTGGTATTGAGATCCCACCTGAGAAGGTCTTCCTAGCTCAGAAGATGATGATCAGTAGATGCAACAAGATTGGCAAATCAGTCATCTGTGCTACTCAGGTGAGACAGGATATAATGGGACTTTTTACTTGGTAATGATTCAAGAAACTAATAATCATGGTTGCCCTTGGTGAACGTGGTATCAAGATCTCACCGGAAAAGGTTTTTCTGGTTCCGAAGATGGTGGTCAGTAGATGCAACAAGGTGGGCAAACCAGTAAAAACCAGTCATCTGTGCTGCTCAGGTGATTCAGGATATAGTGTGACATTTATCTAGGTCCCAATGTCATAGCAGAATTAAAAAAAGAAAAGAATTTACATTTTCATAAAAATGCTGCAACCAAAAGGGGAAAAATGTGCATCTTCAAATGTAGGAGTGGGTGTCAAGGCATACATGTTTACTGTACTTGAATAGATCCCTTCTGAACATCATAAGGAACAAAAAATACAAATTTAACAGGATCATAAGAGAGAAAATAAAGGTTAGAGAGGATGTTCACTGTATATTTACTGGTATGTTGAGGGAAATTGCATATCAAATAGATGGATATTTCAAAGGATCTTCTACAGGGTTGAGTGGTAGGTGAAGTACCAGCACATTATAGATCACTCTGTAGATTGCAATAATAATAATGATGATAATAATCTGGATTGATATAGCCCTTAATACGAAATACCATCTCTAAGCACTTTACAGATATTATTTAGATGTACTTCAATGTAAATCCAATGTAGATGGATTGCTTTGATTGTTAATGTTTTTATAGATAGCCCACAGTAACCATGGAACTTCCAAGTAAATTTGTCTAATCTTAAATGTCTAAATTCTTAATATTAACCCTATCATTACATTACTGTTTTATGCAGTTAATTCCTGGAGCCTGTTTCATAAAACTTGTTTTTGATGACAACTGCCACAGATGACATATCTGCTCACAGCCAATCAATTGCAAAGATTTCAGTAGCTTATACAAATTATTGTATTTATTTTTTATGAAACAGGGCCCAGGTTTACTGGAAATGTGGCAATACAAAGTGCCTTCCTGTTTTTCATCTTTAAAGATATTAGCTTGTATTTATAAAGGTTGACCAATTTTAAGTCTGGTTTAATTTAGTCCATTTATTTATGGAGTGCCAAGTGTCACTGTCTTCATTCTGTTATTCTGTAACAAAAAGAATGAACAAAGTGATTCCAGTCATGGAATGGAAACAGAAAATTTAATTCCTGTTGACTTGATTTTTATTTTTTCATGTTGGAAGAGAATTATGGTAACTTTACTGGGTTAGGAGGTTGACATTTGGCATTCCTTAAATCAGTGAACTAAAATCTACATATGAAAACCCGGATTAAAGCTAGTACTAGATGTGCAGAGTATTTGAATTATAGATTGTGATTTCATGATTTATTTTGTTATAATTCCATCTGTGTTCATGTATGTAGATGTTGGAGAGCATGGTGAACAACCCCCGTCCAACCAGGGCCGAGACTAGCGATGTCGCCAACGCTGTGCTTGATGGAGCAGACTGTGTCATGTTGTCAGGGGAGACAGCAAAGGGCAAATACCCAGTGGAAGCTGTCAGCATGATGCACAGGGTATTTAAATTATTTGTCCTTTCCCTTAAAATAGTTTCCTTGTTATGTTTGTACCCAATTTACATATTCATACAGGGTAATTGAACTATTTTTCCTTTCCATGAAAAAAGTTTCCTTGTTATGTTTGTGCCCAATTTACATTTCCGTACAGTATATACATATATGATAAAATATTTTGTCCTTTATGAATATTCATGGAAAGATAAAAATTTGGATCAAGCAAGTTAACCCATACTCCGTCACATAATTTAGGATCATGCACCCAGTATAAAAAGTAAACTATCATGGGTTTGCCCTTTACACTGTGTGGTCAGGTTGATTTAGAATATAAAAACAGCATGGGCCATTAGTAAGAATCAGCCACACAGGCTGTACTATTGAAACATTCTAGACACTCCAAGCGGTAGCCATGGGTGTTTGAACCTGTTTGAAGGTAATCAAGGTAGATAATTAGACAAATGCCTGAACGTAAGCCACGTATTAGTTGTTTTTATAAAAACGGTGATGTCATTTGATTAATTATCCTCATCCCAAATTCATAGATCTAGAGTCAACAAGCGTGAACTGGCAGGTCACAAAAATTGCTGATGACCAGTCATTAAAAAGTGCTAATGATGAGTTATCATCCATTATGTGTTGAATAACGAACCCTTTGTTGGGTATGTTTTTCCTAGATCTCTCGAGAAGCAGAGGCTGCTGTGTTCCACAGGCAGCAGTTTGAAGAGTTGACCAGGGAGGTTGATATGCCGACCAGTGCTGGTCTCACTGTAGCCATAGCAGCTGTCGAAGCATCCTACAAATGCTTGGCTGGTGCTATTATTGTACTCACCAAGACTGGAAGGTAAGGAACAATAGAAGAGATTCATGGTTGCATCATCTATTTAGAGCCAAAATGGCGTTAACTCATATACTTTAGCACAGAGATTCCACCCCTCTAATCCTTGCAGTTCAACGTTAAAGTGCAGAAGACTTTATAACACATGAAAGTGTGGAGTTTGTATATATATGATCCATGGTGTTTGCATGAATCTAGCACTAATTTTAGCGTCCGAGGACCCATTAGACAGATTAAATTGAAACATGAATAACATGAGTGATCACAAAAGTTTAGATTGATAAGATATTAGATTGATAAGATATTACTGTAAAACCAGAAAGTTTTCATGAATCTTAACCACTGAATATTCAAAGAAAAAAATGACCAGATCCCACAGCGCAATGCTTAGCAAATGATTGTAAAAGTAGTTCAGTTCAGTTCAGTTTATTGAATTCCATCTTTAAAAACATTTTTACAAAGTAAAAACGTGCAATTTCATGTACAATATAATACATAAATTGGGATAGTATATACATGTGAAATGAATTAATACAAAACAGAATAAGGCACAGCTGTAAAAAAACCAAGAAAAGGTTTTGTCTGGACAGCTTCCTATTAAATTAGATATAATAAACATAGTAAGAAAACAAGTAGCAAGTAAAGTTTCGGATAGTATCATTCAGAAATTGCATAACAACCGGCACAAACCCAGTACATGAAATACAACATGGTAGGATGAAAAAGTCAGGAGATAGCAAGGGGAAGAAAGAAAGAGAGAGAGAAAGAAAGTACATTGATTGATTGTACAATCAGTTGATTACATGTAGTGGTCAATTGCAAAACAGCAATCAATCACTAACTTACCTTTGTGTTGTGGGACCCAGGCCGTATGATGAATTTCAGAGAGAGAATAAAGCTGAAGCATAATTCAGTTGTACTCATGTCATTTAAAAAAAAAAATAAGTATTATAAAATTGGTTCAAGAATGTAGCCATTGAGAAGCCCCGAAATAGGTCACTTGTGCGTGCATTAATTTTTATCATATGAACAGGGAGTGCATTTTGGTGAATACAACCATCAATTTCTCGACTAAATACTCGTATTATTGACCCATCTTATAAAACAAATAATATGTTTATATCTTGTGCATTAGTGATATGCATTGCACTTGGTAAAGTCGATATGAAACGGACAATTAATTTGACAAGTCTCGTTCTTTATCCTACTATGACTTCACCTGTGTGCAGTGCATATTCACTAATGCACTCGCAAGCATGTACTATTTGTATAATAGAACATAGCTTTAAATTCTTATCTCAATCAAGTCTGACACCGTCTTGTTTTCTTTCTTTTCGTCCAGGTCTGCCCACATGATTTCTCGCTTCCGTCCTCTTGCCCCGATTCTGGCCGTGACCCGTGACCAGGTCATTGCTCGTCAGATCCATCTCCACCGTGGATGCTTCCCCCTCCTCTACCCCTACCCCGTAGAGGAGAAGGACCGCAACTGGTCAGAGGATATCGACAATCGCGTCAAGTTTGCTGTAGAGATCGGCAAAGGCAGAAAGTTTTTTGAAGACAACACCCCAGTTATCGTGGTGACTGGATGGCGATCTGGTGCGGGCTTCACCAACACCATGCGCATCATATACGCGTAAAGAGACACCAAAGATAGATGGGCAAATCCAAAGAATTTGTATGCAGATTTTATCCTCTTGCTCCACAGTCCCAATCTATCAATGTGTTGCAGATTGAAATATTTTAGTATGTATGAGGTGATGGTTGTCCAAAGGAATCTAAACATATTTGTTGCACATGTATGTGTCCGAATGCAATTATTACTAGGTTTCATACAGGGTTACATATATTGTTCAACTGGTCTGCATTTACTGCTTGCGCAATCATCCAATACAGTATGAATCAGAAGAGTACTCAATATTGTAATGCTGTGTGTAGGATTTGATTAAATAATTTTCAATTCTTTGTGAAGAATGGAGAAAAAGGCACTTGTCTCATAGAGATGTTAAACTATTTGATGTATGGTACCTTATATAGGATTATACCAATGTCTTCATCAGTTATATTACATCACTTGGATATTTATCCCTTGTACAACTATTATGAACGATTTCATCCTATAAATGTTGTACCCCTATAATATTGAACAGTATTGGAAATACATATATCAGCACAAACGTAGCATTCTAAATGTAGTTTATTGTTAAGCTATGTATATCACTGTTGAAAAGCACAGTTCTGTGAGCATTGGACAAGTATCATAGACGTCTTTTTTGTTTTTTGCAGTGATCCTGAAGAGAAAATAGATAGACCATCGATTGGTCTGAGAAACAACTCTTGTTCTTTTTGTGTAGTGCCAAAGTTTTTATTAATAATATATCTGTAAAGTGCTTAGGCACATCGTTGGATTGGTGTATTGAGCGCTACATAAAAAAACGGATTATTATTATTATTATTTATTATTATTATTATTTTTTAGCCCGCCGTTGTTTGTGTTATTTACAAGGATATGATCCACCATGTTTTGTTATTACTGTCATTAATTTTATCAAGTACTTGTCCATCAACCTACCTTGGTTAACATGCTAGCTCTAAGCTCTTTTAAGATTCGAAAAGAAGAATCTAGAATCATTCATCTCATCAGGAACTTAGACTGAAATATTTGTAACCTCTATGATCAGGAACTTTGAACTTGATTTGAAAATTGGTCAACTTGATTTTTGGCAAAGTAAATTTGACATGGGATAATTTGCAGAATTCAAATTTCTTTTTATTGATATCTTAACTATCCGTTTCAGCAGTTATATTGCATTTTGTCCATGTTTTCTTTTTAGGGTAGATCATATTTCCTACATGTCCCATAAACATTGTGTTGTGTGCTATTTGTAAAAGTAGTACTATACAGAATATGGAATATAATAGTAAGTCAATAGTTTCCCCCAAAAGTTTCTGCTTTGGCACATCCCATAAATCAGTGTTCCATCAAGCAAGGTATTATAGGAAAGTAATGTGTATGTATATGTGTAGACAAAAAGCTCTATTTTAAAGCATGTGCATGTGTGGTTGAAAAATGTGTGGATACTTTGAAATGGTCATTGGAAGTTACATGTATTGATGTTGCATACCAGGCCCGATGTGCGATAGAGACTGCCAGATTTGAACATGTGGTTCGTTGAAGGCAATAAATACTATATCACAACTGAAGAAAACATGTTCCTCATGTCTTTTGTGACTAATTGTGTATTAGTAATAGATCAATATTATACATTTACAACTGTCCACACTCCTCAGTCATATCCTGATTTGAAGGCGATGTTCAGAAATTGAAAGAAAAGAAAAACTTTTAAAGCTCAATTCCTTTTAATCACCGACAACATGTACATGTGGGGGCCATGAAGACATGAACTTTATACACTGTACATAATATCAAATTAAATGCTGTTTACACATTGTTTAGATACGATTCTAATTTAAACAAAGACAGGAATTTTGTCTTTTTGGTTCTTGTCGCGTTTGTCCACTTCTGAATTTAATAGAACACATACTGAAGAACCCCATGCCCCATTTCACAATTTAAAATGAGCAAATATATTAAATGTGCTCTAGATTTTAGCTCCAGCAATACATTTATACTGATTAGGACATATGGATTACATCATTTTTAACACATCTTGTTACTTGATGGCTGCCATTGTCTTTCAGCTTCTTTTTTTTTGACAAACCCTAGAGTGAGATTTTGTTAAACATGATATTAAGCACAAGTTGTACATTATATGCTCAATCAACATATGTGCTCTGCACATTACAATCATGTAACCAAATGTTTCCTAAAAACCCCACATCCATATAAAAATGACAAAGGATTAGCCTAACCATCTTTTGGGGGTCTTTTTTTCTTGAGGGGGGGGGGGGGGGGGGGGTGGGAGGGGACTTGTAACATTTCTTATTTAAGATTTAGAGGGTAAGAGGTCTAAAAATTCCATCAATATATTGAAGATAAAAGTATGTTAATTCTGCAGCATTTATTTCAGAGGCAAATATTTTTTTTAATCAGAATTGTACAGCTACATACATTTTTGTACATAGGAAAATAACTGGCACAATAATGATACTGGACTCCATGCTAATTCGAGACCACAATACTCTGACATTTTCCACATACATAATAGTAATATATCATGGAAACCTCTGACAGACAGAAAGCATCTAACCTTTGCACCAAACCTGTACATTGACAAAAGTAATTTTTGTTGGGTATATTAATGAGCAAGTAAGCCACAGTGTAGCTAATAGGTAAAGCAAAGTAAAATACATGTACCTATTTTCATGAAAGCTCTCTTTGAATGGGATATAGTCACAATTGTGATTTACTTGCAATGCTGTTCAAATATTGCTTTTGTTTTAACAGAGCTATTTTACTGTTTCCAGAGTACTTTGGGAGCTCTAAGCTAAAGACTATCTTGTCTGTTCTCTCATCCATTTAATAAGCTGTGATACAGCATCTTGTATCAAGCTAATATCATTGCAGAGGTAGTAACTTCTGTATGCTGTCAGCCCACATGGCGGCTGTATCCTGATGACTGTCTTTCAGTTGTTGAGTTAGGATCTTGATATCGCTGATCATCTTCTTGTACTCTTTGACATCTGAAGGGGAAACAATAAAGAGGAAACTTGTTTACTTTCTAGACTTCCCTATTAGAGACTATTGAGTGACTGACTGACATGGTGTTTTCCTTGGTAATGACCTACATAAAATGAGCTGTAACAGATACATAAGTATTTGTCTACATCAATAACCCACTACTTGTAATGGCCAAAATTAAACTGTTTGAATCTTTGTGCAGCACCAAACGTACTCATTCGGTACAAGGGTCTGAAAATCAGACTATAACTGATTCGATAACTAATGGTTGTTGTCTTTCTAAAAGCCATTTTCATACCTTTTCGTTTTGAGGGAAGTTCTAAATGGGTACTGCTATTGTCTTTCAAATGCCATTGGAATTTAACATTTTCATTTTTTTGACCTGCAAATGGGACTTAGTACCTTAAACATAAAGTGTAAAGTAGAGAGAGATTAGTGAGAATGATAAGAAGAATAAATAAATAAAGTGACACATAACGAACAAAGGTGGCTTTTATATAAATTTTTACAACACTTCTATGTAGCAATATACTTGTAGATTTATAACCTGTCCTATACATATACAACACCAACTTGTTTTCTGAGACTATAAAAAGGGTAGGTTCTCTAGAAATTATGTTCCTATTCTCGTAGGATCTGAATATTAAATAAAATCAAAATTGAGTTATGACATGATTACTACAACTATTATGAAAATGAGAAGAAATTCCTAAATGAAAGTGTAAAACCTCTCACCTTTGACCATCATGAAACAGTTGGCAAACTTTCTACTGGTTATAAACTCCCAGAGGTCAGCAGGGAAGTAGCCTAGTGATGCTAGAGAGTGAGCTAAAGACAACACAGTCCTGCAGTCCGCAGATGATAACCTAGAAGTGTCCGATACCAATGATCTGGTAGCCATAGTGACAAAGTTTTCAAAGTCCCAGCTGGATGGGGGTCTGGAGAAAGAAAAAAAAGTAGAAAGAGAAAAAAGGGGAAAAAATATAATAAAATGAATGTTAGGCTATCTTCATAGATCATCCATAAATGAGACACATATTGATAAATATTTTGGGTGTATTGTAAGTGTAATGCCAACTGGTACACCAGAATAACACATCTTTCAGGAAGATGGTGTACTTTTTCCTTAGGTAGGAGGTACACACACAACAAAAAAATATCTCAATAAATGTAACTATCAAAAGTTTTGTCACAGCGCTGGTCTCAATTATACTTCACATATCAGAAGCCCAGCATAACAGAATATGGATATTATGTAACCCCTTTGATTTCAAATCAACCCTCTTAATATGGTCTGAACTTTATTATTCCATCTTAGATATTATCCTTCCAAATTTACCAGAATACTTTACCTATGGCCTAGAGCATTCAAGCTGCAGATGAGTTTGGTCATGTCCATCAGACTGATCTCCCTCACTCCATTATCCATCACTCTCCTGATAATTCGGTCAAGAAGAAAAGGTGCTTTGATCTCAACGACACTGAATGCTTCGGCAACATTGATCAACCAAGGAGAACTCCACTTGTCAATGTCTTCTAGGATTCTCTCTGATGCTGCTTCAAAGAAGTCCTGATCAGCATGGCAGAGACCACTGAATGCACACAGCAGGTTATGGAGATCAGAATCCGATAGATCTTTCATATTCTGAGTCAGTACTGGGCACGCTAATTCCAGGAGGATGTCTATTTTGTAGTCCATCTGATGAAGAGCTAGGACAGCCTGAGTAATGTTCTCCAAAGAACGCTCCTCATCTGCAGCTAGAATGGCAAGAAGCAAGTTGGCTAGTTTGCCTCGAGATACACCATCCAGTGACGTACCCACTACTTTGATCAGGATCAGGGTGTGGTGGAAGGTCCTCAAATCATTAATATGTCTGGGTATCAAGATACCAACTGCATCCACCAGAGCTTGCACCCTTGGATTCTTATGATCATATAGGCTCAAGATACCTGCAAACTGGGCTAGTTCTGCCGCATTGAACGTATTGACACGCTGTTCAGCTTGCACTAAAAATGTATACATCATGCTGCTCTTCAGAGGAATCTTCAACCTCTGCAATGCTTTTAGAGTGTCTAGGTATAAATCATTCTCCAGGTGTCGTGACTGTCGGAGGACAACATGGCACAGGTGCCTGAATCTTGAATCATATAACACAGGAGCCATGTTACTTCTTACAAGCCCTTCCTCTTGCTTTTTGTCACGGTAAATATCAGCGAGTCTTCCAAGAGCACGACTATAATGCACAATGGAAAGGTCATTCCTACCCTCTTGCAGGACTGCCAAAACTTCTGGAGGAGTGTCTGCATCATGGAGCCTCTCAAGATATGACATTGCATGGCCATCCAGATCCAGAACAGACACAGCTGATGAAGAGGTGGGTTCTTTGAAATCTTTCTTCTTTGGTTGGTCAAGTTTGCCGAAGGGCATTACTTGCCATGGAGGTTGAGAAACTTGAGAAGCCTGTCTCTGTGACATTTGCAGACACCCACTTGCAGCTCCTGATCTTTGATGACAAACAGTAGAGTAAAAATACTCCATGCTTGATTTCACATCTAATGAAGATAGCTCCCATGGTGTTACTGAATCGTTCCTTCTTCTGCCCAGAGGATTACCAAGGTGATGATGATAACACCTCATTAAGTATGTTGGGTTTGTTGTCCTTCCAAACATGTGCAGTCTACATCTTTTGAATACAGTTGATACTCGTGCAAGTGACTGTTGAGCTAAAGCCATAATTGTCTAATAAACCTGCAATAATGAAAAAATAAATGAAAGGAAAAAAAGCGTAACTTTTTTACCTTTGATAAACTTGAAATTCTTAATTAAATTTTGTAACCATGTATTTGTTTTTGTGAAGATTTGTGGAGTGAATGAGTGGTGGCTACTCACCTACTGGCTTATTTCACAAGACTGCAAAAGAAAGTTAATCTTGCTTTAGCCTAGACTAAACACATCATCAACTCAGTATAGCATACACATTTTGCCTCTGTGTACATACCAGGAACACAAACTTTTGATCAGAGTTGAGCTACAGAAAAATGCTCATCTTCAGATTCTACACTAGATGACGTCATTTTCCTGCATGTGCATCAACAGTACAGTTTAAATTAAAATGCGGCTGCAAGTATTTCAACACGGAGTTGAATTTTAACAAAGAAAATCCTGAAAAAGACTCTTAAAAAGCTTCAACACAACAGACAGTCAAGCTTGTAAGAGGAACCGATTCATATTATTAGCCTAGGCGCTAATTTTCGAGGATATGCTGAATGCACATGCATCAGATATGAAACCGCTAAAAATAGAAGGAAATTTAAGTTTACTTTTTACTTTTAGCGCATTCTTTACTGGCACGATTGTCCCAGTAAACGTCACACAGGAAACCCCATGGCCGGCTTTTGTCTCTAAAGAGAGAACCCTACCCAAATAAGAGGCTAACAACATGCAACATGGCTCTCCAGCTCCACCCGGCCGTGCACCCTCTCAGCCCTCTCCATCGACGCGGCAGCCCCAGCTCAGGAGCCGTGGGCCGTGGGCCGCGAAGCCGAAGGTGCAGGCACAGGTGAAGACTGAAATCGTGTCGAGTTACACACGGTTGCGTCGCGTCGTGCAGATCGTGCATGTTTTCAAACGATTTTGAGTCAATCTGAAAAATGTACCTAACATATAAACTGACCTGACTAAGTGCCCTTTTGAATGATGTTATCGTATCATAATATTAGCCATAGCTTTCTTCATCTACTGGAAAATGTCACGTTTCTTGAAGAGGATCATCTATTCGCATTTCTTGCGTAACGTAATACACGGTGCTCTGGTATAGTCTGTTTCAAGGCTCACAATGATAAAACGAGATAGAGCAAATGGGTTCATAATGTTATTGAAACTAGCCCGGGGGGGGGGGGGGGGGTGGATACTCACATATTTAGACATACGGGGGTATGCCACTCTAATGGGTCACTTTTTCACAAAAAATCCCTAAACATGGGTCCGCGCTTTATCATTTTTTTTCTCGTGTGTTAATGGCAAACACTCGAAAATTTTAAAAAAATGGGCTTTATACTTCTAAAAAAAATGACCCTTAAACAAAGGTAGGGGTTTCAAGGCTTCAGCGGCACACCCCGTCCAAACCATCTGAGTTCCCCCCCCCCCCAGGAAAACTAGAAACCCGCGATTCAGTATGAACCCCACCGTGATGTTAATCTAATTTAAGTGGATCAATAAGCATGCAGATAAGCATCTAATGATGATCTTATAGTTATAGGATACTCACTGAGATTCAGATATATGGCCTTTTTATGTGAATGGGTAATTGCCTCAAAGCTCAGTAAGCAAGCTAAACGTGGATCACAGGAGGGGGGGGGGTATAAATGCAAGTGCCCTAATTAGTGAGAACATTAACTAAAAGTACAACATAAAAATAAATTAACAAAGAATGGATACGAGGGGGGGGGGGGAGGCTGTCAATGGCTTCTCTCGTTTAGTTTCAGGCTTTAAGTGGGAGAGCTAGGTACGATAAGACTCAAGGAGTTTTATCCAAGGAAATAAAATGACCACCCCCCCCCCCCCCCATGAGATGTAGATCTAGATTGAATCTATATTCTTGGGGGTATGGGCCGGTCATGCATGTATGAAGAAGAATGTGTACTTATATAGAGTCTAATTAATAATAAACCAGAATATAAAGATGAAGAAGAAGAAGAAGAAGCCTGAAGAAGAAGAAGAAGAAGAAGAAGAAGAAGAAGAAGATGGGAGAATAACTCGAATCAAGAAGGAGAAATAATGAAAAAAGTAGACAACACTCAGTAAAAAAAGAGAAAATAATAAGGGTAGACTATAAGATGAACAGAATTGCGGAAGAAATTCAAAGGGCAGGATTATTTATTGATTTTATGAAATAATTGCAACGTCTGAAAGGTAACCTAAGAAAAACTTTGTGTTATCTCAAGAAAAAATCTGATTGCCTCTGGATTTTCATGTTGTTTCTACAAATTCTGCTGTGAACGAAGACAGATTATAAATATTTTATATAATAATATTACTCTCCTAATTGTATTTGATATAACAGAGATGCCTCCTGATACAAAAGCGCGTCAAATAGCCTTGATGGGCTTCCGATCGGTCGGTAAGTGAATACAATTTCGTTGTTGGGAATTGTGTAGCATCGCATCCAACCAACTTCCAAGTCTTTGTCCCATGTATTTATTTGCTTGTGTTGTTCTCTGTGTTTACGATTTCTGATTTGTTGTTGTGGAACTGATTTTGTTGTTGTGATTGATTAATAAGCCGTCCTGCAATAATTCTTTCTGTTTCTTTCCAACAACTTTAAAATGCTTGAAAGCATAATTTGAAGCATAACGAGATGGAAAATTATAAAAATATTCATCCAAATTTGGCAAACACAGAATTCTGTAGTTTTCTGAATTTGGATGTTTTTGGCCTTCGGCTTTGCCATGGGTTTGGGTTTTACTCACACATAGCAGCATTACTATCCTGGCTGTGTATTCAAACAGGCAACACTGTACAGCAGCACATGAACGCAAATTTTTGTAAAGCCTGCTGTTTGATAATACGGAATCAATGATGATATTGATAACAAATAAGTAACGAATGGAACTCACAAGTTTTGTTGCTGAAAATTTCTATGGTTTTGCAGATATTTGAGCCTACTTTTACAGATTGGGTCAACCGTCGTCTTCAGCTAAAATCCGCTGTTTTCTAATTTTATGATGTTTTTTTAAAAATGAAGGGAATGGCATCACATTTTATAGTTGCGATCATTTGTTACTTGTTAACACATTAGGGTCTACAGTATGTACTGTGTATTTAATTATATTCAACTAGAAATTATATTTATGTATTTCTGAGGGCTGTAGGCCTACAATTTTCTTTACATTTTGATATGTTATGTACATGTATATCAATGGAGATGTCCTAGTAGTTTGATTTCTATGTTTAATGCGGTAAAGCTATCGGCCAGTTGGATGCACCACAACTCCAGTATGGAAAAGTTTTGGTGAGTGATGCTGACTAGAGTAGACTAGTCACTAAACTGAAAGCTTAGAGATCTTCCTTTGAGACTACGTAGTACGTATGGCTCCACTGACCGCCTCAAGGTTGACAAAGTCAGTTTTATTAAAGAATTACATGTACCCATACCAGACGGTTATTTCTAATCTAACTAGTCACTAGACTAGCCTTATGCTGGGTATACATGTATACAGCTTGGACCTCGGTCAGTTGGTAATTTATGAAACATGATCTTGATATCAATATCATATTTCATAAATCACAAAGCACATAAAGCTAGTAGTGATGAAGATTAGTTAACATATTTGGCACAGGCCCTGACAGAGAGTTGGCATTAAATGAGAAGGGTTTTTTTTTTTTACATCTGTTTTAAAAATGCATGGTTTCTGATACTGAGGCTTAGAGTCTAGTCATTTTCCTGACAAAAAAAAGCTTCTTACATTAATGTTAAGAGGGAAACTACTTCTAAAATACTCTCTTTGCATTACATATTGCAGGAAAATCTTCCCTGACAATCCAGTTTGTAGAAAACCAGTTTGTTGATTCCTACGACCCTACAATTGAAAATAGTAAGTACAACTTTCCTTTTGTTTTCTCTCTTTTTGCTCATTTTTTTATAGAAAAGTTGTATAATGATAATAATAATTTTGTTTAAGGGTAATGGACTTAATGAAGTTCTTTTCAACTACATGTAGCATCTTATACATTGTATGGTGCATGCCATTTTTTAACCTTTGTGATTGTTCCCCTTTCTCCCTTAATAAACCTCAAACATTTTGACATTGTTTGTAAGTTCCAAACCAATAAGGTTTCATGTACATCATTTCAGAGTGTACAATACATGTACATGTACATGTAGCTGTTAAATTGTACCAGTCACAAAAAAAATTGTTTGTGTATATGGGCCAAGAATAAAATGTAATCCCAAGAAACTTTACCTGGCATCCTAATATGGACTAAGGAGTATGAAGAAAATAACAAATAATATAAAACTCTGTACCCATGGTGGTCTTGGGTTCTTTGTGGACCTTTTCTATGCAATTGTATAACAGGTGCACCGAGTCGTCTACTCGCAATGGATGTCTTTGTGTAAAGAGATTGTATTTGAATTTGCAATATACTCAAAAGAAGAAAGTGGACACTATAATTCAGATTTTCAAATAAACATTTTAAATTAACATAAATTAATCTTCTTTAAGATTATATGCAATTAAATTGGAATCATACCATTTCGAATGAGTGAGCATTGCCGTTTAACAATAAATGAGTCTGTGAAAAAAATGGCAACAATACATCTGGCCATTCAAATATTGATGAGCATATAGAGTTTGAACGAAGAAAAAAGTACAAGTATCCTTATTACAATGTCATTTTCATATGACTGAGCTACATGTACAAACATTTTTTGTCAGTAATTGTATTGGAGGCCTACACATAAGCATATTATGCTATTTTTGTGGCATCTCAAAATCTCAAAATCTCAAATATCAACATCCTTTACATGAACTGTGTATATATGAAAATATAATGTAGATTTTAGCCAACTTGTTTTCAATAGACCAGTTCACGGTTAGCACATTACTGCAATGACCCCGAATATCCACAGATCTCCAAAACTTGAAGAGGTCCCACTTTGTACATTTTGAAATAATCACTCCTACAGCGATGGAGGTGCTACATATTATAGCCTTTGTTTCCCCTTTTCAAAGAATACTTCCACCTGTGTATCATGGAGTGCGCTGCTTGTGCATAAACGAATAATGATTACATAACTTTCATGAGCACGTACATGTATCCAGTATATCGTTTCCGTGTATTTCACAATCTGTTCTGAAATGACCTTTATCTACTCATGCTCAGACTGAACTGGCTTATTAGAGTCATTACAGCGTATTGAGTTTTGTGTTGTGTGCTTGTCTCAAAAAACAAAATAAATCACCATATTGTGTCCAACTGCAACCAAGTTGACCAAAGTTACATTTGCATTGTGTATGTCCCTGGATAATAATAATAATAATGATAATAATAATAATAATAATAATATGTCTTGTTTATCCGGGTAGCCTCATCAGTATTCATACTGTTCTCCCTGTAGATAGGCTTTACATGTAAAACATATTTGTGGGCATAAATCTCTGAATAAGTTTTCATAAGAATTACTTTATATTCTTTGCTAAATATTTTTTTCCTGTTACGCAATGTCAATACTATATTTCAATTTTAAAATTCTTAAAAGACATATCTTATGTGTACATGTACCTTGATTGAAGCAGGCCTTACATGTAGATATAAAAATATATAATTATTTTAATAGGATACTCTACTATATTCGATATTTATCAAATGCTATGTTATACTGTACATGTAGGTTGGTGTGAATATTTGATGTGCAGTAAATATTATATTCCAAATATAAGACTAGAGTTACCTCCATAATAACACACTTGTGCCATTACCAACACCTTTGAGGCTGTCACTGTTATACATAATTCAAAGCAGTGGCTGGCAAGGTGATGATCTGAGGATAGGCTGTGGAGATGGGATGGGAGGAGGGGGGCTAGTGGGACGTAATAATGTACTCATGCTGTGACTGTGGTGTAATACTGAGCATGAGATTGATAAAAATTGGATCTCGAGAGAGACATCCAAAATCTAATTACTGAAATGTCCGTGCCAGTGCTGCTGACGTTTTCGTCATGATTGAATCCATCCTATGAGGTCATCCTGGGCAGAACCTAAATGTGAAAATTATTAAAGAGATAAGTTCATGAAATTTATGTGTTTGTGTTAGGAATCACAGACATTGTGGTCCTAAATGTATGATTTACATATTTTGTCAATGTTATTCTGTTTGAAATGTTGTTATAATTACTTTTAGAGGCATATTGTAGCATTTCTACAAATTACTTGGAACTCATAAATAAGGCCCACATGTATGCATATTGAAGTAATACAGTGTTTATTGCAATAATCATGATAATAATGATGACAATAATGATAATAATAATAACAATGATGATGATGATGATCATCATAATAATCCTAATGATAAAACTAATAATAATAATACCAATATTTAAAAATATAATAATAATAATAATAATAATGATGAATTTAAGAAAAAACTACCCCGGTAAGTGTTAGTAGTACTTACCTGTAGTAGTTGTAGTAGATCTAGTAGAAACAATTAAGCTACATTACTGACCCCCCAAACAAAATCATTGAACAACTTTCTGTGTACCGGTAGTTTATTTTTCTTGTATGTTCAATGTTGCATACATGTACATAAATGTACAGAGCCTGTTTTTATGCACACATACATATGTCCATGTATTGCAGATACCAGTCCCATCTATTCCATTCTACTTTAATTAAGTGAAAGTGTGAAGTGATTGTCCTGGTATGTCCTTGCAAGACATGAGTACCGTAGTGCAGTAGGAGACTGTAGCAGTTATAGTTTCTCATGCTCAACCTTTGCAATGCATGATCATCAGAGTTTTTCTAATGTAGATGTAATCCACACACAAATCAGGACGGTGGGGTGGGGGGGGGGGGGGGGGGGAGGGGGAGGGGGGGGGGTATATAGTTAATATTTTACTGTTGAAAAAACATCTAGTCTGTAGTGTAGTGTAGTGATTATAACAGGTGATACAATCTTAGGCTTCAAAAGCCTTTAATGTCCATGTACTGTATTTTACTGTACTGTATATGTTTCAAGAAAGGATTATCAATGTGGAGAAAAAAGAGACTCAAGCTACGGTACATGTAAGAACTGTCTTCTGACTATCTGCTAGTATTCTCACTACCGGTATATCTGTGTGATGGACCTGAAACAAGTCATTCATGTACAGTCAACTTTTTGTGTATACGGGGTACCAGTATTCCAGTAATGTACATTGTAATTCCTAGCCAGCTGAAAAAGGTTAGTTGAACCTTTGAGGAGCGTGCGTGGGATGCCTATATCTGGCTAGCATTTTGATTGGATTGTCAAGGATTGTTTGACTCAAAGATTTGATGTGAGGCTGTGAGAGCCTGTAACTAGATCAGGAATTAAAGAGAATGGATGGTTTCCTGGACGTAAAAACATGACAGCATGCTCTTGGCACAGCTGGTTGCTATGAATATTAAAGCAATCGCTCCTTAAATCTTGATAAGAAGTAGTTTAAAACATAAAATATTTGTTAGATTTCAGTTTCAGTGTTTATTAAAAATACTCTACAATGTATAAGCATTCTAGATTATATTTAATTTCATAGTATGAAAAATCACTTTAGAAAATTCTGTCTTCTATTTTGCAGATGTCAGAGTCAGTACTCGGCAGTGCCAATTTGAAGTTCTAATGTTGTTACCGTTTATGTGCAGGAATAATGATTAGTCCATTCTGTGATAAATTATGATCAACTTCTAAAAGTTTTGTAAATATGTTTTCCAACTTTCGCACATCCACTGTTCTGCTTTGAAATAATTTTTCTTTGAAAATATTGTATTTCAGTTCTTTGACATGTGATTCTCTCTTTCTTTACATTGGCAGTTTGTAATAAGCATGATTATGATTACCGTATTAATTCTTTGCATCAAAATGGTTTGAAAAAGATGATGAAATAGTAATGCATACCAGCCTAAAACATTTTTCTTCATTTTACCCCCCCCCCACCTTATTTCACTCTTCTCCTTTACAGCATTTGACAAGCCTTTTAAGATAAATGGTCAGCAATACCAGTTAAAAATCATTGATACAGCAGGCCAGGATGAGTACTCCATCTTCCCACAGTCCCTATCTGTCAACATCCATGGTTACGTCCTTGTCTATGCCGTCACTTCTGCTAAAAGGTATCCCATAAGAATTTCATTATATTGAAAGACAGCGAGCAATAGAGAGAGACAGAGAGGGAGAGATGGAGGAGGAGGAAAGGAGAGAGGGATGGATGGAGGAGGTAGGGAGGGAGGGAGAGAAAAGGGCTGAGGGGGTGGTGAGATGGAAATGACTTACACCTTACATTACATGTGTACATACATGCATGAGAAATGAGTTGATTCACTGAAGAATGGATGGACATACATGTACATGTACATGTAGTAATGGATTTGTGTTGAAATTTGTTTTCATGTAATCTACAAAGCACTTTACATGTAAATGTATACATGTGGAAATATAGTGCACACATATTGCAGCATGGATGTTTAATACTGCAATGTAATTTAATCGTAGCTATAGATTTTTGCAAGTATCTTGCTATGAAAATGGTAGTCTTCCAACTAGATGCAGATGTTTTATGTTGCAAGCTTTTACAGTGAATATTCTGTTTGTTATTGCTGATGTCATTTTGTTTCCTTCTTTTCTTTCTCTTCAGCTTCGAAGTAGTCCAGATTATTTATGAAAAGCTTCTCGACATGACAGGAAAAGTAGAGTAAGTTTTATTTTCACAATAGCTATGTTCATCTTTGACATTTAAAACGTTTGTGAAACCTTAAAGTTTTAAACAATGACCCACTTACAATAATGCAGGTTTTGTGGTAGTTCATGCTCTATTCATAGCTTTTTGTAGAAGCTCTATTTAATTCAAGTTTCAATTCAGCCTGACAGCAAAGACATCTGAACTACAGTTTGAGTAACTTTATCAGTCATGCCCTTGGCTTGCCCTTTTGGACCACCTTTGAATTTGTTTTAGATCCTGTTGAGATATTTATTGTAATATTCCATATGGTCTAGTGTACCATCAATAACGAAAGTGAAATTCTCTTCGTCTCAAGGCTAAATTTGTACATACTAGATTTAAAATATCTTTACCTGTAGCTGGGACTCTTTGAAAAGTAAATTGCAGTTATGGTAGGCAAAAAAAAGAGAATGTTGAAAAAAATTGACTTGTTTGTATTCATGACATTTTGGTCATTCCCATAGAGCCTTGGGTGAGCTGCTGCCTTTGTATAGTACATATGTATTTTATTTTTAGAAAATCAGTGTCACTGTCCCAGAGTATACACAGTTTCCTACATTTTTATTAACTGACTCAATAGGGAATGAATGGAATTCCAATATCAATAGTTTGAATGTACATTATAAACATTCCAATATCAATAGTATGAATGTACATTATAAACATGTCACTTTACATCATCTTCTTTATCCCTTTTCCCTTGCAGTATTCCCCTTGTTCTTGTTGGAAATAAAACAGACCTTCATATGGAAAGGTAAAAATAATACAATTTCATAAATGTAAATTATTTTATTCATTAGTGTTTAAATTTTAAATTTTGATTTTATTTATTGAGTACTTATTGATTATTGGGGTGGGTGGAGGGGAGGGGATGGTGATTGGAAGGGGGAGGGGGTTGACAAGGTCATTACCCTCCCCATCATTTTGTAATTATAAACATTTTCAATGATGATGCTGGTAGTCAGAGAGGTTTGGCAAGAGAAGTATCTAATTTGGAATAAAAATATTAAATGTATGCAAACAGCTAGAAGTGACATTTTTCTAGAATGGAAGAGAGAAAGGATAAAATGAAAAAAAGAGACCCAGAAAATGGTCTTCCTTGACACATTTAAATCCTCTTTCCAAAAATCATGTGACACTAGGAATTCAAAATTCATTAATATGATACATTCAAATATGCAATACATTAACTACCAGATAAAACATGGTTTCGGGAGGGCAAAATACATTTCATGTTATCTTTTAATACTCATAAAAGAAAATTGATTTCAGTCTCCAATATCGCTCCTGTATCATTTCCATTTGTATGCAAGTCAAGACATGTTTACCAAACTTTGATTGATATATTTGACGACATGTTGCAGCTGCGCATGAGAAATTCAAGATGAACTACTCTCTTTTTATTCTCTTACTAGATTGAATGCTCTTTGTTTGATATACAGCTTATTTTTTGACTAAAATGTATAAGATTCAGAAAATGATATGCCTTACAGAGATTGCAGATATGTTGCAATTTCACCTTCAATTTGTTTCTTTCTCAAAATTTGAATTTGTAACCAGGCTGCAAATATCAAAGTACTGCAGTACCTACATGTATGGCTTTTGGCACAATATACAGTACATTTAGGTACATGTAGTTGTCTAGTTGAGATTAAAGACGTGAAATGAAACGGGGTACAGCTGTAATGAACTAGATTCTGCCCTCTTCTGATGATGTTTGAACATTTGTTTCTTCTCAAATACCTACTTATTTTTGAAAACTGATTCACTGTTCACTAAATAGCTGAATAGGGGCTATTTTGCTTGGTATCTTTGTGGCACATTATACAGGAAAGACAGGATGTGACCGGCAAAATAATATCCTGGATAACAAATCAGTATTTTCCCCTTTCGATATGTATCTAGGATGCAGTCAGGTCATCAGATGCGCATATATTAGTCTTTGATATTTCAGTCTTCATTTTATAATAGGGACTTTTAGATTTGCATGTTGACATAAGGACGTCACAGTGTCTTAAAAGGAAGTCACACGTAGCAGTCCACTATGTGGATGTGCAAATCTAAAAGTCCCTAATATGAACTCTACATCTACATGTTGTAGATTTAATATTTTTATCACTCTCATTACGAGATTTCCCCTATTAGACATCTCTCATTGACCTGCTAAATGCTGGTCACTGTGATAATATGCATGCAGGCTAATACTGAAAGAAGGCAGATATTATCTGCATTATTTCAATTTAAAAAATGTGGTCCATGAATCCCTCCCTCACAATCATGACATCTGACTCTGGTTAAAATGATGATATTTCAAATTTAAATTCAATTTCAAAGTTTATTCAACACTCTTCATAAAAACATCTAAAACATACAAATACAGAATGGAATAATAAAAAACAAGAAAGTGATAACAAATAACAATGGCAATGTATAAGAGCATTTGGGATAGGCAGAAATGAGGGATTCCTTATAGGGCAATTCCACGGTAACGGAAGGACACTCAGACAAGATTTTTGAACTTCAGGTTCATACTAAAAGAACTGTTTTATTAGTATAAGATGTGAAACAGTACAGATATAATACCTATATAAGTGCCTTTAATTCTCCCCAAAAAAATTGTCATTATAGTTAAGTAGTTTAAGAATGTACATATTAATTATCTCGGTAACGGAAGGACATAAAAATGGACATGGTTTTTCCAGTTAATTAGTGTTTATCCAAACTTTGTGAAGTTGATGAAGCTTTCCACTTGACTGAAACACATTTTGTTCCCCATAGTTTAATACATACTAATAAAACATTTCTTTTAGTATGAACCTGAAGTTCAAAAATCTTGTCTGAGTGTCCTTCCGTTACCGTGGAATTGCCCTATATGAAAGCCTACCCCTAAAAAAACACATACAGGAAAACAAGAACAAAAGAACAGAACAAAAAACATACCGGTACTATTAAAAAACATACTATCATGTACGATCAGAGTAAAAAAAAGTGTCAAACTTGCCCATGCTATTAATACTGATCATTATACTTATTTAACAGAAATTGTTTATATTTAATTTTAAAAAGATTGAGAGTTTTGCAGTTTTTAATTTCCTGAGGTATACTATTCCATATTAATGGTCCTTTAAAAAAATAGTGAATTTTTCATACAAGCCATTCTAATCTTGGGGAGGTGATAATTTAGGGCATTTCGAGTATTAAAATTATGCACATCTCAATTCTAGTTAAAACATGTTGATAAAAAAGTAGGCAAATTGCCATTAAAACATGAAAAATGCAATAGTTGTGAAAGACTTTTTGAAGATAAAACATTTTATTATTTGTCTATCAATAAATTTACAAAAGATTACCGGCACCTCACATATTTGTTTTCTTCATAGTCTTTATTTGACTTTACAAGGTGGAATTTGCTCATCAACATTTAAATAGCCAGATGCCCCATTTTTGTAATGTTGTCTTCATAGTCTCATCTGTTGTTAAATGGCTATGCTCATCATGCGTGAATGGTACAATTCCAATTGCATATCATCTTAAAGAGGATTATTTTATGTTTATTTTGATATGTGAAAGATAAGTCTATATATTTAATATTTATTTGAAAATTTTAAATATCATATATATTGTGTATTTTTGTTTGTTTATCTGAATTGCACATTTTCTTTTCATTCTGTATGATCTGTGTAGAAGTATAAGTACACAACAAGGCAAGCAGCTGGCTGATTCATGGGGTGCCACATTTATAGAATCATCAGCAAAGCAGAACGAGGTAATGGATCATTTGCAACACCTACAGTATTCATCCATCTTTCATTGTCATTCACCCTGTAATAGTTTATTAGTAGTAATATCAAGTTTTTGGATAGTAATAATATCTTGTAAATATTGTATAGATGCTTATATTATTATTTTTTTAATTTTTGCCAAAAAGCTAAGCACGTAATATGAACGTCAACGTGCATCATATCTGTTCACTGTAAGGGAGAATTTATGTGGTACATACATGTACATACATGTATGTCCATGTGCATAATAGGATACAAGTATGTACAAACATCCAGAAAATACCATAGTTCTAATAATCAATTGATATTTGAGTACTTAGGACTGGAAAATGTTGAAGTTTATCTCATGTTTCTCTTTGTTTCTCTCCTTATCCAGAGTGTGGAGGATATATTCAAAACGGTGCTGCAACTCATCGACGGGAATCCTCAAATGAAAGATGAAAAATGTGTCATCATTTAAAGCCATAAGGACAGAAAACTTTACTCCTTATGCTACATCTGACACCAACTTACTCTTCCTTCCCTCGAATCAGAAAAACACAAACACAAACAAACCATCACCCTGATTATGTGCAGAACTATGTAGCTGAAGATGTAGAAAGGCAGTAGGCTCCTTTCTCTTCTTCTGGATAGTCATTTTATACTGTTTGCAGGAGTTACTGTGGTGCAAGTCATCCCTTCTTCTCTATCCTCCAAGGTTCAAGCTTGAGAATGGAGCAGAACATAAAAAAGAAGCAGCAGCATCAAACTTTACCCATCTTAAAAGAATATATTTCAAAGTTTTTATTTTATTTTGTTCTTCATGACCACCACAAGAAATGGCATTGTGAAACCCTAGTCACATCAATGAGACTGATACTAGACCAGCAACAGACCGAAGAAACTGTGACAGTAGCCCTAATTGATTTGAAGTTGATTTGGAGTCGGTCTAGCAATGTGATTGAGGTATTATATACCAATAGATTTCAAGGTGTTTACAGCAATCATGATAACTATTTGGTATTTTTGGTTGTTGGTTCCACCATTGTTTTATGCTTGTTTTGATATGAACAGTAAAAGTAATGGAATGTTTTGATATATTAATACTTCCACTACATGCATTTGAACGTGGACACAGAAAATGAAGATTTGGTGACTTATCCCCAACATCTTGTGATCACTTTGAGCTGTTATTGTCCTGTGTAATTCATCCTTAAGAGGGGCATATGAATTAATCTTCCAGTACAGTCTATGCCCAAATCGACCAGAGAATGATTATACATGTACATTTTGTCACATCATAATTTTCTTAACCTTAAAAGGTTGGGTCACAATTTATGAAAGGAAGTGTCAAAGGGTGTTTATTTAAAGGAAATAGCTGAAATTCATAGATTTGTATTGGATAAATGTAAACATTGTAAAACCATGACACAGCATTATGTACAAGTGATTAGTATTGGAAAATGACTGCGGGGGATATACTGTAGAAATAGACTCCTTCCAATGTCTGCAGGTTTCTGTTATGCATATATACTTTTCATGAAATAATCTCTTGAGAGTGAGGAGGGAGTTAACTAGTAGGATACCAGTTAATGTCGTTCTGCCTCTCAACAGATGATTAAGGGCTTATTGGGCTGCTTGCTTGCTTTTTTCTGTAATTAATCTCAAGATTTGTTCGCTCATGGACTGCTGAATTCCCCCACTTCCTTAGGTCTATGCAGGAATCTCTTGGTTCCTGTAGACTAATCCTGTGCTTAATTATAAGGATCTATCTTTGTAAAAGTCAGCTTTATTTTACAAACATTGACATATATTTAACAAAAATTAAGTAGTCTGATCTGATCTCTAAGCAATACCATGACATAATTGTGCATTTATAGTATTTTATCCTAAAATATTTTCTAGACTGACTGACGGTTTCTACTTTCTAATTGACCCAAGAGTCTATATATAAGTCAGAGATGTGAAAATACATAGACATGAATTGGTCCTCAGTGTTTACTTCAAAGATTAAGGAAAATAAATCATTTAATACATGTAGTCAACTGTTGAAATGACTTCATTGCCACTATGCTAAGGATATGAATCATTGATAAGTATGGAGCTTTTATGGATATGTATATAGTGAAAGTGAAAATCCTTTTGGAAAAAGGGTAATTCTTGTTTGGACAACCGGTTGTGCATCAAGTCTATAAACATTACTTGAATTACAAAGGTTTTTATAGCTGCCAATAAAGAAATCTTATATGACACAATTTTAAAGTAATATTATTTCACTTTTGCTGGCTACTTGTAGGGAATTTCCATCCCTTAAAAAAAAAGTTGAGGCAAATGATGGAAACTAATAGTAAATAATGTTCTATCAGAGATTGTTCTATATTTTATAATTAAATGAAATGTAAGCTTTTTGTGGTGTGGGGCTGTTTTTCAGTCAATGTACCAAGTCCAAGGTCCAATGGTACGAGTGAATTATATAATTCGCAATGATTTGCATTATATTTTTGTCAGTAAAAGTGAAAGAATTGAAATACCATTTAAGGCAGTGAGATAATATTCAATTTCAAATGTTTTCACTTGAATGATGTAATATATCTGGGTAGAGATGGACAAGGATGATTCATTACACTGTTACATAATAGCAGCAATAAATAAAGTTGATGAGGCTTCATACCACCTCTTTATTGCATTGTTAATGTTAAACATATTAATTCTGGTATGTTGATATAGAAACAAGTTTTAAACTCTGGACGCTCACACCATTCCATCAGAAATGTTTAACTCATCAAAATCGTTGATGCCTTTCATTGTTTTCTCTCTCTTTCTTTTTTTCTCTGTCTCTCTCAAATATTAGTTCATTGAAGAGATATTCCTTGTAAAGATTGAAACATTTTCATCTTCTGTGCCTACTTTGCTGTGACATTAGTTAATCAAAGCTATGTTTGATCACAAATCATGAATGTTTATTTACAAAACTGAACTTATTTCTCTCATTGTTGATTGATTTGATTTGAATGTCACTGCACAATGTATATACATGTATATGTATATTTTTGAGTTAAGTGTTTAAAGTACATGTACCTACCTGTAGATTTTGAGGCATTATGATTTTATACCTGCCGAGAACAGGTATTTTGCCATATGATTAAAGTCATCTTGATTTCAGCTATAAACATACAATTTACAACTGAATTATTCATACTCGTACCAAGTTTTGTAATTTTTTAATTACATGTATGTGAACATTTGATTGATTTGTCCCTATGTATGTTTCTTGAGAATGTGGAATATTAAAACTTGCATCTAAAAGTATTCAACAAAGGCCATTTAACAAGTCAGACTTTCACTATTGAGTTACAAAAAATACAAAATCATCAAATTGACAAGGGGTATGAATAATTCAGTTGCTAACTATACTATATGGTGCCTGTGGTTAAGAGATATGTTTATACAAATAAACGTTAAACTTTAATTAGACTTTGTACAACTGTATCTGTAGTATTTTCGGTAATAATCATAGTACGGTAATGATAAATGCCAGTACAAGGTTTTACTTGTTCCTTTTCAGCTGACTCAGACAAGGGAAATTCCCTTGCAAATCAAGTCCCATTGACAAATAAATAGCAACAGGGAAGTAATGTATGTAAATGCTTACAAAGGAGCAGTGTTTGTATGTGCATATATATTCAGTAAAAGATTTAAGGAGATCTATTTATATTCAACACAGATCATATGCATATTAAGTATGGGTTAGAGCTCTATGAAACAGGATGAACATAAATCTGACATAATACGATAGCCGAGTGCAAATGATCTCTAAGCTGCATATAAGATGTGACAGTGTGTTGAGTACGTCATGGTTATACAACTTCACAGTACACGGGATACATCACTAAGAATTGATAATTACTAAGATTACAGTTCATTGGACTATTATTAGTATTATTACTGTGCTTGACGATGATATGTTAATTAGTATTTTCTACATTACACCAGTAGAACAAAGCAGTAATTTATCAATGTGATGATTAGCTCAATGTGTGTACATGCACTGGAAGCAATACACATGACAAGTGCGAGCCTGCCTGCATAGCAAGCACTGTTTTGTAAAGTATCATAATAATCATGGTAATCTATTAAGAGCCAAAAGGATGTTAAGTCCATGTCGACACCCTTCGTGCTCTCACCAGATGAAAGATAAGCCGTGGTATTGTTATTATTTATAGATGGATGTTCAAGACCACATGCATTGAAAGTTCCCCTGAAACTATCCGGTTGTAAAGATGGTCTCATAAATTTGTTTGAAATATGATACAGTTTTCATACGGTTCTGTAGCCCCTCAGATAATTTCCATTGATATTAATTTGCTCTCACTAATAAGGGTTATTTATCTTCAGATTTGAGATAATTATTACAGCGTTTACATTGTGGAAAAGTAGAACAAACCGAGTATATCTGAGAGCTCCATTGGGAGGTATATCAACATGTATTGAATATAGCCTTAACATGGCTTTAATGTAAAACAAAATTATTACAGATAACCATGTACATGTACATTTATAAATGTGTAGTCTATTTTACAGTAGTTAGAATTTCAATAAAAAAGTGGTGACACCTTTTTATGTAAAATAGCTTTAAAATTTTTTTCTTCATTTGTTCAGTTTGTATTCAAAATATTAACTTTCCTGTAGTAGTAATAGTAGTAGTGAATTTCATTTGCCAAACTTCCCAGTAAAACCAAGGAAGGATAACCTAAAAACATGGAAAGCAATACATGTAGCTGAATTATTTAGATCGGGCGAGGGCATGTTGCAATGGAGAAAAGGACTAATAATAAGAGACATTGGGAATGGATTGGTGGGTAATCACAAGCTCAAATTATGTTTCTTTGTATGTGTGTGTCTTCGTTTTCATCTGATCTTTCTTGCCCATGTTCTGCGTTTAGCCCATGAAAAATCTCGACACAAGTACCATCATAATGTACTTCTTTTCTAATATAGGAAGGCCTTCTTACTATAAATTCGGTTTTTTAAAAAAGGGAATATTTTCCAACCCCCTTTTCCCCTCATGGAGAGAAGGTCTGGGAGGACTGCATGTTATTCCAGAGGTAATTTTTGTGGGGGAAAAAAATATGCCCTGAAATTTTGTTTTGTGATTGCTCTCATCTCTCCCACATACCAGCATGGTGGTAGAGCAGTGGTCCTGTAACCCGGTCCTGTAACCAGGTCCTGGACTTCAAACCAAGTGGATGCATTAATGCCCCTTGGCAGGGCATTAATCCTTGTTACCAAGTCTCGTTATCAAAGCCTTGTTATAAGTTCATTTGAAAGAGAACAGATAAATCAGAGAAATAGAGTAGCGAAAATTTGAAATTAATCGAACCAATACTAGGAGAGTAATGAATGTTTGAAATGTGAGATCACTTCATCTACGGGTATGCTAATCTCCAATTGTCAATTTGGTCAGTGGATTGTGACGTAGACGCGAATAACTCTCCCGTCTGTTGTGTAAATAAAAATAACTAATTTCTGTTTTGCTCCATAAAATTGCCTTTAACCTTGGGGCGCTACTAAAAATATATGATGGATAGTTTATTATTACAGGTCCCTTAAAAAGAAAAGACCATCCCAAGTCATACATATCCAAAAAGGTAACATTTTAGTCATTATGTGTGTTGGAACAATTGGGAAAGTTGTCTGGTACTATATCACGAAGAACTTGACAGTGGCGGATCCAGGAATTTCTTACCGGGGGGGGGGGGGGGCACAAAATCGCATGGGGTGAAATATATAACGATGGAGCGAAGCGACAGAGCAAGGCGTCAGCGGCGATATAGCGTATAGCGACCAAGCGGGGTGGGTCTGGGAGGGGATCAGAACCCCCTAGGTAGCATTTGCAATTTTAGAACCATTAGGCGCATTTTCAGGCACTTCCTGAAGTAATATGACGTAAATTGCTTTCTCATCAGTGGCGTACCTATGGGGGGGGGGGCAGGGGGGCAGAGTGCCCCCCCTGACGGGCTCCAGGGGAAAAAAAGAAAAAGGGGAAAGAAAAGAAAAGAAAGGGAAAGGAAAGAAAAAGAAAAAAGGAAAAGGAAAGAAAAAAGGAAAGAAAGAGAAAAAAGGAAAAAAAGGAAAGAAAAAAGGAAGAAGAAGAGAAAAGGAAGAAAAAGGGAAAAGAAAAGGAAAGGAATAAAAATGGGGGAAAAAAATAAAGAACATGGCCGTAAGCACCAGGGGGGGGGGGGCAGTTGACCCCATATATTTTGAAATCGTACAGTTTTTTTCCTGAAAATGTAGTGTAGGCCTATACCAAATCCTTCAATTCTACTTTTGAAAATGCAAAAGTACCCTCATGACCAGTTCGGTCGCTCGAACTCCCTTCACTCCTTTTGCTTTTGAGATTCTTCGAAAACTTTTAACGCATCTTTCCCCCTTCCCCGATCAGAAAAATATTCCGCATACGGCCCTGAAAAATTAAAACAAATGAAAATAGGAAAATATAAGTGATATAACAAATTTGAAACTCTTCGCTGGCGCGAACTGCTTGCTAGCCTATAAATGTTGTCACTTCCTCGTCCCCCTGAAAAAAGAAAAGGATTAGTATTGCCTAGAATACAATTGTGCCTGCCCCGACGGGCCCCGACCTGCAACCATGGCAACAATAACACACAATATATGTACCAAATGTTACTAAAAGAGACTAATTCATTTTTCTCGCTCGCTACACTCGCTCGCGAATAAAATGAATAGACATTGCTTTGGAAACAATTGTGCCCACCCTTGACCTGCAACAATATCATTAAAAATGGAAGAGTTTTTTCGCCCTCTCGCCAAAAAGGAATTGAATCGCGTTAAACGCGATTGCGTCAATCCTGACCTGCACCAATAAAAACAAGTTTATTTATTAATTTCTATTAAAAGAGAATTTATTTTTTTTGCTTGCTCGCTATGCTCGCTCGCCAAAATGGAATTGACACCGCTAACGTGCCCGCCCCAACCTGCAACAACCAGTTAATAATTATGTACGAAACGTTATTCAAAGAAGTTTTGGTGTGCTCGTGCTCGCCAAAACGGAATTAACATCACCTTAGACATGATTGTGTAAGCCCTGCCCTGCAATAAAAAAATCTGAAATTTATGAACCAATTATCATTACAAAAATTTTGCTCGCTCGCTACGCTCGCTCGCCAAAATAGAAATAACACCGCTTTTAATAATCACGTCCCTGACATGAAACAATTAAACCAAGTTTATATACCATATTTTCCCTATAAAGAGAAGTGATTTTTTTTTGCTCGCTCGCTACGCTAGCTCGCCAAAATACAATTAACACCGCTTTTAATAATCACGTCCCTGACATGGAACAATGAACCCAAGTTTTATGTACCATATTTTCCCTATAAAAGAAAAGTGATTTTTTTTTTCGCTCGCTACGCTCGCTAGCTCGTGGAATTATGTGCCCACCACTAACCTGCTACAATATCATTAAAAAGAGAAATGTAGGGGGTTGCCTGCCCGCCAAAATGGGATTGACATCACCTTAGACATGATTGTGTAAGCCCTGCCCTGCAACAAAAAAATCTGAAATTTATGAACCAATTATCATTACAAAAATTTTGCTCGCTCGCTACGCTAGCTCGCCAAAATACAATTAACACCGCTTTTAATAATCACGTCCCTGACATGGAACAATGAACCCAAGTTTTATGTACCATATTTTCCCTATAAAAGAAAAGTGATTTTTTTATCGCTCGCTACGCTCGCTAGCTCGTGGAATTATGTGCCCACCACTAACCTGCTACAATATCATTAAAAAGAGAAATGTAGGGGGTTGCCTGCCCGCCAAAATGGGATTGACATTGCCTTAAACACGATTGTGCCCGCCCCCTACCTGCAACAATGAAACAAATTTTATATAGCAATTCATTGAGAGAAAGATGTATTTTCGCTCGCTAGCTAAAATGGGTATAAAATCACCCTAAACACAATATTGTTCCCGCGCCCTGCATGGGACAATTGAACCAAGTTTAAGTGGCAATTATTAAAAAAGAAGTGATTTTTTCTTGCTCGCTACACTAGTTTGCAAAAAAATGAAATTAACGTCGCTAACAAGTGAATGTTCCCACCCCCAACTTGCAACAATACCAGTTTATATACCAAACGTTACTTAAAGATTTTTTTTTGCTCGCTCGCTCGCCAGAAGTGAAAATTAGCATCGTCTTTTTTGTTTGTTTCGGTCGCTTGCCCCCCCTGACGGAGTACCCCAGGTACGCCACTGTTTCTCATACCCCTCCAAGCTATAGTAGGGATCTTTCGCAATTTGTGAACCACATTTGGCGCATTAAATAAATGTCCAACGGCACTTCCTGGAAAAAAAAACGAGGCCTTCCGATTGGTTATTTAGAAGCGAGAGAAAAGTGATCTGTCACGTCGCGAGACGTTGTATCCTTCGTTGCTGCACAATGCAAAAATTATCTCGAGTGTATAAACTATGTTGTTATCAGGGGCGTCGCTAGACCTTTTCCAGTTGGGCGGGGGGGGGGGGGGTTGTAGAGGCCACTGATTACCGACAATCAAGCCACCAATACCGACAAAAATATTAATGCGGATGCCCCAATGTCTACAAATTTAACCCTTTAAACCCGGGGCCAGGAACCTAGTTACTTTTCAGTTTTCCCCCTCCCGCGAGGAAGCTTTGACACTTCATTAAATCATTAGAGAAAGAAGACGATTCGTTGTACCGTTCCCGACTCTATATCAATTTCTGTTTCTTTGGCCGATAAAAAGTCAGTCAAAAGATTGCCGGCCGGCCGACCGACATAAATACATTTCACCGACTTCAAACTTCTGCACTGATATAGCACACGAGGATCGAGCAAGAATACCGACACAACGGACCCGACACAGCAACATAATTATCTATGCGTAGTTTTCTTGCCCCCTCTTATCTCAGGCTCTTACCGGCCGGTACCCCCCCCCCCCCTCTTTCTCTCTCCTCTAGCACTTTCATCTCCCGTTTCGTTTGTTCTTTTTTTTTCTTTCTATCCTCTCCTTCCTTTCTTCTCTCGCTTTCTTCTCTTCTCTTTCCTTTCTTTTCCTTTTCTTTTCCTTTCCCTCTCATTTCCCCCTCACCCTTTTCTCATTTTTCCCGACAGCAGCGCAATTTTACCGAAAATATTCTGACAGGTAGCGGGGTGTCACACCCCACCCCCTTAGCGACGCCTCTGGTTGTTATCCCATTATTCTTTTATGCAATTCGTCATGCTCTCGCACCTCTCATCTATCGTTGTTTAATTCTCTTTCATTTTTTTCTTTCTCCTTTTCCCCTTTTTTCCACATTTTGTTTGTTGTTCTTCTTGTGCTTTTTTTTTTTTGGGGGGGGGGAGGCTACACGCTTGGCAAGAGGGCCCCCATATTTGCACAATGCAAAATTGCGTGCTCCCCCTCCCGCTTCTTTCCCGGTAAACAAACACCTTCTCATTTTTCTCCTTTTCTCTCCTCCGTCTTTCCCCCTTTCTTCCTTTTCCGCCTATTTTCTCTCCTCTCTCTTCCCCCTTTTCTCCTTCCCCCATTTTCTTCTTCTTTCTCTCTTCTCTTTTCTTTCCCTTCCCCTCCTTTTTTTTACCGGGGGGGGGGGGGGCACGTGCCCCCTGAATCCGCCACTACTTGAAGTTCCCATACGTAGAGTGGTTACAAGTTTTACAAAATCTTAACTTTATTATCTTTTGTCAGATTTTATTCAAACTTTCACTAGTCTGCTTCTCTCATTTTTCGGCTTTCTTTAAAGAGTTATACGATATTAAGGTTCGATTTCACTTTAAAGTTTTCGGTCCCCTGGTTGCTTAGTTACAAGCGTACCAATGCATTTCTGGCGGTCAGTTAAAACAAACCCTCAAATCAATCAAACACAAACAATAAGTAGGTCTTGGAGGGTATTGTGTGTTTATATAGTTTAATTTTGTTTTGTGTACTAGCTATTACAGATACCAGATAATTGCGTCTATTTGGGAACTCTTATACCAGAATAAGGTGTGGGATCAAGCAGATGGTAGAGTTGCATGGGTGTACTTGCATGTAATTTTGATTTACTTTAATCCAATTTTCGAAAAAATACTTTTCATATTCATTAAACATCAATATAACATTTGAACACATAAATGTACATGTAGAATAATAAGTAGCATGAGGGTGATAGATGGAGAGAGGCAGGTAAAATAATGAACAGATTATAGAGCTCCTTTAACATGTTGAGAGAAAACAAAAAAATACATCTTTGCGCTGAATATATTATACTTATACATTTGGAAGCTTTTACTTTTTTTTCAACAATGATCTTTATCATACATGCGAGGCAAATCGAGAAACAACAGATGTAGGTGTTGAAAGCTGAGTAAATAAGAAGTGGCATAACCACTCAATCTTGTCATCTGAGACCCTGTTTATGGGCCTTTGGTTGCAGAATTATTATCTCTTGTACATGTAGGTATACCAATAAACTTATAAAGATTATTTTGTAGCTAGAATGTATTTAAATGTTTATTGAAAGTGTATCTAAATACGCAATATCTCTTTATAACAGTGATACATCATGCTCGTACGGTATTTGTACTATAGTACATGTATATATTGACTTAGAACCCCTGGTATATACATATCAATATATTTCTGGTGATCAGTACACTTTAAGAAATCATGTAAACATAAATATATCTCTTTCTTCCAGGTTATAAACTTGTATCCATCTATAGGGCTCAAAAGATGTATATGGAGTGACTTTAATAGTAAAATTTGAATGAAGAAACTACATGTATATTTTGAATTGTACAAGCAGGTGTAAGACCTTATTATTTTAATTTAATTTTTTAAAATAAATTTAATGTCATTACAAAGAACAGACTTCTAAATGTCTCTTGCTCATTTACAACCACAAACCCCCAAAATGAAACAATCTGATGTTACATCACTATAACTACAACGAATGTATTACTTTTTACCAATTTTAATCTATAAACCATAATAAACAGACAATTAAAATTAGTTTAGGAGAAATATGTGTAAAGAGCAAGATAGAAAGATATGTTTATCAGATGTATGGAGGACAAACTGAACTAAAACCCATAATGAGATATATATAAGTGGACCTTTAAATTCACCTCCTAAAGCCTTTATATTAAATCTAAATAAAGATTTTAATTTTGTAACAATATTCTACAAGTATAATGTTTTAATATATGTGTAGAGGACCTAGGGGACAAACGGTCTTTTACACACCCTAAGGACTAAATATAGCTTAATAATACATAAAATATTCGTTATTCTGAGTAATAAAAAAGTACCTACAAGTTTGAGGTGAATCCAAAGTGCTGACTACTGGTACTACATATATTTTTCCATGCAAGAACAAAAGTATTGTGGGGCGATTCCGCGCAATGTGTCCCCCATACAACATATTCATTTTCCCCTCATATTTATCGCAAAAATGAAGAATCTCTTCATATGACCATTAAAATGAAATATAAGTACTTTCTGGTAATTTCCATTGGTCATACTCACATCAAGAGATTTTCCAGTCAGGAATGAAATACAAAACGTATATGGATAAAACTATCTTTATGGGACGCATTTCACGGAACGATCCTTTTGTTGTCTTTTGGTCTTTGTTATTTTCTGAACTTCCTATTTATTTAGTGAGTTATAATTTTCATTGACTACCTCAAAGCTACCTGGACCTTCATCAAAATGCAGATTGATATGGCTTTGAACAGCCTGCACTGGAACATAGTCTGGAAACTTCAATTTGCAAACAGGACATGTTCTCACCCCTTCAGGTGGTGCATTTGGAACATTGGTCAATGTGTCCAAACCATCCGTTTCAACATCCCTAGGATAGGGGAGGAGTAAACTGTCTTGGGGTATGGCACTGAAGGAGTTCACATGCTGAGACCTTCGCTGGGCAGTGTTGGGCCGACTCATGTCTCCTAGCGTAGGAGAAGTCATGCCGCCATCCTTGAGCTGTACGGTACTCCACTGGACAGAAGATGGTAACAGCATGTCTTGCATGGTACCACTGTTGTCGCCGGTACACTGCTGGACTTGACTCAAAGGAAAACGGCCATCATAGAGAGCACCAGCGTCTCCAGGCTGAGACGCACTCTGCATTGCATACTTTGAGAATGCACCCGATTTGTCTGTTCTACCAGATGATTCTGGAGAATATACATTGCTGTCTTTACTCATCTGCATAAGTTCAAAGGATCTGACTTCAGGGGGTGTATCCGGTGGTCCACGAACTTGAAAATCATCATCATCATCTGATAGATGCGCTCCGGATTGATGCCTGTATATTCCAGGTGATGGTGAAGTACCGATATCAAGGGGCGAACTGTTTTGCTTAAAAACACTGTCAAGACTGCTAGGCTTGGAAACCAAGGACTGATCTATGACTTTCCTTTGCTGAGGCGAAAGACTTGTATCTGACTTTGCCCTGCTATGGGGTTTGCTATTCTGAATAACAGTAAGCTGTCTTGGAGGCAACGGACCACGAATCCCTTGAAATCTCCCTTGGCCTGGCCGAACTGCTACTGGCATCTTGGGCACTGCACCACCTGACACCGTTGTGAAACTGGGATTAAGAGGAAACCTGCCGCCTGGTATCTGGCCAGCTGACTCTCTGCTCTTTAGACCACTAAATGGTCCCGCAGAATTGAACCCAGTTGGTAATTGTCCTTGTGTCCTTTGAGTGTGTATTGCAGGATCTGTGATTGTATGACAAAAGTAAGCAAATAATGACAGCTGGAATAAAATAAAAACTGAAAATAGACAAGAATAGAAATGATTTGCAATGTCTCATTTATCGCAAATTGCTGAGAATCACTGTTAGCCATCATACATGAAGGAAGAAGAAGATGTAACACCGACATTGATTTAATAGGTCTTAATAACCTAGATTCCACAAATTACCATGAAATCAACATAGGTCTTTCACAAATACAACATTCTATCAATAATAATATAGTGTCATGACATATTTGCTTTATGGACAAGAAATTAAAAATGGACCATATTTAATTATACTTTAAAAATAACAAAACTTCTGATTACTTCTCTGTGCTGTTCTTTTTTAGCTTACCACTGATTCTGTCGCCTTTTGCTTCAATGTTGATATCCTGCCCACTTCTTTGAAAATGGCCCCTCTCAGCATTTATTGATATCGCCTCCTGACTAAGAGTCTGAATCACATGGCTCATCAACCTTAGCAAGTGCCCAAGATCATAGTTCTCAAGAGCCTCTCTCTGAGGAAGGTACATATCCCTCTCCATGTCATCCAAGCCATCAAGATCCCCAGACTTACCCAGCTTTTGGTAGACACTATCAATTTTCTCCACAAGGCTCTGAAGGAGGCTTTTGAATTTCCAGAGGTCTTCCGCTGGGATTGCGGAGGACAGTGACGAATCACTGCTAGATACACCCGAAGACACCTCATCAGGCTCCATTGGAATTGACATAGAGAGGCCCTCAACAACTTGTTCCTCCACTACGCCAAAGTCCCTGGACATGGATTTTAGGAGATTAGCTACTGCCGATTCCATGTCATCGGGAACATTTAGCATATCCATATGTTGGTCAAACCATTCATCAATCTTCACTTGTGACTTAGCTGAACGTTTTCTGCTATTGCTTAGAGAGTGATGAATGTTCCATTGCAGAAGTCTCCACATTTTGCACACTTGTTGCCTGATAGACCGGTTGCTCTCATTCTCAAGAGCCACATCTAGCCAAGCAGGAACTGTGGTTCCATCATCCTTTCCAGAATTTATGACAATTCCTTGAAGAAGAACAAAGAATTGCAATAAATGCCTGAAGATGACTTGACAGTTTCCGATTAGCAATTTAAGATCAGTTTCTCTGCTCTGTACTTCACCAAGCTGAGCTAGCTTCTCACCAATGGTAGATGCAAGATCTTGAAACAATTTTTTGACATCTGAGACATTGGACAACTTGCCTTCAAATATCTCTGCACAGAATGGTCCATGCTCCCTGATCCTGCCAGGGACAGAACCTCCACCAGAATGTGCAGTCATATCTGGAGATGAAGACGCTGGTGATAGCTCAGAGTTACCAAATCTAGGTTGTGCTCCTGGATATGCAGACATGGCTTTTGCGTTCAGTGCATAGTCCCCTTGATCACGCCTCTCCTTTCCATGAGTTATCTTCAGCTGCCCCATTTCTTTTGCAAGTGAAGAGAATTTTTCTTTCCATGAATTTTTCTCCTTTCTTAAAGAGACATTCTCATCTCTTAAAGAGGCATTCTCATCTTGCAGTGATGATATTACTTTTCTGTTAGAAGATACGACTGCCTCACTAGACTTTAATTTGCCTTGGACCTGACTTATCATAGAGTGCAGGGCTTCTTGAGAACCTGAAGAGGCACCTCGAGAGTGTGCAGCCATATTACTCCTGAATCCCGTTTTCCTATACTACATGTAACTGCAGTACTGGTATACCCAGCAATATGCATGCCAGTATTTGAAGATTGGTCGTCTATCCCTACTCTGGACTCTGGTCTCTCACTGTAAAATGAAAGAAACAATATTTATGGTGGGCTATAACAAGTAACATTCTTTTTAAATTGGAACTCTGCTCTGACAATAATTACGTTTTAATAGAAGCAGAAAAGAGAGTAACTAACTCAAAAGCAAAATTACAGATTTGCCAATTTGTCTTTCATCGATTACAACTTTTAGAATTCTGAACCTTCTCATTTGAATAGTATTTTGCTCAAACTTTCACAAATCTGATTCTCTTGTTTTGTGTTTTAAATTAATTAAAACCAAATTAATATAATGGAACTTTCCTTTAAAAGTAGAGCCAGCTGCAGATGGGTAGACATACATGTACACACTTAAAATGTGACGAATCTCTCATTTTAAGGGAAATTATATACTTAACATATACCTGAATACTCATTCTACCATTATAAATTAATTTACTGCATTCATATCACTGAAAAACATGGGGGAAACTCTACCAACCTTGAAACCTTTGACCTTGAAAGTAATTACACAATTTGAACGAATCATTCAATTAAATGTTGCATTCTAAGTTTATCTTGATCAATACATGAGAAATTTGAATTACAAAGTAAAATTTGCCCTTCAGCGACATATCACTTAAACTAGATGGAATTTTGACTGCGCGCAGTCGAAAATGATGCCTCCGCCATAGAGCAATTTAAACAAGTTTAGAGTTTAAATCTCCAGTGGCTCTTGAGATATCATGATAACAATCTCAATGTATGGAATTTCATAAGTTGACCTCTGTGACCCTTGACCTTTGACCTACGTGCTCCAAAATCTAATCAGATTGTCTTCCTATGGTGATACACACTATCATTAAGTTTGAAGTTTAAATCTCCAGTGGTTCTTGAGATATTATGATAACAATCTCAATGTATGGAATTTCATAAGTTGACCTCTGTGACCCTTGACCTTTGACCTACGTGCTCCAAAATCTAATCAGATCGTCTTCCTATGGTGATACATACTATCCTTAAATTTGAAGTTTTTACATCTCCGGTGGTTCTTGAGATATCATGATAACAATCTCAATGTATGGAATTTCATAAGTTGACCTCTATGACCCTTGACCTTTGACCTACGTGCTCCAAAATGTAATCAGATTGTTTTCCTATAGTGATACACACTATCACTAAGTTTGAAGTTTAAATCTCCAGTGGTTCTTGAGATATCATGATAACAATCTCAATGTATGGAATTTCATAAGTTGACCTCTGTGACCCTTGACCTTTGACATACGTGCTCCAAAATCTAATCAGATCGTCTTCCTATTGTGATACATACTATCCTTAAGTTTGAAGTTTAAATCTCAAATGGTTCTTGAGATATCGCGCTAACAAACTCAATACAAGGAATTTCATAAGTTGACCTCTGTGACCTGTGACCTTTGACCTACGTACTCCAAAATCTAATCAGATCGTCTTCCTATGGTGATAAATACTATTCCCGAGTCTTAAGTTTATATCTTAAATGGTTCTTGAGATATTGTGATAACGGTCAAACGGGACGGACGTACGGACGTACGGACGGACGTACGGACGTACGGACGGACGTACGGACGGACGTACGGACGTACGGACGTACGGACGGACAACCCGAAAACATGATGCCTCCGGCACCACCTTCGGTGGCGGAGGCATAAAAACAATTTTGTGTTTCAAACATGCATGTTCTTATCTATCCAAGTATCTATAAATTTCTTAAGTTTTATCCTAAATCTGCTTGTATTTCAAAATCTACCAATTCAATACTCTCATTAAATCAGTATGGTAATGTGGCCATAGCTCGAAAGTAATTACACAATTCAAACGAATCATTCAATTAAATGTTGCATTCTTAATTTATCTTGATCAATACACGAGAAATTTGAATTACAAAGTAAAATTTGTTCAGCGACATATCACTTAAAAAACAGTTTTGTGTTTCAAACATGCATGTTCTTATCTATCCAAGTATCTATAAATTTCTTTAAGCTTTATCCTAAATCTGCTTGTATTTCAAAATCTACCAATTCAATACTCTCATTAGGCCATGTAAAACTGATTACATGTTGATCGTCCGGATTTTTTGAAAAAGAGGAGGAGGGTGTACCATGTTATTTGATATTTGATATTTTTCCCAAGATGGCTGCCGCGTGTACAAATAGTATATAATTGAATATGTACATCAACCAACGTTGCTGTAGTGAGTTTGATTTGCCCCAAAATATCAATTTTGGCTTTCTTCAACAGGTTTCTTTTTGTCTATTTTTAAATATTAAATGTTGCCTTTATTTTAAATATGTAATTTGTAAATATATTGTCATTTTTGTTTTGATTTTGTAATTGTTGTTTTAACATTTATGTAGATCTACATGAATGACATGATATTTAACATTTTCATTGGAAGCCTTGAAGGCGTACCTACAGGCTATCGCTAGCTTTGGTCTATCGTGAGGTATCTGCGATGCGATGCGATGATCAGTCGACTCGATCGACTCATCTCTAGCTAGCTCCTCGACTCAAGCATATACATGCGATATATGCATGCGCAGCGCATGCATCATCGCATCATTTTTTAGCGCAGCTTCACTTCAGCATATCGCCGATCATATAGCATATCAACCACTCTACATTTCAATACAATTTTTTCTAGAGTCTTAGTATGTTTGTACAAGAATATTTGAACAGCGTATTTGAAGAAAAGGTGGAAAAGATGCATATGGTAAGTATTCTGTGTTGTTTTCTGAATAAAAAGAAAATATATCAAATATCAAATATAAGGAGGCGGGCCGAAAAAAGGAAGCGGGCGGGGACGATCAACATGAAATCAATTTTACATGGCCTTAAATCAGTATGGTAATGTGGCCATAGCTCGCGGGTTATCTAAGTTTGCTGTCTCCCAAAATTGGTAGGATTTAGAAAATCTGATTTCACCAATGGAAAGAGGAGCATTAAAATAACCCATAGACGGAATTTTTCAGGAATTGGGTGCATGTGAAATTATGCAAATATTGACAAAAGATTGACACATTTTGCAGTCATTTGCAACTGTTCCAAAAAATGATTTACTCACCTACATGTATAAAGGTATGGAAATCTTCATTTTGAGAGCAGATAAATTTTCTAGTTAAACCAATTTGTAGTAAAAAACTTTGCCGTCCATTTGGTAATAATTGAAATAAATAAATTTGTGTAGAATACTGGTATGAGAAATCATAGATCGAATACCACATTTTCTAATATTTTCAAAATCTCGGTGAACTTTGGTCACCCCTTCATGATAATATACAAAGCATACTGCTCTTGATAAAGATCTTCCAGAAGATATGAAATATAAATTTCTTCAAATTGTAGATGATTTATAAGTACAATTTTACAAATATTGGAGAATGTGCAATTCTGTCCTCATTAAAAAAAAAATTAACAGTTTATAGTCTAGGTCATCGTGCTCCTTAACTTTAATAGATTTAATAGATTCTGACAAACACTGGAAAAAGAGAGACGATGCTACCAGAACCAGTTGCTACTCCAATCCTAATGTTAGACCAGGCGTGTCATGCAAGGAAACTTTCTGGGGTGCAAAAACCCTGGATCATCGCTGACTGTGCTCTCTCCCATTAACAACAGATTCAGAGGGAAGATGAACATATTCATTGTCTGCAATTTTTGTGAAATAAAGACGTCTTAATCACCTCATTAGGCCTCACACACAGTAGCAGCTCATTGCATTTGCACTCGCGGACATGGCATGCAATACTTGGTGACTTCTGGATACTGTGTTCTGTCCACATCCATCTAGACCCTACTTTAATTTTGTCTTTGCAAATTCACCTGATGATCACATGGATCTAGTCCATCTTTAAAAAAAAACCATTATGGCCAATGACTCAGCAATAAGGTCAATGACACAGCAATAAGGCCATATGGCATAGATTAGTGTATACAACCATGTCGCTTTTTGCATCATGTCGAGGTACATGTACAAAGAATACGCCACACAGCTCAGCACAACACAGCAGCAATGGAGTCTACACCAGGCCAGGCACTGCCCAACAAAAGAAATTAGTCTAAATAACTGACGTTTATTTACCTAAATGATATTATAAGGAAAAAATGGATAAATAATCATTCTTACCTATATTCCTATTGGCTAGGGTGATTGGGAAACCCCTATCGGTGTTATTTCGCAATGTACCGATCTTCTTGACACGAAACAGGGATGTTGTTAACGTCATTGGGAAATCCCCTTATTCAAACCAATTTATTCAAACCGTAGAGGGCAAGCAAATCGTACAGTTCGGCGCCAAACAAAAAAGATGTTGTATTGCCCTTTGCGACCTAGGTCTACCCCAAAATCTTAAAATCTACGGTCATCTCCACTACACCGTAACATCGCAAATATTCATATAGGGTGTATATCTACTAGTATTCAAATATTAGTATGCAGCACTAGCAGACTAGATAGACTGCTCAAAGTCTGAAAGGGCAAGTCCAGTCCAAAAATAACTTACTTTCAATTAGAAGCAAATAAAAATCAAGAAAGTTATCAATTTTTAATGACATGACAAACTTTGAAAAATCTCAAGACAAATAGGCAACTCGCTCATGAGTCTGTGACGTCATTGGCTTACTACCCACTGCTAGTAATTGTTTTCTTTATATTAATAATATAAAGTTCATTTCCCATTTGCCCCCTTCGGAATCTTATTTCCTCGCACCAGCATCCAAGTTAGGCTATATACTAATAGTAATATGTTTTTATGTGGATGCACTAGTATAGAGTAATTTTTTCAGTTAAATCGTGAAAAAATATGAATTTGATTAACTATTTATATAAAAATCAGTGATTATTGAATATAATTGATAAATGTGTCACTTTTTTTTCAAGTTGACAATAGTTTATTACCCCTCTTCACCCCATCTCTTACCCATTTTAGGCATGGTTCTATATTTTCACTTTGTCAAGTTTGTTATTTTACTCTTTTATCTTTATCTTCCTTTCTTCTTCTTCTTCTTCTTCTTCTTCTTCATCGTCTTCTTTTTTTTTCCTTTTTCTTCCTTATAATTATGCTTTTTTTTTAAATCCATTTTCGCTTTAGTACTGATTTTTTACTCTTTAAATCTCTCCCACTCTTAATTTCAATTTTTGCATACTTTTCTCTACTATTTTCAGTTATATTATCGATATTTCACACCACATACACCTGCTCCGTTTATCGTTTTACTGCTTACTTCAGTCATTTTTCTTTCATGATTTCAGTAGAAATATGTTATTTTATGCTAAACTCTGATTTCTTTCTAATTCGTGTTTCCATAATTGCAATACGCTATATATTCAATATATTATGTTATGTTCTTCTTCTTCTTCTTCTTCTTCTTCTTCTTCTTCTTCTTCTTTCTTCTCCTTCTTCTTCTTCTTCTTCTTCTTCTTCTTCTTCTTTCTTCTTCTTCTTCTTCTTCTTCTTTTCTTCTTCTTCTTCTTCTTCATCGTCTTCTTCTTTTTCTTCTTCTTCTTCTTCTTCATCGTCTTCTTTTTTTTCCTTTCTCTTCCTTATAATTATGCTTTTTTTTTTTTTCCATTTTCGCTTTAGTACTGATTTTTTACTCTTTAAATCTCTCCCACTCTTAATTTCAATTTTTGCATACTTTTCTCTACTATTTTCAGTTATATTATCGATATTTCACACCACTATACACCTGCTCCGTTTATCGTTTTACTGCTTACTTCAGTCATTTTTCTTTCATGATTTCAGTAGAAATATGTTATTTTATGCTAAACTCTTGATTTCTTTCTAATTCGTGTTTCCATAATTGCAATACGCTAAATATTCAATATATCATGTTATGTTATATATTACATTATGTGCTACTAATTTTGTTTGTAAACTTTTGTAATTAAAAAATTTGGCTAAACGCCGAGTCGCCATGATGAAAGTTTTATTTGAAATAAACCATTTTGAATCGAATTCAATATTCAGAAAAAATATCAATTCTTCAAAGTGAAAGGCCTATCTCCCCCTAGCAGTAGGCCTATCTAGTCAATAAACATATAGTAACCAATACAATAACAGTATTAAAAATATGTTGATTAATTCGATCATAATCTTGACATTTTATTAGCCAATTTGATGCTACAACGATATACAACGAAGTACGTACAGGCTTTGCGATGAAAAAAAAAAGGGGGGGGGGGGTAGAGTAGACTAGTGTGCAGTCTAGCGTTTATTCATGATATGCACTTTGGCTATGGTCTGAAAACGGTTTTCAGTTAAAATAATCGTCCTAAGTGCTTTTCGCCCACTCCACTCTGTACAATTTCGGCCCACGTCACCTCAGCACTTGCTCAACATTTAAAGACGCAATAAGCTTTTAGACTATTTTTCCTTGGACCTTTAAGAAACAAATCCTTCAAGCGATATACCCCCCCCCCCGCCCTTCCCCCCGATCCCCATAATAGATATTCCGGATAAAATTAGATTCGATTTTTTTTTTTTTTTTTTTATACAATTATACTGAATAAAGCAAAATCATAAAGATGGTATCAACACAAAGCTATACGACAATGACATTTAGTAGGACGATCAGGGACAGTCCATACAGCACATAGAAGTATTGAAATTGATCACGTGATCGAATGTCCTATCAAACTGTTTGATCAGTTTTCAAGACAGTATATATTCATAAAAGCAATGTCAAGGTTAACTAATTACTATTGTTATAATTTTTTTGTTTTTACAAAAATGAATTCACTAGTTTCTGTATATTTCTGTTCAGATTCATTTCAGGGTTTTTGCCCCATAGCCCCCCTAATATGTTGGTTAACCTTTTTTACATGTATGCCCAAACCCCAAAATAACCCTCCCCCGTACATGTTCATATTTTCTTTTTTCTCTTCATACCGATATATTTTCTGAGTGGTTAGATCCCATTTTCATAATTACTTTGCCAACTTGTTTCATTGTTATGCTTGTCTGAAGATGATTTGCCACTAGACTTAAAGCTCTAGCTTCCCGGGGGGCCAGGGGGTACTCACATTTTAGGACATACGGGTGTGTGCTGCTCTAATGGGTAACTTTTTCCAAAAAAAACCTGAACATGAGTCCCACTTTTAATAAAAATGGGTCTGTTTTTTTTAAATTTCCAAAATACAAATTTTCCCGTGTTTGTAACACCCCAAAATTGTGGAAAATGAGTTGTTTTTTCCTCCCCCCCCCCCCCCCTCCGGGGTCTAGCTTAGGATATGAGCTCTCCACCCAAACTATTTTTCCAAAATATTCAAAAATACATTGATTATAACTTGTGGTAAACTATTTTGGAAAGCAGTAAAAGTGTAATTTCATTAACTTAACTAAGTAGCATTAAAACATGACTTATTCTATCAAACAAAGCAAGGACTATATTGCACAGCATTCTTATGTTCTTTTATTGCATAAAATTACACAACTCTAAAATACATTTCATTTCAATGGAACTCTGACATGCATTTAATGGTTTACTTTCTTTTGCAGTTAAATTGAACATACATGTAATTCTATTCTCAAATAAAGGTAAAAACACATTAATTTTGTATGCAAACTACTTTTTGGTTGGTTGATTTAAGAAAAATTGCTAACAATGATGCTTTCTATCTGCTTTCAGATACACTGTATTACAAAAACAGCTTGAAAGCTCCCATAACAATTCTATACAAAAAACACTTTGGTTTCTTGGTCATCATACTTAAAAATGATTTTCTGTCATCATGTCAAATGTTAGGGAGTATCATCAAACAATTGGTAAGAACCTAAAAAAGACATACATGTACATTAGGATATGTTTACCATTATAGATTCCCATGACTTTCTCTTGAGAGTGAAGAGGGTAGACTATATCTTCTGAATATACAAACATGGAATTATACAGTAGGCTTGCAGTTGCACCATGTGAGAGAGGGGGAGGACTGGGGAGTCCTGAAAAGGACTCTCAGTAATCTTTCCTTTTCAGGACTCCCCAATCCTCCTCCTCTCTGTCTCTCACATGGTGCAAACCCAAGCCTAATGTATATCTACATCACCATGCAAGCCGATACTTATAAGCAGCATCAAACATGGAATTGTTTTTGTATCTGTAAAACCCACTACCATTAAAAACAACAGCAATATGAGCCAATATGTCTGTCCTGCAGAAATGCTCTTGGCAATTCAAAAGGATTATAACTGAGCAGCCAAAAATCTGTTGTGCTCAGGCACATCGAGCAGGAATACACATTTCCATTGGGGCTAAGGGGAATATATAGATTAGTGCCTTCCAAAATATCATTTATTCGGGCCAGGATTTGAATCCTAAACAAACTCAATTGAAAGTCAAGTGAATAAACCACTATACCACAACAACTCTCTTGCCTCTGAAGGTACAAACTAATGCATAGTTACATGTAAAATACACTTGAAGCCAATTTTCATTTCTTAGGTTTATATATTTTTTTATATTTACCCACGCTTTTCAATACGATCATAATTTTCACATGTCACATAGAAATAATCTTACCTTCAATAATGTTCAAACTGTCAAATTTGCTCCATCGTCAATAATATAACCAAACTACTGCTATTTATATAATATTTTGTCCAGATGTAATATCCTCCATTTAATTGTATTTTTTTTTGTTTTCTGTATACATTGGAGCATGTGAAGTAAATAAATTCAATTAACCTTTACAGTGCTAAAGGGGAGGGAAGCAGAATCTGCATGCCCTGTAATGTGTCAAAACAATAATTCCAACCTACAATTTAGTGACTTCATACATTGTAGCTTTGAAAGAAAGCATCTTTTGACACCAAATCCTGCAGAAGAGGGGGAAGGAATACTAGTTGATTTACCAAATCGGCTTGAAATGAAATGTACATTTTTATTAGGGCAAATCCAAGCCATTTCGTCCCATACCTCACCTTACCAACCACATCTAAGATTTTGGTATATCTAATCATTGAATAGGGTTGACAAGTGAGTGTACTAGACCTTAGATCAGACCAAATAGGATGTAAACTGACCAAATATTTCAAGTCCAACTTACATGTATGTAAGTCCCATCCTTGTTGATGTATGATAAACCAAGTGACTTATTACCTTGGATTTGCCCATTATATTAATTGTCAAGTTTAAATTGTCTGACATTGTCTCTTCTTTCATTCAAGCATTTCTTTGAGATTGTCTCCTTCATTCCAGTATTCCTATGAGCTTGTCTTTCAGGTAATTGACTTGCTGAACTGGTGTGCGAAGAGGGTACCAATCCTGGTAAGGAATCTGCACAATCAACAAAAAAAGAATATCATTAATGTTTGTATGAAGCTCCAAATTCATGATATTCACATCATTCCATAAGTAACTTTGAACATTAAATGGAATGTCTTAATATTGTTTCAATCGGTTAGAGGTAGCACATAACATTAAAAAAAATATGATCATGAAATTTGAATAGCTAAGAAATGTGTTTTCATGTGTTATGAATACAAAACTTCCCTGACGGTTTCAAGACAAAATATCAGCACTTTTTATGTTTTTTCATCATTTTTGCTTTGCATCTTAAAGGTACTATGTCCCATTTGCAGGCCAAAAAAATGAAAAGGTTAAATTCCAACGCCATTTGAAAGTTAATACTAATTAAGAACTTCCCTAAAAAAGGTGGGGCTTGAAAATGTCTTCAAGTGGGAAAATAACGACTATTAGTTGTCAAATCGACTTGGGAGCTATAGAGCCAATAAGTAATAGTCTTGATTGTCAGACCATTGTACCTAATGATCATACATTTTATGCTGCACAAAGATTCAATCAGCTGAATTTTGGTCATTACAAGAAGTGGGTTATTGATGTAGACAAATGCTCATGTACCCTTTACAGCTCATTGTATGTATGTTATTACCAAAGAAGAAAAAAGCCAGTCAGTCACTCAATAGTGTCTGACAGTGAAGTCTGGCAAGTTAACAAGTTTCCTTGCATAATTTGAATATTAGGACACTACTAACGTTTAAATTTCACAGATAGGACATACATGACATATTCATAATTCCTGCAAAGTTCTACATAATTTGAGGTTTACTGCAAAAGGGACATAGTACCTTTAAAATATGCCACTGTAGAATTAATGGGCTGAATAAATAAAACTAGTACTTACACTAGAGACAAAAGGTTACAAGCTACCTCAAGAGCTTTTGCTATGTCAGGCAAACTGGTGGCAGCTGGCATAATTTGTAAGTTTACAACATGATTCTACTCCCTGACAGCTAGTCAAGCTGTCATGCAGGAAACTAAACAAAAGCTTGTGCCCCAAGTGGTAAAATACAATTAAATGGTTTTATCCCTGCTCAGATGCTCACTTTCAAATTTGGCTGCAGAGACTGATTTAACCAACTATTTTTTTAAATGCACCCTACCTGCAATACTTGATATCCAGTTAATTCAAGGTGGCTGAGCATCATTTCTAGACGTCCTACTAACTGTGATGTAGAGTAAAGGTATGAAGGAGGGCCAAAGGTCATGATGGCCAATCTATAAAAGGTAAAAATATGAAATACAACATTTCAAGTTTTTCAACCCTTAGGAATGAAAGATATGTGTTTATTTCTTACAATGTGTTTTACTTACAAGCTGAAAGCCGTTATCTGCTAATCTCTTTGCCTTTACACCATAGGGTGTCAGAAGGCTGCTAAGATTATGTTTTATAGTGATATTAGTTTGATCCTTCTGGCTCTCAGTAGACATTATTAGATTTTGCCCAAAATGCAAACAGTTATTGAATTTTAAAGCCATACCATATTCACATCAGGTTGCAATAAATTCTCATAACACTAAATGTTGTCATGCATTATAAAAATACTGCAGCCTGTGAACCAGAAAATACATTGCAAGAGATAATCTATGACTTGAATGGAATTACCTACTGCTGACTGCCACCTTTAGACCAACTGTAAGTACTAAAATCAGTAACTTTAGTGTTGTTTTATATTCATTGCTATATTGATTAGTCTTTGCCAAATAAAATAATGATACTGATAATGATAACCTCATAATTTTTTTGCCATAAAAGTTTATTAGCAAACTTATTCAGGAATGTTCATGAGTGGTTGAGGTAAACAAACAGTCAACTAAACCTCTCTGAAATCTCAAAATGTTGCAAAATGCATGAATGAAAGGGTGGAGACATCAAACAAGCAGAGTGTAGGGTTTTAGTAATCATGGAACCCCCCACCCCCAACCCCGAAAAAAAAACCACAACAACAACAAACAAACAAACAAAAACCAGACTCAGAGTTACATGAACTCTGTTCTCTCATATTGTCTTCTTTCTCAGTTCTTTCAGAAAATAAAATGCCAAGAAGATATATCTTAGGAAAATCTTTACTTACTTTTTACCATTTCCTTTCAATTTGCTGGAAATTTCTGCATCTGCAAAGACAACATACAACATGAAACAATATAATTTAATTATCAGGTCTAGAATTTGCAGATTAATATACCGATATATCCTTAGGCACAATATCAAAATGGTGGGGTATGCAACATGTTTGTCTTTACTGCTTAGTACCAATCTTTTGAAATTATTCATGCCTGTTCAATACCTGTATTGAAATTAAGTGCATTATGCACAGGCATGAACTGATTGGGGATGGGGTAAAAATTATGCACCTTGTTTTCAAAGACTAAAATAGCATATCAATTATTAAAGTCATCGCCTATGGGAACCGGACGACTCTATTATCAATGTCTGTAGGTTGAAGAGAATTCAGTAATCAACTACTAAAGTGCTTCTGGCAAAATCTTTTTGCTTATTTTAGTTATCTGTATGGTCTGGTCAGCAAAATGTCCTCTCCAGACGTATCCACGCTAACTTCCATGTTTTGTAGTTTAATTGTTGATGTCAAGGTCAATACAACTTTCTTCTGGATATCGATGCCTGTATTGCTCACCCAGAATAGAAATAGAAATTGCTGGAAATCCAAGACCCGCTTTTAATTCAATACTAATTAACAATGAATACATTTCAAAATAGCAATTCTAAGTAATTTTTTTACAATTGACTATTAAGTGAATCTAAAGTTTCAGACATTGTATGAGTTGAAAAAATTAGGGATGAGTTGTATCACCATCCACTGGCATGATGGAAGTCAGTACCGTATTCAGTATTAACACAACACAGCTATCTATAATGCCTATATTTACTGTAAAAAAAAAAAAATTTGCAATATGAAACTTGGGAGACCTGTAAAAGACAGCCCTTTTGCAGAAAAAGATGTTTTTCCATTGCAAAACTTCAGTGTTGTGTCAGTTGTGAATCAAATTCCACAGTCAACTCTTCTGAATCTGAACCAGTTATAAATTTCATGTCAGTTTCTGATTTACAGTATACATATTTTTACCTATGATGTAACCCAGATCACTTTTGACATTCTCCACCATGGTCAGGTCATCTCCAAGGGAAGCTTGTAAGACTTTGAACAAGGATCGGTGCAATGTTGTAGTGTAGATTTTGTGGTTTGCTGGGAAGGATTTGAGGTCAGAGGTCAGGTATGGGCCTTCATAGTCAGGGAAATCCAACTGGGAGTATGCGTTGATCTGCAGCAGCTTCAGTTTCAGAGTGGCTGACAGAGGAGCTACACAGTCAAAGGAAAAATAATAGAATCTAATGAGTAAATAAAATTTTGTTTTGTTAGATCTGGGGCTTGTCTTAGAAAGAGTTATGATTGATTTAATTGATCGCAAATCTGTAAATCTGATTGTTTGATTGGAGGACTTGCGATCGATGTACACGTATTGAAGATCAATTTTCTTTACACAATACACAGTGCCCTGGTGTGGATCCATCTACCGGTACGTGGAAAGGCACAAATTTAATTTCACAGAGGGGTACTACAAACTGGACAATAATTTAACAAAATCTTGTATCAAAATTAAATTTCTTCAGTGTAAAAAAGGTTTACCTTCTTGGCTCTCCTCAATATTCTTTAGAATCTTTGTTACAATCTTTTGAGGCACTTGCTTCAGCACCGTCAAAGAGTGGGCTACGTCTATCTGATCTTTCGCAGAATAATCATCAAAGTTTGCGTCTAATTTATTTCCAACTTCAACATAGAATGTGCTTGCACCCAGTGGTTGATAAGAAAACTGACTGTAGGCAAACAAGAGCCTCTTCAGGTCTAGAATGGTAAGTTCATCTAATGCCCCAGCTAGAACAGTGTGGATAGAATCCAGGAGGTTGGACGCCTGGATACGCAGCACAGCATATGTCTTTGCAATGTCACATAAGAGGCTCAGGGAGCATTCATCAAGTTTCTGCTGGATGTGCACTGCAAATTCACTGAAGAGTGCTGCATTGTGGAAACCTAAATTACCCATTGCGCTCATTATGTCCATCATGGCAGGAATCTCCCATTGCGAACGCTGCTCTAGCAGCTGGTACGAGATTGCCCGCAATATAGGTAGTGATCTTGTATTGGTAGCTACCAATGACTTCATCAAGGCTGTGATCTCCTGAAAACTAAACTGGCTGAGCATCTCCAAAGTCTTGTCTTCCACACGCTCTAGAAGTGGTTCCGACACTCGAGCTGCAGATGGCAACAAACGTCGTACAAGCTGCGGATTCTGCAATTCCCTCCAGCGTAGCTCAAGGACACGAGCTGCTTCATTCACAAGTGCTTTTGTTTCTGTTCTCTTTGAGAGTAACTGGTCATTGCAAACAATTGTCGCAATTGAACGAATGGGGAAAAGTCGTAACCTTCTCCTGCATTCTCCTTCTAGAGCAAGAATGAAATCATCATTGTTACTGTTGACATGAAATGCATTTGCAAGAGTACTTGTAAGGCTTTCATTGCTTAAATTCTTGACTCCCCCTATGATAGATGTTGCCAAACTACTAAAGCGCTTGTCTGTTACAAAACCAGGAGAAGCAGAATCATTCTTCTGTATGTGACGTAGTGCTCTCACAGCTATCGATGCTTCATTTCCAGACATTTCCCTCTGGCTTATAGCTTCAAGTGCATTTTCAACTGATCCAAGAGAGCTAAGCTCCTGAAACAAACTCTGTCCTGCACCTACAGTTCTTTCCGATTGAGGTAGGCTTTCGGAACTAGCAGCATCCTCAGCAAGTGCCTTTCTGCTAGAGGTAAAAGGTCTTTCATGGTTCAAACTTTGACCCGAGGAGAGAAGGAGCTTTGTGGAGCACCTGAAGTTTCGATGAAGCCCTGGAGCTAAATGTCGCAGGATCGACAAGGCCATGTTTGACAAGTTTTGATGACCTTGCTTATGATTACCTGTAAAATAATAAAGACAGGGTAAATGATATATTAATGTGTAAATAGGTAGGTCAAAGTTCATCAATAAAGGGTATGAGAAAATGTCCCTCAAAACTATTATCACATGAACTACATGTACATGTACATTCCCACATTTTAATGTTCCCCTATCACACTATTCCAGTTCGACATCCTTCCCCCCACGCTTTGCATATCGCGCTATGCAGCTGTTGAGCAAAAATTATAACCTGGCGTGTACCACTTTTTTATCCATTCGGATAAATATTGCCTAGATTTTGGAGTGTTGTATCTTTTGATAAAAACATCGGTGAGCCTTGAAATTTGAAATGTGTTCTTCTGAGAAGTCAATTTTTTTTAATTATCCAACCATAAATGGTGAAAAAAAATCCAAAAGGGAGAATTGAAAAATCGTTCAGACACCTTTACTAGTACTAATACATTGGTTCCAGTCACTTACAAGATTGACTGTATGAAGCGTTTAGGGGTCTTTGTTCCAGATTTTCCTTTGTCAAAATTGAAATCTGTGTTGAAATTCTTGCAGCCATATTCTCAACTGTTACTGTTAATGGATGACGTCACCTTCCTTCGCAGTTACAGTTTGAAATACGGCTACAAGAATTTCAACACAGAGTCCAATTTCGACGAAGAAAATCAGGAAAAAAGACCATTAGAGGGACTTGGTAACATTGTTCAGATGAGAGTAAATGGCGCTAAGGTAGTGACTTCAATGTTTGATGTACAATTAAAGATAATCTGAAAGATTGAGTGCAAATGGACCATTATTCATGATAAATAATTGGGTAACTGATCTGATTGATTCCAGAATTCTCCCTACTATATTATTACTTTTTTATTTACATTTTAGGTGAATATAAAATAAAATCGACACAAAGCAATGAATTGGCTCTATACATTCCAAACATTTAAGTGTTTAAAGATATTTAAATGCCTGTGTTATGTCTTATTTTCATGGAAAATTGGTTAGGAAAATTCAAAAATTGATTGGGAGAATTTAGTATTGGAGGACGTTACACAGCACAGTGACGCCTTCAAAGGAAACCATAAATACTTTGTGGTTTGAGAATTTGTTCAAGATTTTGTGCATGTTAGAGGGTTTAGTACGGTAGATGGAATATATAAGTAATATTTCATACATGTACAAAATTACACAGTTTTTCATCAACCTTCAACAATGTTACTGAGTCACTTTAAAGTTTTAAACGCATCATGATATACAGTCAATCTGGTAAGTTGAACCAATGTATAATAGCCTAGGCCTAATTTTCAAGAATAAATGAGTTGAGAATAAATGCATCGGTTATGAAGCCTGACCAGTAAAATGACATTTTAGTCCAAAGTAAAAGTTTGGTAGCACGATCGTGCAACCAAAGTTGCAGAGCAGACCCTTTGGTCGGCTTCTGTTTTGTCAAATAAATTTTTTTAAAGGATTTTTGTACGTGCAGCACGCGTTACCGTCGCGTCTGATTTTGACAGTCTGCGCGATGAACTTTGCGGATTGAGCGCTGTATAGTGAGTTTCAGCACTCTCATTGGCCGATCCACTTGGGTGGCTTCGAATTTAAGTGAGAGAGGGCCTACTTAACTTAAGTTTAATGGCAATGTCAATACGTAATATTACGTCACACCACAGAGATTTTGACATTTTGACATTTAAACAGCTACAGGTGACGCACTTCACACATAACACACGGCATTACACACACATAAAATACCTTAAATATGATGAAAATGAGAATTGTTCAAACTTTAAAAATAGTTAGGTGAGACTCAAACTCAAGCGAAAAATTCAGAAGATGGGGTTTGACTGAAATATCATAATTTTGGTATTGAAAAAAACAAAAAATCGCAAGCTTGCTCGTCCCACAAATATCTTATAGCATTGAGTGAATGTAATGAAGCGATAGCCAATAAGAAGAGCCAATTTATTTTTGTAAAAATAAAATGAGGCTGCGATTTGCCAAGATCGGATGAACGATTTGCGCATGCGCTAAATCATAAATGTAGATATCTAGCTGTAAGCTAAAGTTCTACGTGGTCTAGATCTATGTACTATGGGGGAAGGTTGAAAAAACGGAAATTTGGCCTTATCGTTATCAAAGTCCCTTCTCATTCACAGTGTACACACACGTTTGCGGATAGGACGTTAAATGGAGGCCCCGTGTAGAGAAAAGGTCGCTCCCTTTGCACGTTAAGATTAGAACCCACTGCACTATTCGTATAAGAGTAGGCCTAGGGGGAAACCCCGGTGTAGTGATCCACCTGCACACACCCCAGTAGACTATAGTACGATAATACTCTGTAAAGAGGTACGTACTCAAAAAGGAAGAGTTACGGAGGTGGGTGGAAGTCCCTAGACCGAATTTTCCGTCTCTTTCGTTCGTTAGCCTCTTATTGGGGTAGGGTCGGCCGGCTCTCTCTTTAGAGACGGAAACCGTCTATACACATTCCCTTGATAACGCCACGGCCATTTCAGGTCGTAGCGTTTTGCCCCCAAAATCCCCCAAAATGTCATTTTACCTCGTGCATGTTATATTGTAAATTAGGCCTAGGCTATAATAAATCAGTTCCACTTACCAACTTTACTGAAATAATCAGTTTAATAGTCCCTTTTTAGGAATTTATGGGTCAAAATCGAAATCCATGTTGAAAAAGATTTTCAAAATGGATTTCGATTTTGACCCATAATTTCCTAAAAAGGGACTATTAAACTGATTATTTCAGTCAAGTTGGTAAGTGGAACCGATGTATTATAGCCTAGACCCTAGGCCATACATGTGGATATGCACGAGGTAAAATGACATTTTGGGGGATTTTGGGGGCAAAACGCTACGACCTGAAATGGCCGTGGCGTTATCAAGGGAATGTGTATAGACGGTTTCCGTCTCTAAAGAGAGAGCCGACCCTACCCCAATAAGAGGCTAACGAACGAAAGAGACGGAAAATTCGGTCTAGGAAGTCCCCTGCCCTGCACGCAGACGCAATTAAAAGTTAGCTGTGTAGTGTAGGCCCTAGAGAAATGAGAGGGGACTTGGATCACAATATATAATGCTGGAAATCTCAGGTTTATTACAGAATTTCCCATACCAAACGGTTGTTTTTGTCGAACTCTTGTTATAAGTTATGAATAAGGGAGTTCCAACACCCAGCTGCAGTAACAACAGTAAATCAATGGTATGGACTGCAGCCCACTGATCTCTACGGATTTTTCCGTAGAGATCAGTGCTGCAGCCGCATACATTCCGCCGCGGCGGAGCTCCCTCTTGTGTTTCCGGTCACATCGTGTGTACAGTTTAAATGGCCAATCCTAAGCTTCATATTCCGGTCACTTCCCGCGACCCCGTTAAATATTAAATAAACAATTAAATAATTGATTCTTAGCTAGTACGCATTATATAATCATAGCTTATCAAATTATAAATGTTTTTGACATAGACCTACTTGAAACAGAGGCAAGACACGCTCGCAGAGCGGATGGACTTCATTCAGAATGTTCAGGTAGACAAGCCCAATTTTCTGCGGTGAACGATGGTATCTGCAAAGAGTTATTTCATTATTATTATTATTATTATCATAAATGACAATGATAATGATTATAGGATAGACCTAATGATAATGATAATGATTATGATAATATAATAATATTATAAATTGTCTCGAAGGTATTCTGAAGGGTTGATTATAAATCAGAATATAGAAAAACGTTTTGTAACCCTGCATGACAATCGTTGCAAATTCCAGATTTTGCTGGAACTTGCTGAAACATCCCGTTAATCTTACAGGCAATGAATTATTTTTAGGATTCTCTCTTCAAAAAGGTATTTCTGCTCTATTGGCATTCAATTGGAGGAGGGGGTACGAGTCCTCAAGTTCGTGATACGCCACTGAGTACCCTGAATAACTGTATAGGGCCAATTCAGGCGCGGATCCGGGGGGGGGGGGGGGCAGCGGGCCATGCCCAATTGTAAACTTTCTTCATAGAAGTTCGTGTGTTTTGGCATAGCCATAGGGGAGTTGATGGGGAAGCCCACTCCAAAAATAACTCACTTAAAAAAAATAAGCAGAAAAATCAGACAACTAAACCAATGAAAAAAAGTTTGAGCAAAATTGGATATAATAAAAACTTATGAATTTGTAATGGCATGACAAACTTCGAAAATCACAAAACAAATTTGCAACTGACTCATGAGTCTGTGCCGTCATTGCCTCACTATCCACTAATTGTTTTCTTTATATTGATAATATGAATTTCCCCCTAAAAATCTTATTTCCTCACACCAGCATTCAAATTATATTGATAGTATTACATAGCAATATGTTTTGTGTGAATGCAATATTAAATATAGAGTAATTTTTTTCAGTTAAATCATGACGACATTTGAATTTTGATAAACTATATAAAAAATCAATTAGTATGAATATACAATATTCAGAAAATAGTATAAATTCTTCAAAGTTCTCAAAAGGTTTTGTGAAATGTCATGCACACAATAGGATACAAATCATATAACCTGGGCAAAGGCATGGGGAAATCAAATTTTGGGGGATAAAATGGGAAATTAATAGGATAAAAATATTAGGCAATTGATAAATAGTGAGGCACTGACGTTACAAACTGATAACCAAATCAGCAGTTACTTTGTGTAGTGGTTTTCTAAGTTCCATACTGTTGTTAATGCTTTTAAATAAATGCATAAGTTCCATTTTAGTTATCCTACTTTACTCACATTTCTTTGCTCAGTTTCTCTTTTTTGTCTGCATTTGTCAAAAGCAAATGATTTAGGACTGTACTTGGCCTTTAACTATAAAGCCATGACGACCAGGAGCAGTTTTAGATGTTTTGTTCTTGTTGTGGGGGGGGGGCGGATCTAAGGGGTTTGGCGGTTTAAACACCCCCCTTGGGCGGCCAAATGAGAAAAAAAGGGGGAAAGGAGGGAAAAGAAGGGAAAAAGAAGAAGAAAAAAGTAAAACCGTAAAACGGCGCTATTTTTTGGAACATCTTGGATCCGCCACTGGGTCAGACAGTCCCATTGGCAAAAAGCTAGATCCGCCGCTGGGGGGGGGGGGGGGGGGTCAAGCCGGGCCTCACTAGAATAGCTACTGATAAAGAAAACTAAAGTTAACTTTGAGATAATATCCTATCTCAAATGAAAACATATTACTCATCTCTTAATCGTTTAATCATGATAACCTTTGGTATCTATACATGTAATATTTTAGTACCCCCCCCCCCCCTCCCCACCCTGTCTGACGTACACGGTTATATCGTATATAGGCCATAGGCGCCAGGCGCGGATCCAGGATTTCTTAGGGGAGGGGGCCCAACTTTTTTCTTTTTTTTTCCAGGGGGGGGGGGGCGGGCCCCCGGGCCCCCCGCCACTGGATCCGCCATTGATAGGCGCTATATACCCAGATGCTTTCCCCTTTCATTCATAGTATTATTACTTGTCACTCTCAAATCGTTGTATCGTTACAATAAACGGAGCGCAGTGGGCTCTCGATGGGTAATTCGGCAATGATGTCGTGGTCCATGGCTTCATCGTTGGTGCCTTAGGAAGCTGGTACCAGGGCAACGAACGTGCTTTGCTGCATTGATGCGATCCAAGCTTCCATAGACATCCGGGTAGAACATGATTGTGACTGGACATCGACATTATGAGTGACGAATTGTTTAATGTATGAGTTCTATCGTTTGTGCATTTATGATTGCTTGACAAAGCTAGATGAATATATCCCCCGTCCTACCATGCATACATCTCGATGTACCCGTGCTAGACAATCCATTGGTTACCATTATATCGACATGATCTGTAAACAATATATGATTTTCAAAAGTGCCTTCTCTAACTGGAGACTTACATAATGTTGTTAAATGATATAACTATTTCGAAGATTATGCTATTTTGTCTGCATTTTTGTCTTCTCTCTCTCTTTCTCCCTCCATCATGCCCCCTCTCTCCCTTAATATACATAATTATATCTGTCACTGCTCTCTCTCTCTCTCTCTCTCCCCCTGGGTCCGCTCGATATTTATAAGGACCGCTATTCATAATCGAAGAAGAGGGTTGCTATTCATAATACAAAATCGGGGTCGTTATTCGTAGGGGCCCTGTTCATAATGCGAGAAGAGGGTGAATGAATATCGGTCCGTATGAGTTAGTGACCCCCAATATCAATTCTGAATACCGCCCTTTTTCATGTTTATGAACAGCGACCCCGATTTTGTATTATGAATAGCGACCCTCCTCTTCGATTATGAATAGCAGTCCTAACGAATAGTGGCCCTTATTAATATCGGTCCTTATGAATAGCGAGCGGACCCCTCAGTTGACAAATTATAGCTAACATCTCACACAGCTCTTCAGGAGTTAACTGACTTACATCATTCATCATTAAAATAAGAAAAATATGACCTTTTTCGTTATGATCTTTTTATTTAAATTAGGATACACATTCCATACCACAACAATTGTTATTTGGATTCGAATCAATAAGTAGATCTATTTGGGTTCACCTCTCTATTTCTATTTCTCTTCTTTCCTAACTTTTTTTTTGCCATTTGATTGGAAGAGGGCTCCGATGCTCCAATGTTTCCAAAGCCTCCGGACTCCCGTAGCTGCCCCAAATGATGGTCGAATCATGACCTCAGAGATGTGAGTAGGAAGAAAAAATTGTTTCGAGTAAATGTAACTCCTAATTCGTATGCTAATATTACTCGTTTTTGGGGTGCCATTACATTATCATTATTCTGGGAATTAACCCTGACAAACACATTTTGCTTTCGTTTTTCCCCATCCACATGCTAATTCATTGATTATTAAACCCTTTTGTGTATTACTTGTTTGTTTGTAGCCTATGTTTGTTTGTATTCTTTCGGGTTTTGTGAAATGTTTATTATTGTTTGGTATTTTGCATGGTGTTTTTTTCATGGCATGTGCAAAATGAATTAATACAATGAAATGAAATGAAATCTGTGTTGATAAAAGATTGATGGCTTGATTATATCAAAGTTCCAGCAATCCATTTTGCACGATAAGTTTGTCAGAGGGCGGTCCAGGTCATTGAGGGTGGGGGGGGGGGGGGGGGCGAGGCACCCAGAGCCAT